AGTAGTGCAATCACATATATACCATTGGGATGGGTTTAGGTCAGCTATATTCAGTCATCGATATTTTCAGTTATGGTCTTATTGTACCTTCCAGTATTTCAAAATCGTTTGACTGCTCGTATCTTAAACGTTTGTGGCGTCAACGGCACAAAATCGAGTCTGAACCCTCTTGGGTCGGGAGAGGCAGCAGGCGCACTTTCGACCGGAAGTATATTAAATTGTTTGACGATGTTAGCACTGACGTGTCGCAAAAAGGTGGCGCATTTGTTTTTTAAGGGTATCGCGTGAATGTAACTTTGATTCCCCGGATTATAAGATAATATTCTAATTAAAGTTATATATCATTTTAAAGCTGTTTCGATGAAGTTTTTAGATCAACTACACTCCGTTCACGATTCTTGCGAGTTCTTTTTTAAAAAAGACATCTGGCAAATATCCCCTGTTGACACGTTACATTTTGAATTATTTTTCGTCTTTAAACGCTCATAACTCAAACAATATATGACTACTAAACTTATTTTCCATCTTGATAAAGGTAGATGGAAGTTTTATTTCAAAGGATGAATTTTAGTAAGCGTCCTATATTGTGACGTCATAGAGTTTGAAAAATAGAATCTGTTGACAGCGACCTTTTTTGCTCATTTATTGTTACCTTCAACTTTTCAGGTGTACATTAAACAAAAAATACGAAATCAATTTTTAATAAATCATACATGATTATTTTGCTCTTAAACTCTAGTTTATTAATAAATAGTTGATTTTGTTCGCAAAAGTATGTGTTTTCTGTTGTATGTGGAAAAGTGGAGGACGAAAGGTTTTCAAAATTCATTAAAATAGGGCTAATTTACGCCATTCGCCTATTTTCAAGCACAGCAACACGTATATTTATTTCACCTAAAATATCAATTGATTGGTGTTTTATGATGCTCCTATCCCATTGTTTATACATATACGATATCAGAGTTATTCGCCTTAAATATTTTGAGATATAGAGGCAAATATGGAGGACGAAAGAATTTCATATGTGTACATTTTCCTCAAAAAACGTCACATTCTGTGGTGTTAAAAAGCGAAAATGTGTAACAATGCGTGCGCGACCTTTTTGCGAAACGTCACTGAACAGAAACGACCGGGTCATAGCCAACAGCTCTCCAGGACAAACCCTCCTTCCACCGCCAGATGGCATCATTCATTTACAAAAATATGAATTCAGTGGCGGACACAAGAAATTGGCAAGGGGGGGAGTGGGAAAATACAATATTGAAAAACGCCGGCGTTTTACTTTTACCTCACATTTCCTTAGAAATACTTTCTTTCTTCTATAGAAACTAGCTGACTATTATCGTCTAGCCATCGTTCTGGCTTGAATTCCCATGGATCTCTGAATACTGAGTCGTCATGGTACATTGAGGATAGAGGTTTATAAAGACCTATATAAAAATTATTTTATAATCTGAGAGAAAATCAACTGTGCGTAATCCACATGGAGAAACAAATCTTTAAAGAATAGGCTCAGACTAGGGTTTTAAATATTCGAATAGCTCTTTATATAGGGCGTCAAATAAGTCTGTTCTCCCCTCTTAACTTTTTTAATTTAGAAATAACATATACACGGTGATATATAGGCTTATTATATATAATCTTAAATGGAATTTAATTTGCTGATCACACACCAAAGGATTGGTATCGATATGGAGAACTGAATTCAACAATGTTTTTCTCTTAAACCAATTATTTAAAACATTCTGTAAAAACCACGGTCCTTTATGTGATGTTGACCGATGGACAAAAATTTAATGCGAAAATAATTCATATATTTTATATAACTGTTTTTGTTGAACATTTTTGTTTTTTAGTGCAATTGTTTTTTGTTCCTTTTTACGATTTCTTGAGAATGAAATAAAATACACGTTGTGTTTATGTCATTTTGTTCCAATGAGGTTCGGATAGATGTTTCATTTCATTCCGAACATATGATGATACCAAAGAACAAAAGAAGTGTTCGATGTGTTTTCTAAAACAATATAGAGAAAAGTGCATATATTTATTTCAAATTACATTGTTACCATTTAAAAGAGGACCATTAAATTAGCAATGTGTAAAATCTTCAGAATTTTTTGATGACTGGTTTAAGAGAAACGTGTGTTCAAAAAGTTCGCCATATCGATACCCATCGTTTCGGAGAGTTTGGTTAAATTCCAATTTTTTAGAGCATTTTTATTGATGTCCATATTTCACATTTTTAATAGTTCGTACGTTTCCCCCAAGTAGCTCTGACAGCCTCAATTTTACGAAGATACGATTCAAAAATGTTCACAAGCAGGGATGTTTCACTTTCCAGGCTTCTAAATGTTTTCTTGTTACACTTGAGCAATGTTTCATGGCTATGAAGTTTCTCCTCTGGTTGATCTTCTATAAATTTTTCGACCATGTCCTTCATAATTGCAGTATCAACTTTTCACCGTTCATTCGCTACCCTGGTAGATAATAAATTGATCATTTCATCAGTGTAAGCGAAGTACTAACTTGAAGAAAGCATAAAATAGTAGTTTAAACTCAATTACCATGATGCGAATAGTTATCATTTTCACCACCTGGTGGCTGATTTGGGGTAAATAACAAAGCAGGGTATTAAAAAGTTCCTTTGAACTTGAATATTCATCAGTTTTAGTTCTTCAGTTTCCATATTACCTTTATGATAGTTCTACAAATTTAAATATGTCCAGTAAAGGAATTGATAAACAGTTTTTGAAACCACATTTCTAGATGTAATTTTGCATGCAGATTTCAAACATACAGTATAACCTTACAAGAACACGCGGTCCTAACTTCGACCGTTAATTTGAATTTTAGACCTCCCGGATGTTTGAAAACCAAGGATTGCGAGTCTCATACTACACCGTTTTTCTTCAAAATTGTAACATTCAAATCAAAAGAAAATTGCCTTTCTGTGTGCATTGCTTTATTGTACAGAGTCCCTCGTTTTAGCAGCATTTTGGTCCCCCTGTGAGAAGCCCTTCTAACAGCTGGGGACCAAAATGCCGCTGAAAGTATAGGACTCTCTATAACAGAGTAATGTACCAACAGAAAGGCTGTTTTGTTAAGCTTTGAACGGAACAAGTTTGAAGAGAAACGGTGCAGTATGAGACTCGCAATCCTTGATTCTCAAACGTCCGGTAGGTCTAAAATTCAAACGGTCGAAGTTAGTACCGCGTGAAGAAACATTGTAGCAATTTTATTAGGAAGAGTTCATTATTGAATTTAAAGGGTGATCAGCATTTTCCATAAGCTTTCAAATGATATATGGGAAAGTATGATCACCTAAAATATAAAAAAGTTAAGGGGGTGAACAGACTTGTTTGACGCCCTGTATTTATCATAATATGCCTAAATATTTTAGACTGGGGATACTCTGTCGTATCTCAGCATCATAGAAAGGAACTTACCACTCCCGTTAGTATGTTGATAATGCACACATAGATTGCTTGATCAGGATCAAACACAGCGCAATCTATTTCCGAAAACTTGCGCATGCATTCATCAATCTCCTCTGAAGCAATTCGGATTATCTGTTCCTTCTCGTCGCCATAGTATCGAAGGCCTTTGTAAACTATTTTTTCAAACGTTTGAAATCATCCGGGAAATCTCTAAATATGATGTCTTTTTAGGAGAAAAGATATCCTATATTAAACGTATCACTTGGTCGAGCTGAAATATTGACACGATCAGTATTTGTTATTCTTTAGTGAAATCAATGTACTAGAGATGGTATATATATTTACAATGTTCTCTGCAAGGAAAAAAAGACAACTTGGTGACATTTATCTATTTCAACATCAACGTTGATAACATGTTTAGTTTATAGATGTCACTTGTGTGTGTAAATAAGAAGTTCAGTCCACGCTCGCATTCGCAAATTCAACCGCCAGCTGTCGGACGATTTAATCGCAATTCTATGGCCTCAAATATCGCGCTGATCTGGGGACGAGTCGTTTTGGGGACAAGTTGTCATCAGGCCCAGTTGACAAGTGACCATTGAACATCAAACTTTTAATATTCGGGCCTAGACATAGGAAATCCGGTCTTATCACAAAAATTAACTGTGCTACAGAGCCAAAAATGTGCACAAGATTAAGAGTAAAATGTGCTAAATTCAAATCCGACTTTTAGGTCTCCATATGCACGGAACCATGGCTCTTTTGAAAGGTCTCTTTGTGCTTTTTAAGATAAACAAAAAAATCAGAATATTGAAAAAATCTGTGATAAGACCTTTTTCCCGCGGCCTGGCTCATTCCTTAAATATGAATATGAATATGAATAGTTGCATAGTTAAAAGTCTACACGATCATTGTAGTGCTGAAGTATAATGAAAAGAAACGTTACAAATTTATTTGATTTCCTAATCAAGGCCTCGTTTATTGCTCTCTGACTATTGAGGACCACGACATATTCACCCGCGAGATTTAGGGAAATACTTTTCCATAGGTTTTACTCCAACCCAAAAACTGTTCGTATAGGTTTATCATGTCTATTTGCAATGCATTTCCAAGAAGAGGAATTCCTTTTGGACCGGGATCTTGGATAGTATCCTCAATTTGCTGTTGGTGACTTTTCTCATATATAGCAGTATAATATCACAGCTACTAGTGCGGATAAAACGCAAAGCATAGCCATAGCCATACGTACTATGTACATGTAGGAATTCACGAAAGTCAGGGGTAAGCCATGAAATACGGCAATAATAGTGTTGTCCATGCCCTTTAGATCATAAACATATTTAATGTTTTATTGATTGTTGACGTTAACCAAAGCCCTCATTTTGAATTTAAACTGTTTCTATGTGTGTTGTGTACATAAAACGATAGTTTATTACATACAGTCATGTAGATTAACAAACAAACAGAAACTTAATTGAATTTTATGAAAAATGAACGTTCTGAGGATGTCTAAACCCTTTTGGAATATACTGATGAAAAGTCGCAGAATACCGTTTTAAGTTCGAATAGAAAATTAAAAGTTCAAAAATGAAAATTTACAAAATGTGTACAAATGTTGGTTCGATGTCATGTACTTATTACTTAACACTTTTGAATATAGAGTTCAACATATTATGTTTCTTATTTGGCACACGTTTTTTACTTGTTCTCAACGTTTGCTTTGAATTTTTTTCGTTGATCTAATGCTTTTGTTTTTTTAACATTGAATTTTGGAGCCATTTTAACAATAATGAAATGGTGTAACACTGGTTATCAAGTGTGATGTAGCGTCCATCTTTGAGTTAATATATATGTAACCCATCTTCGCACCCTCGGTCTTCACTGCGACCGACGGGAGCCGAGTGAACGAAGATGAACGTATGTAACTTGGATTCTACTTTCTGCAGTTTATTGCTATCTGTTTGCTATCTGTTTCCAAGTTTCTCACTCCAGGCAAATCCTTCGGTATATTTGTAAATATTCAAAGTCTTTTGACTGCACGAATTTTAAACTTATTTGGTTCCAACACAATACCAAGTTTGAACCCTCGTGGGTCAGGGCATGCAGGCTCCCCCTCAACAGGAAGTATATTGAATCGTTTGAGGATGTTAGCGCTGAAAAGAAACATACGGGTCGTTGCCAAAAGCTCTCCCGGACAGGCCCTCCTTCCACCACCAAAAGGCACCACCCTAAACAAAACATACTAAAAGTGAACTTCTCTTCATACTGTACATGTATATGGGCGCACGAACATAAACCCTTTTATTGTATATCAAAAATGATAATGACGAAAACGTCTCCTACTTGTTTCTTTCTTCTATAGACACCAACTGACCATCATCGTCTAACCATCGTTCTGGCTTGAATTCCCATGGGTCTCTGAATACAGAGTCATCATGGTGCATTGCATAAAGGTTCATGAAAACCTGTAAAAACGTTATTTCATGAGTATGCAAATCAGCTGTGCCAGCAGGACGGGCCAAAACACGTCCACACTTTTGTTTTTGCTACAACGTTGTTGCTAAATGGCAGACAATGTAATTATGACACAAGAAGATAAAATAATGGATATTTTTCCATATCATGGGTTGGCATTATATCAACTAAGTGCAAAATATGTTTGAAACAAATATCAATATATCTAACTATCTAACTTAATAACGAACTACAATGCATAAAAATAGGTTCCATGATTATTTAAGAGCTATAAAATGATTCACAAACCATAAAACTCAACTCCAATACTTTTTCGTCATATGCAAAAGCCCAAAAGTGTTGATTAAGCAATGTAATATTATGCAATAAGCTCAAAACATATATAGCAAACTCATGTTTTGGATGGTCACAACCTCATGATATGAAATATCCCATGGAGTCATCAATAGTCATACATATTTTATGAATCATACATCATTATGTTGGAAATATAATTGTCTTTCTAATGATATATAATATATGGATATTTCAAACATATCAGCAACGATATTACAAAAGTAAAAACGTGGACGTTTTTTGGCCCACCTTGTATGTACAGAGAGGAGAAACAAATCCATTTTTAAGCAGACTCAGATTTCGCATTTTTACAAATTATACCTGCGTGTTCTTTGGGATATCGTAGCCCACGACAGAAGTATCGACGGTAGTTTTGTGTGGAACAGCGAGTGGGACATGAGAAATATACCTCAACAATTCAAGAAGTGTTGCGTTCAAATAGGGCATCTCTTCTCTGTATTCCATTTTGACCTCTCTTTGACCAATGACTGTATCAACCTCGTTCTGAAGTTTCTTTTGGACATCTGGGTACGTTATTAACGTAAGGAGAAACGTCGCAAAAGATACGTGCGAGGTGACAAGTCCAGCACCATACAGATTGCCCAAGATGTAAATTACTGCTTTTTTGTCAAAGGATCCCTCTGGAAATGTCATCTCGGATATGAAGTGATCAAGAAGATGTCGTTTGTTGTCTGGATCATAGTCTTTCTACAACACAAATAAAGGATGGTACAAGCAAAACTTGCATTGGGGAACTGTATAGTTCAGATTATGATTCTTGATTGCAACAAGAGACTTGTACTTTGAATAATCTAATCTTCAAATTGGTTTTGATTTCAGGTCAAAAACTCGCAAATTTTACTACCTTGGAATCTTCAATGATTTCCTCCATGATGTCATTCCGATATTTCATTCCTTTTTGCATGCTTTTGAAGGTTTCGTTTCCGAAAAAACGTAAAAATGGAAACATATCTATCTCCGCTCCTTTACCAGCCGAGAAGGACGCTGTAAATGCATCTTGCATCTCGACTAAATCTGCAAATCGCTTGTTCGTCTCATCCAATCGTTTCCCCTCGATCTGTTATAAATAATCGACGATGCACGTATGAATACAATGGGGATAAATGGACAGTTGGAGATATGCGGCTTGGGCTCAATCAGCATTGGTTATAGATGCGAATAGCAGCAATCTTTATTTTCCATTTAATCAAACTGCTACTTACCAAACCAACAAGTATGTTGATTATACACACATAGATTGCAGGGTCAGGATCAAAAGCCATACCATCTGTTTCCGAAAACTTGCGCATGCATTCATCAATCTCCTCTGTAGCAATTCGGATTATCTGTTCCTTCTCGTCGCCATAGTATCGAAGGCCTTTGTAAACTATTTTTTTCAAACGTTTGAAGTCATCTGTAAAATCTCTAAATATGATGTCCTTTTGGGAGAAAAGATATTGTATTCTAAATGATTCACCTGGTCGACCTGAAATACGAAGAATACTTAAATTAATTATCTAAGATGCGCAATAAATTGTTCAGTAGCCAGTTTTTATCAAAGGGATAAAATCATTTAAATCTTATACGGGTGACCGAAATGGATGTAAATGGCAATTTCACCTAACGTTTTTGAACATTGCTAAAGATAGATTTTGCCAAAACCCTGTTTTAAGTGAATTGAAAATCATTTTGGCCCAAATTGACAGTTATGACAAATGGCCAATTTTCGAAAAGATGTCTGTATTGAACGATTTCTCAAAGCTTGCTTGCATAAACACGTCTCTTCATGATACACAGACTCAACATATCAATTAGTGACTCACTTGCAAAAAGGCCAAAATCTAAAGTTTCTTCAAGATGGTGACAGCTTGATACAAAACCGAGTTTACCTGCAAAGTCAGTGGATTTCCTAATAAGGGCCTCGTTTATGGCTTCGTGGCTATTGAGGACCACGACAGATTCTCCTGCAAGATTTAACAAGAATATTTCTCCATATGTTTTACTCCAACCCAAAAACTGGTCGTGTATTTTTACCATATCTATTTGCAATGCATTTCCAAGAATTGGAATTCCCTTTGGGCCAGGGATCCTAGAAAGTATCCTCGATTTACTGTCTGTTGCATGTGTAATATAGTAGTATAATATTGCAGCTACCAGTGCTGCTAAAACGTACAGCACGACCATGCTTCTTAGATATGATATTGTCATTGAAGCTCTAAAAACTTAAATTGAACTCCAAAACTAATGTAAGGCTTGTTATTCGGCATCGTTAACATATTTTGAGTTAATGTGTAGTTTGAGAGTAAAAACACTTAAAGCTCAACTGAACAATCTAGATAACGTAAAACATTAAACAAAATTTATGTCGAGGACAGGTGCAGTGTAAAGTCTAAAGGGCAAGTTAAGCTAACTTTGCTCATATACACTTTTTATTGCTACCTTGCAATTCCAAATGTAAAAATGTCGAAAATTGATGATGATTTGATAAGTTTTTGAAAATAGCCATTCCCATGTAAACCAATGGAAAATGGAAAGTATGCCGCAAGTCATATAATCAAATATCCATCTATCCGAGTTCTCCCAAAAATACAAGTTAACTAAACAATTGAATTTGCTCATCTGTTTATCTAACACAAAATTAATGTTTTTCTTCAAGTTTAAAAAAGTCAAAATAATTTTTAAGAAAACTCTCCTATTGAAGTAGAAATGATTTCCAAAATTGATTTTCAAGCTCTGTAACGATCTTTTCTTGAATAGATACCCTGAAATCTGATTTTCCCCCCACCCACTATTTCCGATTGGTTTAGGAATGACGATTTTCAAAAGTTGTCAAAGTCATCAATTTTCGACCTATTGTAATTGAGGAAAGTTTTCTAAAAAAACAATTGGCAAAACTGTCACATGACTTCGCAGTTAAAAAAATAACAGGAGTTGTTCTGTGTGCTAATAAGAGATTCTAACCGTCATTTTATTAAAACGTTACAGCTGCTACAGCAGTAAAGCCCAATCTTGAAGGATGATCGTACAAAAACCAACTATTCTATTCCAGGCCCATGCAGCCGAATCTTAATATTTCCATAAACGTTCGTGCTTTTTAGTTCCATATACCAATTGAATAAGAATTTCATGTTCTTCACCACGGCCGATGATACTTAGAGAGGGCTTGTAATAAGATATTTTTCTAGTAAAACATATGACGTTAACGTTAACGTTGGATTACTCTCATCTTTTGGTTTCCTCCTTGGATAAATGAAAAGTTACGACATATTGACCCTGTATAGGCTACCTCTCAAGAGTCTTGGGATATTTTATTGTTGGATGATCCGCAGCATTGATTATTTGAGTTCTAGTTCACTGTCACTGGAAAGAAATTTTGCATCAAATTCTATTTTATTTTGTTTTAAGTCTCTGGGCTGATCGTGAATGTTAAAGGCCCCATATAAAGTTTAAGCCACTTTGGCTTATATTGTAGTCTTACCCAATGTTATCAAATTGTGATATGTGAAACTTTTTTTTTTAATTTCAAAAAGTGGTTTTTGATAGATTTTTTGTTCCAAAATTTGTGAATCTATTTAAAACCAACTTTTAGAGGTCACTCCTCCCATGTTTTTGCCGAAAAAATTAAGAAAATCGGTTCATAAATAAGCAAGAAATGAACTTATCAGTGCATGAAAATGGTTCTGAGAAAAATGCATTTCAAAATGTTAGTTCTCATAGAAACCAATGGTACAATGATATCTAAAACATAATTTATTCTTCCTTTTAACCTGGTTAGACAATCAACGTTGTTTTTTATGAAAGTCTAATATATTTAGAAAAGATTGACATCAAAAAAAAATTTCAATTTTTTTCAAAAAGTTGTTGCTACCTTAGTGACATCACTAATGTTTCAAAATATTTTTGATATGCTAAAACATTGAAGTGGCCCATTAAATATGGCATTTTATTATTGAAATAGTGTGTCCTTTGTTCAATCTTTGCATTGGTGTTAAAAAGATAATATTTTTTGAAATGCATTAAGAAATATTTGATGATTAAGAAATTTCAACTTTTTTTGAAAATTGGCGGGAAAATTGAATATTTGAGAAATGAAATGCTCACGACTTTTTTTTCAAAAAAGCTTTTTGTTCAAAAATCTCTAAAATCACTTTTAAGTCCTGACATATAGTGAATGAATGATAAAAAAATATTTTCAAACTTTAGACGGGGACTTTAACAAACTGTTTTATAAATCCGTTTCTAGTCTATAAAAAATACTGCTGCCAAAAAGAGGCTGCCAATCTTTTTTTGATATATAAGCAGCATTTACGAGTCTGAACATTTTAGCTGTTTTAATAGAATAATAGAATGACACAACAGGGGATGAAGTAGAAACGAGGGAGGTTTTGCCTCGTATCAAAATGGCCGCGAATGAAAAAGTAGCATTTGGTAAGCTTTTTTCTTTTCATGATTTTCGTGCTTTTATCTTTCAAATTACAAATTACTTACAAGTCACTTACTTGCCAAATATTAAGTTGTAATTTGAAGGACAAAATCACAAAAATCGTGAAAACGAAATTTTTTACCAATATACTCCTTTTTCATTGCGGCCATTTTTATGCGAGGCAAACCCTCCCTCGCTTCCAGTTAAGTTCTCTCAAAAGACTTCTTATAATCGATTAAAAAGTTTTGCAGGTACGGATCTGAAAACCAGCAAAGGGCATATTTAAAGTATATAGATTTTAGGCCCTTTTTCTTGCTAAGTTGGCCTAAAATTAAAAAATAAGGCCGTAAAAGGCCAAAAAGGCCCCTTATTGGGGCCCCTGTTCCCCCTCCCCCAGATCTGCCAGTATTTTGTATCTTTCTACTAGTGCAAAATGTTCCAAAATGAAGAAAACCATATTCAAAGTTATGTCACAGTGAAAGAATAAGGACTTATTTGATTTTTAAAGATCTGAACAAAGTGACGTATTAACGAGCGTTATATGTAAGGATTTCTTTGATTTTTAACGAACAAGCTGACGTAATAGCACCCAGTATAGATATCTAAATTACAATTATGTGACAACGGGGAATAAAAAATAATTGGGAGATAAATGTTTAATAGACTGTGAATAGTAATATTCTTTCTTGACGCACGAAGTGTCCATCAATGGTCCATTCACACCGATAATCCATTGAGAGATAATAAACAGAATTAGAAGGAATTCTCATTTTCAGCATGCTATTGATCAGGGCTATTGATATTGTTGAGATACCTAGAAAACAGAGATTATTTTTGTTCGAATCAACATGTATTGAAGAGGTAGAAATAATGGCAGTCCAAAGCTGGCAAAACAAACTTGGTGTACTAGTCCATGTATTATCTTGAGGATCTCAGGAACTGACAAAGCTATCCTGATGACATCCGTCATGGCTTAATAAATTATTTAATGTCACTCCCAGAACTTTACAGGTTACAATAGCTAATAAACTTAGTATGACCCAAAATGTCGATTCCCGATTTTCTTAATAATGGCGTATTACAATTATGCCAAAAATATTCTCTGTCATGGATTAATTTTTTTAGAAAACAAAAGGGGCCGGGTCCATTCTAGTACGCGTCTGGTCAATCCATGCTTATCCACCCACACAAGTTGTAGATATGACTCGCCCGTCAGAAGGACTATACAAGTAATATGTGTTACGCACAAAGATTGCCACATTGCCACTCGGTAACGGACTTATGGCAGTAATACCAGTTGGAGCTCCAATCCAAACGTTATCGGGATTAGGGTCACGAATGTGCATCACTGTCACTTCATTTACAGTATTCATAAAGTCTTGCTGAGTCGGTCTTACTGATTTAAAGACCCAGTCGTTCTTAAACAGATATGTTGTCTTTTCGTCATAGTCTAGTAGAGCGTCTATTTGTGACGGTGCGTTTGTACCAAAGACTTGTGTGAGGGTCTTAGGCCAAGGCTTCAAAGTCTCAGAAACATCAGTAAACGACATCGCACTGTTAACTGGATATACGTTGTTGCCTGAAAGTAAAATGGGGCCACCAATATAAGAGGTACTACTGTATAACCAATTACATAATCCGAGAGTTTTTTAAAAAAGATCTTGGAGTAAAATAACTCAAGTCAGTAATTTATAATCTCCCAGAAAGGTTTGAATACCGACTGAGTGTTCAAAACACATTACGAGTGATATAAGCGACGGGTAAATTATTCAAAATGCTCTTCTATTAATCTGATTGGTAATCTCTTTCTCATGGATTTACGTATATTACTGAAGTAAATGTTCTACTGGCTGGTTAATTGAAAAATGCTTGAAAAGTAAAGCACGTATATCCTGCTTGGTTTTTTACCTCTGATAAAATAAAGGACATCAGTTGGGGGATCTACTCCCTGATCCGCTGACCTGTCCCACAGTCCGGTCTCACGCAGTAAGACACCGTCTATGTCACCTTCCCAATCCTCCAGAGTCATACCGGGACCCGTGAGAAATGATTCAACCGAGAAGGGGCTGGGTAAAACATCAGTTCCCTGCGGCATTGAATACGCCCATGATGTCAACGTTTCAGAAGGAAAATAGTCCGTTGGATAAGTTGGATTCATTCTTGAGATCGCAAAGAGGTGATTATTATGGTAGTATGCGGCCTTTATATCAACCCAACTATCTGGACATTGCTACAACAGAAAAATGGCGTAATAAACCATGCATGCATCTTCTTGAGATAACTGTATTAAGCTGTTATTTCATTAAATAATTAATTTGCGATAAATACCATATGCACGATATGCAATAACTTTAATTGATAGTTAATGGCAATTACTGCAGTTTATACACTTCAACTTTAAGAATCTAAGTAATGATCAATTTTTCTTTCAATGACAAATACAGCCCTTCTATTTTTAAACGGCTATCCATCCAGTTTAATTATTCTGAAATCTGTTCAAAGCCGTTGAAATTGTTTTAGGGTCTAAGAAACGAAAAGAATAAGACGGATTTTTCTGTGATCGCGATGACTTGAGAAATGTAGATCCCTGAAGAAAAAAACGGCCACGTGTTGCATGCCCTCCACATATGCTACGGTTTCAAATCATTATATAAGGAAGTTCATGCCCTAACAGGTTGCTTCTTTTTGAAAAAAATAAATAATTAAAGTACATTACAGTTCAATAAAAGTAAGTCACATTGACATTGTTTTAGGGCTACTTATTTAAAATTCCTAAATCAGTTGGAAAAGTTATAAAAAGTATACTTTTTAATACATAACAAACACTCCAATGCTTATAACTATATACAAAAATTCAAATCACGCGAAATGGTTGAAAGCATTTAATTTGCATATACCCATAACTAAATTAGCTCTAGAGCATAAGCAGAAACTACTGATAAAACATGTGAATTGGAAGCGTTTTAAAAAGTTGAAAAATCTGATACGAAAATGAATAATTTTTTAATAAAACAAATAAAATTGTACTAACCGATTCCGATGGTGAAGATTTTTTCTCAATTTGGAAGTGCAAAAAACCAGGGGTGAAATCCAACCAAGTACAATCTATTGGTTTTCCCCGGTTGATTTGGCATTGGCGCGTAGACGTGTTCCCTCTTTTCTCAATATTGAAGGATCCACACCAGTTCCTCTCCAAGCAAATGTTCCCACATTCTATCTTACCAACAACGCTATGAGTTTCTCCAATATGTCTTGTGAATGCATGATCTGGTGAACAGTTATGGTCCATAGAAAACACTGCGGTCCTCAAATAACACGTGACTAGCGAGAAACAATGTGCGGAAATCGTAAATGAGATCCATGTAGTTTTGGCGATGTCAATCCCCATGTTAACACCTCATTCCGTTTTACTATCATACGGCTAGTTTTTTGCGTTTCCCAGATTATCAGCAGTACATCACATTAAGCGCATGTAACCTTTTGTCTCATTAAAGACGATTTAGTATGATGCCAAAGTCGAATCTGATTATTATCTCATAAGAAATACACTTTAGATGATATGTTTAAATCTACTACATGACTAGGCGTTCACCCATAACAAGCGATACCGTGTTCAACCAAGCACAGATTGCAAGTAATACACAGTACGCTCTGTGTTAATGATAGCTTCCGATCATAACTCCGTCGTATTGATTGTCCTGATCCATTCACTGACAATTCTCTTCAAACACGATTTCGATAAATCCATAGATAAGTCCATGTCGTTAAGAATAGAACTGTTTCTTTATTTCGTGTACGGAATCTTGTGGCAATCTAAATCTTTTATTTATCGCTGAGCAGATCTGGACTGAGCAAATGCTATTGAGACACTCGCACATGGTTACAACTATACACTTTCACTGTTCCACAGCTGAATGACTCAAACTGCATGCGGTTAGTATCATTCAAGATGGTGGCCAAAATTTCTTTCGATTTGGACAAACCAACGGGTTCAGCTAAACTAAGTTGAATCTGGATTCCAAATGTTTCGCGATGCAAACTAATAAAATTACAATTGTAAACAGCCAGGAAAAAATGCTCAGACACCCTCATTAAATATAGAGAATTTTAAAGAAAACAGCTTCACTTAAAATGACTCTAACTGAAGTTGATGAAACATTAACTCAAACATGATATTCACCACCGATGACGCTAACTCGTATGACCCTGCATGTGTTCATTCCATAGAGTTAGTGTCATCCATCGTTTCAGTGAATGTTATTCCTACGTCATCATCAAGTTCAATTAGAGTCATAGTAAGTGAGGCCATTTTCTTTAAATTTCTCCAATATCACGTTTTCTTGTGGCGTTTACAATCGCTTCATTAATTTATTCATGAAGCTGTAGTGTTCCGGGTACCATGCGCTCTTTGATAAGCAAAATTAAGAGTAACACAACTAAGTAGGTTTGTTGTTGGCTATGTAATATGATGAGTAATTTTATTATGAATTACATAATGTTATATAACAATACTTTTTGCCGATAGGATAGCCGGTGAAATATCTGATGAAATCCAGATTCAAATTAGTTTGCTGAAATCGGAAGTTTATCGACCACCATCTTGAATGATACTACTGTGACTGCAGTTTGAATCATCTAGCAGTGGAACAGGGATTTTGTACGATTTTCTGTTAAATAAGTAAAACATTCTGTGAGAATCAATGACAGGCGTATGAAAAAATCTTGTTGACGAAGACTTTTTGCCCTGCTTGCAGCGAGAAAGTGGACCAGTTCGGAACAATTGCATCAGCTTGTTTTGCAAGCAGGGGGAAATTCTTAGTCACCAAGTTTGGTATTTTTTATAAAATCAAACGCACGTCATTGAAACTTACGAGATGTAAATTGCATGTCATTGCATCATGTTGAAAGAACCAAAGAGAAGTTATCCATACCAGTCAGTCTACTTTCCGAGGCTAGTTGCGTATACCAATGTGTAATGAACGTACAAATGTCCTATTTCATTGGGATTTGGACATCACGTTTTGTAAGAATGGGTTTCAGGCACTGTAGATAAGCTAGTATGTATTAGTTATGACTGAGCAATCGCACATTTAAACTGAAATTCAATTAAATCAAAATGTCAAATCGACAATTTTATATTGATCAATAATGTAGACTACGTGCTTATTAAGTTTTTCATCGGTATACAAAAAGTATAATCGCATCCCTAAAAATTATATTGTCGTCATTGGAATACCTGTGTTTAGAAAACATCAAGAAAACCTCAAAGAGCAAACATATAAAGCATCTAATATTGTGAATCACGAAGAAATCTCACCGACATGTAATCAACAGGATGCCACTGCAGCAAGAGCAACACCATATAATTAGTGCTGCTAGCGACTGTTGAGACTCCGTGTGTTTACTAATACTCCGGGAGATAAATGGCACTCATGCAGCATTAATGAGCTTCATGAAGTTTAATTTACTCCTTGATCATTTCTTAACACCCAATGAAATATTTCTTCTTAATGTCCTTGCTCATTTATCGTGGTTTTATATCACTTATTTTCATAGTCTATACAGCAAAAAGATACATTAATAACGGTTTCATTTTAGAATGAAACATAAAATTCTAGCAAATGTTTGTCATCAATCAAGAAGCGAAATGCAGGTATATATTATATGTCTACTGTATGACTTAATTGGGTACAGTCCTCGTATACAGGGGTTATATGTATCGTAAGGGTTAAGATAAGGGTTTTATCGGTCCTCGCAGGGTTTAGATACAGGGCTTTGTTTTGGGGGGGGTGCAAGTGGTGGCCCATTCCCTCTATAAAATTTTGCAATTTTAAGATGCTATTTGGTGATTTCTGGGCACTTTCAAAGAATATCAGTATTTAAAATGAAATTTAAAAAAAAGAATTTAAACCCACCCTTCAAAACATTTTACAGTTTCAAGATGCTATTTGATGATGTCTGGGCATTTTTCAAGGGTCTGATATTGTTTACAATTTTAAGATGCAGTTTGCTGATTTCTTGGCACTTTCAAAGTGTATTAGTCAATTAAAAATAATCGGACCCCTCCTCTCATCTTGTCTTCGTACACAACTATAAAGAAGACACAGAGTGAACAGTATCGCACCCTTGAATAAAATATTGTTTTCGGGATGAGAAATTAATATGGCCACCCTAGCATTTACTCAGACTGCTCAAAAACTAATCAGTTCGAATTCTAAGCTTTCTTATGAAGGAATATTTCTAAAAATCTCAGATGAATCCATGAGTTTGGCTAGAAACCTGTAGATAAGCCTCGACAAATAAGATTTTAGGACGGAAAATCCAATATGGCCGCCTTAGCATTTACCCAGAATGGTCCAAAAACAATTCACTTCGTATATTTTGTAGAAAAATCCCCGAAAATATCAGATGAATCCCTATAACAGTTTGGCTGGAAATCTGTAGACAAGTATCGACAAACAAGATTAGGACGGAAAATCCAAATTGGTCGCCTCAACATTTTTCCAGAATTCCCCAGACTAATCAGTTGTTTTAGATTTTATACAGAGAAACATACTTGAAAATCTCAGATGAATTCATGGAACGGTTTGGCTGGAAACCTGTAGACAAGCTTTAATAGACAACATTTTAATGACGGATAATCCAAAATGGCCACTTTAACATTTACCCAGAATGCTACAAAACTAAGCAGTTCTAAACTTCCATGGGTAGAAACATCTCTGAAAATTTCAGGTGAATCGCTTAAACGGTTTGGTAGAACCTGTAGACAAGCCTCGACAGACAAGATTTCAGGACGTAAAATCCAAAATGGCTGCCTTAAAATATACCCAGAATGCCCCAAAACTGATCAGTTATAAAGGTTCATACGTAGAAACATCCCTGAAAATTTCAGATGAATCTACAAAACGATTTGCCTTGAAACCTGTAGACAAGCCTAGACAGACAAGATTTTAGGACGGAAAATCTAAAATGGCCGTCTTAATATTTACCCGAATGCCCGAAAACTAATTAGTTCAAAACTTTCATCCATAGAAATATTCATGAAAATTCCAGATGAATCCCTGCAACGATTTGGCTGGAAACCGACCCAGGGGTTGGGTTGTGATTTCAAAACATTAATATGGTAAATATATAATATTATCGTATGATCTGTAAAACGAAGCCTTCTGATTGGTCAGTTCTTGTGCTGTACCAATCTGTATTGCTACTGAGATCGTCCCCATTGATCATCTCCGTCGCAATACAGAAAATATTGGTACGGATGGAACAACCTCAGTAGCAATACAGAGGATCACACGATAAAAACGTTATTGAATGATTTGAAATCCAATACGGGATATATTCTGTCTCGATATTCTGTAGCAGAATTTCTCGAGCAGAATATATCCTGTATTGCACTTCAAATCATTCGATAACTTAATAGTACCATCCAATGAGCATCTAGTGCCGACCGACTCTATTAATTAATGTAAGTATTGTAAATAAATAAAAATTAAATATTCAATCATAAGGAATGTGAATGGATACCGAAAAGTAAGGCCGAGTGGTGGTTTGCCACCTAAGACATACTGTATGATGGCCACATGCATGTGACCGATATGGCTATATCCAATTCTTAAAGCTTTGTACTCAATGAACTTAGAAGACCTAAACCTATAACATTTCAAGATAATCATCATCACTGATAATGATCCATCAGATGTAAATTATTCAAAACTTAAAGGTCTCATAGTCACTTCTTATATTTATTATCGCAACAATATTCAACACAAGTTACATGAAACACGATCTTTTAAACACTTTGGTAAAGGTACTAATTAATTATTAAAGATTACTCTAGTGAACTACCGGTGTGAAAGAAATGATGGTCCCCCAGGGATTATGGTCCCCTTTCTTAACGCCTCTTACTGACCCTGATTGTGTACAAGATAATGAGGGAAAGAGTTGTATTTAGGACACCATATAAATCAATGGAGAGTAGGACCATAATTTGATAGGACCTTCTACCCTTTTTCACCGGGACGCCATCAGTCAGTGGATACAGTTTTGTGAATGCTCTCGAGAATCTCATAGTCTCAATATGTTCTTCGGTGGCTACTCATTATGTTTGCTTGTATAGGCATCATCATACCTTTTAAATGAATAAATGCAAAGAGCTCATCACGTCTCTGAGTATGAACCAAAATGGTGCGCTGTGTACCATCTCAAGTAGCTAATCACATGTTGGTCTAACAGTAAATTGAAGAAGAATGGCTTTGAAGCCAAGCAAACACATATTGCCAAAACGTTTTCACGTTGTCTGTTTTGCATCTATAACCGACTGCATGCGTTCCCGTCTCTTCTTTCTGATATCGGGAAGAAGTTTATTTTGAAAGAACGTTCTCCAGCGTTCTCCATACGGACTGAAGTGATTTCTCATTGATCCATTCCCATGCCTGTTAGGTCGCCTATAATATGATCCAGGCAAGGAGGCACCACTGCCTGTAGTTGAAACTCGCTTTGATATCAACCAGTGAGTCTCCATCATTCCCTTACCCTAAAATGATAAATCGGATAAATCCATTTTCTTATAAGTTCTCATAACTAATTGAAAATGGACAGTCAGAAGATAAGATCAATAGTTAAAACGTTAAAACATTTCCAACTCGATTTTGAATTTGTGATACTATTGCATGGCTACATGAGACTTACATTCTTCAAAGTTGCTACATCGAGTTTACACTTAGTGATGAAGAGAATTGATTTAACATCACAAATAAATAAATAAGATAATTTGGGAGACATTTGCTTTCCAATAGGTTTCCTGGTAACATACGTTCAATATCAACAAACGACGTTCTTTTACCACCTTCCTGAATTACATGCGACACATCGGGGACGCATGCGCCGCTTCGTACAAAAGGAAAGGTCGAAGAGAATGATCGTCTCCAGTTTTCGAATGTGAATGTCTTTACAGGGTTGGCTAAACTTGTTGTAAAAACATGAGGACGCAATGACGATAATCTGGCGCTACTGTTTGATTATCATCGATTTCCATCGTAAAAACACAACATTTTGCAGTTTACAATTCTTTTTCACTTGGCATTTGAGATATTGAATAAGACTTCTTATTTAAGAAAATACGATTTGAAAAAGATATATATCAAGTCCAGCAGTGAATATTCACATTATCAGGAAGAATCTTGTATTGTGTTATTCTGACATTGACATATATGCTTACTGTATACGTTATTGCGTCTACATTTCATCCCTTGTAAAAAATGAAGGAGCGTTCCCTGGAATCGACAGTACAGTACTCATTCTTCATCAAAATCAAATCAAGTAAACCATTATATATAAATTGTACAAACAAATGAGCAGAATACGATGACAATTAAATTGTATGACAGTGTGTACTCTTCTGAAGTTGCTTTGACATTTATATCAAGCTAAAGCGAGGTCGATTCTTGTGTCAATAGTTAGAAAATAACAGAAACAATCCCAAAATCTTAATTTTAGAATTCTAGAAATGATAAACCCTAAAACAACATATTTTTATGATTCTTTTCTTTTGCAAGAGTCAATTTGGTAGAGTATCAATTTCAATCTGTAGAGTCACGTTGTCACCTTGGCAACCATTCAACGAATGACCTTGGTTGAGTTATTGGTTATATAATGCAGTGCAGTTATATGAAATACTGTGTTCGGATTAACTGGAATCGGACACACCTTGCTTAGCTTTGTGTGAATCCTTTCTTTAAGAATCTGATTTAATTATATATGCACAGTTCAAGGACTAAAAAAGAAAGATACGGTAAAACCTGTCTAACCGAACACTAAAAGTGTTCAGATTAGCAGGCGTTCAGATTTCAATGTCTATAAACGTGTAAGTAAATGGGAGAAAAGAAATTTGGGACCGAGAAAATGTGTTTAGGATTGGAGAGGTGTTCGGATGTACAGATTTCACTGCCTGCTGACCTGAACAGGATGACAGTGCATGGTCATACTGCGTTTCCATTGGTTAGGATGCCACAATGTACGCTTATCACTGTAGCTATATGTGGAAGAGTATGTTAGACCATAGCATCATTGTACGTACCTTTATTTCGATCTTTCCTCTTGGAATCGTCACAAAACGTCCGAAGCTTTCGAGTAAAGTGTTGAGTTGCGCGCTTATTTGGATTCTTCCCGCTGTAACAAAATTCGACAATTTTCTATAGTCATTACAGATACAAACTAGAAAATAGCAACTCCACGGAGTAGGAAATCCCACCGAACAAAACTTGTTTTGATGAATAGTGGCAATCTTAAATATTTCTTGTTGAACTAAGCTCCTTTGTCCCTGGTATCAGTATATACATTTTAACCATACTGTACACCTGTATTTGAGTTATCAAAGATTACTTTTTTTTAAGAAAAATTGTGGCCATTTTGAAATTCAGCTGCCATCTTGAAAGAGCTCTTTTGTTCTTAGGCATCAGCATATAACAATTGAAACAAATCCGTCAACTGGTATATTTGGTTATCAAAGATTTAATTTTAACAACAAATGACAGCCATTTTGATAACTAGAGGCCATCTTGAAATTTCTTCTTGAGCAGAGATCCTTTATTCCTAGGCACCGGCATATAAAATTTGAACCAAATCTGTCTACTGGCAACTGATGTTTGATTTATTAAAGATTACAATTTTAACCAAAAATGATTGCCATTTTGAAATTTAGCTGTCATTTTGATAATTTCTTCACAAGCAAAGCTCTTCTATCGCTAAATATCGGCACATAAAATTTAATCATATCTATCGACTATAATTTCAGTTATCAATTGCAAAAATTACCTTTTTGCAAAATTTGAACCAAATGCGTCAGTCGGTATTATTGCTTTATTTTACGAAAATGGTGACCATTTCGAAATTCAGCTGACATCTTAGAAATTCTTTTACAAACAGGGATCATCATTTGAACCAAATTAGTTCACTGACATTTAAGTCATTAAAGATCGCGTTATTTTATGGAAAATAGCGGCCATTTTGATAGCCATCTTTAAAATTCCTTCTCAAACATCGTGGGTATCAGCATATAAAATCTGAACCGAATTCATCCACTTGTATCTAAGTTATCAAATATTACGTTTCTTAAGTAAACGGCAGCCATTTTGAAATCCAGGAGCCATCTTGAAAATCTATTCTTGAATAAAGCTGCTTTGTCCATCATCATATAAAATTTAAAGGAAATCGCTAGTATTTGAGATATTAAATATTTCATTTTTTACGAAAAATGGCGGCCATTTTGAATTCGTTGGGCACATTGAAAATTCCATCTCGAGCAGAAGTCCTACAACCATAAGGCATAAGCCTATAAAATTATAATCAAATCCGTCAACCGGTATTTGAGTCATCGCCTGGACAGACCAACGGACGGACGAACGGCTGTTCTATATCCCAATCGAACTTCGTTCGTTGGGATATTTACAAAATTTGAATGATGGATGACAACAACATCATATTCATATATCAGTATATTACCCCGAACTTAAATCACCAGGGGCGGATCTGGGAACCAACAAGGGGGGGGGGCAAATTTCAGGTCAGAGATAAAAACTTGGGGTCCCTAAAACACAAAAGCGGGCCCAAATTTTGAGGCCCATTTTCTTCAAAATTTGGCCTGAAATTAAAAAGTAAAGCCTTAAAAGGCCTAGTAATGACCAAAATGGCACACTTTTTTGGGCCTTGAGGCCTTTTTGGCCCAAACTTTTTTTAAACTCAATTTTTTCGGGGCCCCCACCCCCTCCCCCCCCCCCCCCCAGATCCGCCAGTGATCACATAGCTTAAATTCAGAATTTGCATTTATAAAATGAAAAGTTAACACCAAGAACGACGTACTACAAACTACTCTGCTATGTAAAATGAGAAAAACATACGAAGGCTTGTGGACTGCATCCTAGACGCTGTGTTTACTGTATCCCCAAAGAGACAATACCTCAGCATTCTTGATCCAACAACTCCTGCCACAGCTGGTCCTAATTTGTTCAATCAAATGAAAAATGAAAAACATGCAACAAATCAATATCGTGCAAATAAATATCGTATAATATCATGTCGTGCATCATAGATGATGACTAAAACTGACAGGAAAAAAGTTCACAGAGGATTTTACACTGTTAATATTTCAAATACATGTGATATTGGTAAGCTGCAGATTTCAACCTGTACATATAAACTCTACCTGTATGGGCACCAATGCGTATCTGAAGTCTTTTCTCGGGTAGGTGAGGTATCTCAAAGTGGGTCATGGAATGCAGGAGATCAACTAGCATATCGGCTATTTCCTCGGAGTGATGGTCACCATTCCGTTTGGGAAGCCCTGACGCAACCATGTAATGATCGGCTACCGTCTCAACCTTATACACATCGTAACATTCAATGCGTGCATCAATATAGAGATATAACATGTTCAAAAGCTCTATTAAATCATTGGGTGTGCTTTGTTCGCTGATCTCTTGAAAATCTGCTATATCTGTGAAACATATCGTCACTGAGCTGAATTTTTCAGCTACAACGCCCACTCCACGTTTAGTCCTCAATCGTTTGGCGATCGGTTTGGGTAACATCTGATAAACGAGTGCCTCCGCCAATACCTTTTGCTCAAGAACAGCGATACTACGTTGTTCCATCTTTTGAGTAAACTGTTTTAAACTTGCCATTGCTCTCTGAGCTGCAAGTATTATACAAGGGACAAATACCAAAGCTAAAACAAGTAGTAATGATTTTTCAATAGTCGTAGCACGAAAGGACTCCCCACTCTCTTGAACCAAGCCTAACGAAGAGGTAGTTGCTTTGTCGATTTCGCTATACCATATGCTGAAGTATTGTTTCATAGTCCCTACCAACAAGGTCATATTCTTTGGAATATCAGGCCGATTTGTTGGTATTTTATTTTCTACTACATTGTGCAAACTCAGCATAATTGTATGAGTTATATTAAATTCGGCTGTTTGCATGAGTGTATCAAAACTATCGTAATTTTCTCTAAGACTGTCGTAACGAGCTGATAACACTATATTCAGCTCAACATCGAGAGTGTATAGAGTTTTTGAGAGTGCCCCTGTGCTCAAATAAAGGGCATCAATGGCCACCTGCGTTCCCATATCGTTGAGGCATTGGATCGCTTTAACACATCCTAATAGCACCTTCACTGCAGCATCATTCTTTATGACTTGAGCATAAGTAATAGCAACAGAAATGATATCATTAATCACAATCGCATACGACTTTATACTTTCCTCAAATATGGACCAGTTATTGACTTGGTCTGCGCGTTCTCTGACGTCAAGGAGTCGGTCATAGTAGCTTATTGTGTCGTTCATAAATGACTCAAAGTTTGTCCGGAATTTTATAAAATGAGCGTCTGTCGTAATGTAAGATGTTTTGACATTGTATCCAACAACTTCTGATAGGTCCATGAATTGAGCAAAATAGGATGACCTCTCCTCGAGTAGACTCCGAATCAGATCTAATATGGATACAAACTCATTCACTCTGTCATTTGTCCCTGATTGTTTATCATCTTCTACGACCGCGAAATGTAACTGAAGCAACGCCTGGGTAATTATGATTATGACAGGTACTACTGGCAGAGCGATCATTTTTATGGTTTCTAAATTCCGTCCGCGGCGTGACGTCACGTCGGGTTGATATAGCGACTGGAGTATTGTCTTTGGAGGTGGTTCCAGTATATCATCTTCTTCATCATCATCCGAGACTGTCACGTGTGTTAATTTCTCTGATAGTTTGCGTTTTGCAATGCTGTATTCAGAATTTGAAATTTTCTTTTTCCGACTGACAACACTGGATATAGAATTGGAGGATATTTTTCTACTCCCGATAGACTGTACAGAGTGTTTTCTTCGGACAAAGTCTCGATGCCCCTGGTGTTGTTCGTGTATTGTCGTACCCCTTAGATCTGCCAAAGGTACATATACCGGTACATCTTCTTTAACCTCGCTAACATTGCCATTTCTAGCATGTGATTTTACTTTGGTAAATTCATTTTGTTCGTTTGCTGTAGATGAAGAACTAGTGGATGCTGACATCTGGGTCAATCCTGACGAATAGCTATTGTAGCTGGAGATGGTATTATCTTTACTATCCATCGGACTATATTCCCATGGTTACTTCGTTGACTGAAAAACCATATAAATACCAATATGCAACATATAACCAGATCTATCCAAGCTTTTATGATTTTTATAGAATACACCAGCCATGGTTAAAAATGCTCTAGTTTTTGTTTTGTGGAGATGTTTTGCCACAATACCTGTACTTATAATATTAATTGTGTAATATGCTTTACCACTGTTCCAGTGTTAAATAGATATGCAACAGCGTGTGTTATTTGATCATCTCAATGATATTACGTGATATACTATCTGTAAGCCATCTTGTATTATAAGAAGCATCCAAAATTGATTAGAGCATTTTGAAACATGTACATTCAACGAAATCCATGTGACGAAATCTGCTGTAGTCAATCCGATGTCCTTGCGTTATTGAATCCCCGTATACAATATAACCAAATTAATTCTCTTCATGCACCGGCAAATAATTTAGCAAGCAGATTACTTGCTTTCTAATTAGCTTTTTCCAGCGATAACCAAGGTAATAAAATTCAGGTGTGTCACGCGTACTGATCATACTTCATAAAACTAATCAACGTTTTTTGCAAAAAGTAGATAAATTGATATATCTACTAGTTAGTGAGAGATGATTACTGTAGTAATAGTTTGTTTTTGGAAGTGTTTTCTAATTCTAACACGTTTAATAACCCACGCTCATTTCTCTGCTCATACACGTCATACCTCTTTTTGTTCCCACTTTTAGGTAGGCTATTATTTGAGTCAGGACTAATAGAGTAAAATTGGTTGGTGCTCCGAATTGTGGACCGGAAATTTTTACCCCTCCCTTGATTTTCACGTCCACCCTGATCTAGTACGCATGTTTATTGTAAAATGGTAAAATCTACAAATCAATTGAAAAAACAATATGGCCGGCTAAAAAATAAAGTGGGTGCTTATTGCAGCTGAAACCAAATTGTAACAACAAGGTATAAAATAAAAAGATCTACGTGTCTTTGCTGATATTTTACAGGTACACCTGTATACGACTCATCGAGTTGATTTATGGTTTAAGTTTTTGTTCTTTTTAACTATTTCAGTGAATTTCACATGTAGACGTTAGGTTGGCAACATTTTCATGACAGAATCATCGTAGTGATAAATTTCTTGTTTGGTTTCCAAGTTGTAATAATGAGAATCGACATTTTTTGATGAGACATTACTCATAAGACATCACTCATTGTAAATGATACAACCGTCATTTCCCCGCCATACCAGATCCTTTAAATTAAAGCCCTCGAGTTACACATATTAAGTTAATTATAACACAAATGTCCATAGAAATATATCAACTCTGTTCCTAATCACACAACGCAAAGGAGCTTTAACATATTTATGAGGACCTACACTGTATCATCGACATCTCTAAGATAACCATCGACATCTCTAAGATAACGATGTCTAAAGGAAATGTTATTTGGGACGCTGGTGCTTGTTTATGTAACTCACTACAAATGCACGTATTTGGATTGTATTTTCCTTTTCATTATCTGCAGAAAATTAAAAACCTAACGTCTTTAATACCGTTGAAGCAGGACAAGACTACAATTACTGGAAGAAAGTGTTCCTGGGTTAAGCCAAAAATGCGAAATAAGTGGATCGGTTAACCGAAAAAAATCCTCAAGAAGTGTTGATCTCAAAACACTCAATTAATCAATAGTATAACTTTAAAATATCATGAACACCAAGCATGTCATATACTATACACATCGAAAATCTGTTCATTCCCAAATTGCCGGAATCTGCACTTTACATGTACGTATCATCTGTTAAATGTGTATTGTTGTTTTTATCTAAATGTATTATGGGGTGCTTTAAAATAGTATATGGGGTGATTTAAAATATTAAAGGGCGATTTAAAATATTATTTGATCATTTTGCAGTAGAATTAGAGAGACTCTACGCTTTTAAAGTGCATTTATAGAATTCCTAAATTATACAGTTAACACAGATCACATTTGTATGCAAAAAATTAACATTTATTGGTGTTAAATCTTTAAAAACATAAAGACCTAACCTCTTAATCTTGTGCAATACAAAATACCAAAATACTGGCATTGGTCTTTAAAACTGTGATGAATAAAAAGCTAAGAAAACCTAATATTACAAAAAGTACATTAACAAGTACAAAAGAACGTTATTCAAATGGCACATGTTTTACAAATAATAGTTGATGCACATTAATAAACCAATGAGTACGTTACAAAGAACTTTGGCAAGCAATTTATCATATAAAAATATAAAATAAATAATAAAGAGATTGTCACTGGAATATTGTTTTGAGATTTTATTAAGAAAGTGATTTTCAGTTCAAATTATATACCATGTGTCATCAAAATACTTCCACTTGGGTTTAACCGAATACACCATCTATTCATTCAAAACTCATTAAAACACCTTAGCTAAAACACTTTCAAACAGTGCACGCGTGGATACAAATCTCTACAATTGGCTGTGTGAGTGACGTGTTCTCACGATTATTTTCTATTTTTACGCCATCTGTAGCACCCTTGGTATACGCAGCTAACGAAAATTGACCGGTACGGGTCAAAAGCTGGACCGGTACGGGTTAACGGTTTTATTTGAATTTAAAACAGCCATAACTTGCTCAATATTGACTTCCTCGTGTCTAATTTGAAATATATGATGCCTCCCGATGCTTTTAAGTACCCAAATTTTTTACAGATTTTTAAACGGACCAAAACTCTTTAAATGCGCATTTATGCTCTTTTCTCTCGAGAACGACTGTCTCATTTTCAGGATAACTTTTATTTAGTACTTCTAACATATACGATCTATTTTTCCCCATCAAGGTATGATGTAAATGACATGCTATTTACATCTTGTGAGTTTCAATGACGCGCGTTTGATTTTATAAAAAATGCCAAACTTTGTGACAAAGAATTTCATCAGCTATTGCCCCGAACCGGTCCGTCTTCTCGCTGCAAGGAGATTGCCCCGAACCGGTCCGTCTTCTCGCTGCAAGCAGGATGAAATTCTTTGTCACAAAGTTTGGCATTTTTTATAAAATCAAACGCGCGTCATTGAAACTCACAAGATGTAAATAGCATGTCATTTACATCATTTATCTAAAACTCTTTGAAATATTATCAAAAAAAAGGAATCATGGCACTGCTCATTTGAAATTCTCATGTTTATAACACAGAGTTGCATACCCTTCTCTAAAAAGCACATGAATTATGGTATACTGGTTTATATGATATATTTTGACATGTTTGGCTCAACGGGCATCATTGTTCAGTCCTTACATGTACATGTATATTCAATTCAATTCAATTTATTCCTTTTAACATAATAATACATGAAATAGGGTTGACAGGTGACATCATTTCTGATGTTTATATTATTTCATTACACTGTTAAATGTCCAGACAGATCCTCCGAGACATAATATAAAAGCTTTGATAATACATTGTAATACCTCACTGTCTCTACTTTCTCTGTTCACACATTGCACGTACACCCTTCATGATACATCGAGAATCATATGAATGATTAGGCTCAAAACATCTAAATTGTGACAAGTTTTGAAAAGGATAGGTTACAACTCTCTAGTAACTCTCTCTCTACAAGTACATGAACTAGTAAATAATATCATTGATTCTCCATTTAAAGGGCCAATAGCTTTAATTCCCATCTTAATAATACTCTATAATAGTTTTCATAATTACGCATTACTAACACAATCAGTAGACTTGGGTATGAACTTTCTTTTTAAAAATATTATTTCCTTGTATTAAAGTAGTATGAGTTCCAAATTGAAATACCATTCACACCTTTTCAATTTTTAAAGATATCTTCAATAATTATAGAATATAAGGTTTATGTCCAAGTCTATTGATTCTGTAAGATACATAACATTGAAAATATTCTAGGGTATTAGACTGCAAATTACAGCTATTAGCCATTTAAATAATAAAAAAAATTGTAAATCGATGTAAAGGTGTGCATATTGCTTTTTGATCCCTCTCATATTCTCGAGTGAGACCATCATTCTTTATGAATAGTTTTTGTGCATACTGAACCTAATGGTGGATAGAGGTAATACTGTATAACTATAAAGCTAGTCCTGGTCAGCGTGCTCTAGACCCACACTTGATAGCTCCCTTGCCCAGCTCCTGGGGGTAGCCTTATGTAGCATCAGTTCGATTTTTTCATTTTTAGACACCTGTAGATATAAAAGATTTGATTTAACTTTTAGTTGTTCTGGGGTGGGCCATGATTTAAGGAATCATTTATGGTACTTTACCTTTCTTTGATCTATCCATGTACATTTTGCATGATCTGGGTGATAAATGACAGTTGCCAAACAAGACATGTATGGGTATCTATGCAACGTTTTGTTGTTCATTCATGGACAGCTAGCTGCCATTTGACACACTGTACATTGTACATCTTAGCTATGACATTTACAGATCTTAAATAATACTTTCTTCAATTAATGTATTGATAAAGTTTAAGATGACTTAATATTATATTAATACTGTTTTAGAATACTAACTTTGTACTTTGTCTTCTTTGGATTGGTATCTATCTCATAGGGTAACTTTTGTACAGCATAGCGATAAACTTTTGCATTGCTATCTGTAAGAGTGACAGTCAAGGAGAATGACCTGCAATTAAAACAAGAACACAAATGTGTACAACATGTCCCCTCCAATGGGTGATCCTATATAATGCAATTTTTTCATCCTGAATGCTGAACACTAATCTGAACACTATTCAGTTGAAAAGACATGTACACAAGACTTTACAGAAAAGATTTTAGAACGGAAAATCCAAAATGCCCACCTTAAAATTTACCCACAATGCGGACAAACTAATCAGTTGAAGATTTTCATAATAAGAATCATCCCTGAAATTTGAAATTGATCTTTTAAACGTTGAACCCGAAAACGACAAACAACTGAGCAGTTGACCAAAGGAGACGCATCGCTATTATCTAGGTCAATCTATTCGGTGGTTCGAAAGCAAATCTATAGTACTTGTATATGAATTTTGTTGTTCATTGTACAATCTTTTATTGATTAAACTCGGTATACTGACTATTAAAGCATTGACAAAGAAGAATACTTCCGATGGTGTCATTGTTTTATTTAGCGTGCGGGTGTAAAAACAAATCTGCGTAATTAGTTTGATTTGGAACTTTTGGGTCACGCAAATAACAATGTGAAATGCATCATGGGAAAATATTGACCAATCAAATTTAGTCCTTTTTGAGTACATGTTTGCTCCATATTTGCGAATGCTCCTATGCAAAGGGCGAACCGCGAAATGGAAAATTGATGAATGCTGAACACACTGTCCTCAAAAATTGGAGAATATTTAACCTCTTGGAGAGACGAGATTTTTTGTCATCTCAGAAATGATCTTGAAACCCAGAGTGACGAGAAAATCTGTCACAAAAATTTTCACTAAAATTGCTCTTATTTGAACAATTTTCAACCAATTTACACGATAATTGTTTTAAAATGTGTAGAAATGATATCTGCCGTCTAATTTTACTAAGATGAGCATCTAAAGTTGTATAGGTATGTAGTAAAACCTCAAAAGATGGCAAAAATGAAAAATCCTCTGGTTTCAACCGATTTTAGAGCCTGGGATTCAAGAGGTTAACAATATGTCACCACTTTTAAAACCAATAAACAGTGACACAAAGTAATGGATTCCCAATGACAATGCAATATAATTAATGACAATATTGAGGGCACACTTAGAACATTGGTATGTTAATTTCAAAATTGTCTCAGAGGCGTAGCCAGTAATTGTCAAGGGGGGTGCAATTTTTGAGTATCGGTGCGAGTGGTACATTCTAAGGATTTCAAACTGTTATTTGTCAATGTATTTTCAACAAATTTTAATTTTACAAAATTGCTTTTTTTTATTGGATGCGGTTGCACCCATCATGTACCCCCCCCCCCCCCCTTACTATGCCCATGTGTCTGGCAACTACTCGTACATCGAGTAAATAATAATAAAAAAAAAAACAGAAAAAAATTTACCATTCAGTTGGTTTCAGATCTATTGTTGCATTAGCTGCCTTATCTGACATCATTTTCTTCTTCAGCTTTGGTATATCAAGTCGAATAAGAACATACTGATCAGGACTACTAGGGTCGTCTCTGTACTCAACTGGAAGAAATAAGATGTTTTATTTGTCATTAATTGAGAACAATGTCCATGTAATATTTTAAAGCTTTAATTATTAATGGCATCTGCAGAAGACGATAACACCATTTCGTATAAGCATTACAAACTGAACTATCTGGTATTAGCTCTTAGTGTAGAGAGCTTACACCCTACAGCATAACAATTACAAATTGAACTAAGATGCTCTTCAAGAACTTTATGTAGTTCCCTGTCTGTTAAACCGTGCAGAAAGGCTTCTAGACTTGCCCTTTTTAAAATGAAAATATAACCCTGCAGCCATTTACACATCATCATACTTGTACTTTCACTATCAGGTCAGGTACGAAAAATTTCCGAACCAAATGCGTGACATATTCAGAATTTGCGTGAAAAGTCCGAACGGCGTTAGGTTTCTTACTGTATCAGCGTTTTATAAAAAGCACATTTTTTAAATATCAACTTAATGTGTGATTTGCATGACATTCTTTCATACACGCAAAATTGATGCGTGATTTCAATTTTTCCAGCAAATGTGTGACAATCACGCCAAATGCATGAGGGTTGACAGGGCAGCTGCAACACTTGTATTGTGACAATTCAGCCAGGGAGGATTGGCTCACAGCATTCCATCTCGATATTCTGCCATGTATGGAGTCTGACATGTCGTAATTATAAAATTCAAACTTTAATGTAAGTCCACATGTTCGGAGACATTTAAGGTCAGGGTGCATGTTTGGAATTTTTCTGCATTCCTCAATTGAGTCACATGTTATTTTTCAAATTTGAATCACTCCTTCTCCACATTGTCTGCATCTCTAACTTTTGCACAATGAGTTCTAATGTACCTATAAAAGAATGTGAAGAAGAATGTTTTGATAAAATGTATAAAAAACAAGAAAATCCAGTGAAAAAATTCAGAAAATCTTCAGAAAAATTTTTTCACTGAATTTTCTCGTTTTTTATACATTTTACAAAAGAAATCTTCTCACCGGTCTTTTCTTGGCACATAAGACAATGTGTGGAAGGAGTGATTCCTGTTTGAAAAATAACATGTGACTCAATTGACGAATGCAGAAAAATTCCAAACATGAACCCTGGCCGAAAAGATATGCAATTGCAAGCAAGATTAGCACTGAACAAAAAGACTAATACGTGATAGACAAAAACATTGTAATTAACATAAATATCTCCCGCATCGCTTCAAGTGGGACAAATTTTCATTGGTCCGTTGATTAAACCAAATTCTCCCAACCTTAAAACCATGTTTTTGCTCCATTGTCGGGACGATGAAGGTCATATTAATATCAAGTTACGAACTTACAACCCTCACAATTGATATTTATATAAGTCAAACATATAGACTATAAACATAAAAGCAAGTCCGTGTTATAGAGACGAGAACTTGTTTATTATTTCATATCGAGTAACGGGTCTCAGCTTCCGGAAACTAAGTCAGTGACGTCACGGTAAAACATAACATGATTATCGTCAGTTTTGAAAAATATTTGTGAAAACTCTTTGCAGATTGTCATAAGGACTTATAATTTCTATCGATTGTGCAAATACGTGAAGAGGAATGTCAAATAAAACCAAAATGCTGTGTTCAAAATCGGACCCGTATATGTCAATGGGGAAAAAAAACAGATGTAAGAAATCTGTTCCCGGCTCTGCAACACGGGAGGTGAAAATATTGTTGTCATTCTGAACTATCGCGTATAAATCCATTGCTTGAAGATTAAAATATCAAGTTAGAGCCCTGGAAGCCAATACTTCTTGCTATTGAGCTACAGTGTAGACTCTACAGAGCCTTAGAGAGGGCTTATAGATCTAGACTATTATTTCATTTGAATCATAGTAAAAACATTCCAGTCTGAAACTTTTGTACTTGCTAAATCAGCCTGTACTATCTGTCTGGCTATGGAATTCAAATGCTTTACCCTCAGGTTCTGTAACGTCCGATTCGCTATCTCCTCCTCCTGCTGCGTTAGACATTTCAGTAATTCAATTCGATGTCCTAAGTAAAACAAAACTGGTTAGGGCTACAAAAATTCGGGGAAACATTATAAACCGGAAGAAGATTTATTTACACTGAGCGAAATTCGGCCTAGGTACTGACGCAGAATCCCCGGGATTACTTAGGTCCAAAGAGCGCTCTATATTCCGTTCCATATTATGTAAGCTAGAGACTCGAGTTATCCCGAGAAAAATACAATTGACCTAACGGGCTCTTGACTGGACGCCTATCCTAACATTACGCACTGAGCAGTCTTGACTAGGGGCCGTGCCAGGCACGGGATTAGTTCAGTCTACGCCTTACTCACTTCGAGAGCCATGTTAGATTTTGAAACTTATGGCTCTCAAACGGGGAAATGGCAGCTGAATAATACACCCTTGGTATACGCAGCTAACGAAAATTGACCGGTACGGGTCAAAAGCTGGACCGGTACGGGTTAACGGTTTTATTTGAATTTAAATAGCCATAACTTGCTCGATATTGACTTCCTCGTGTCTAATTTGAAATATATGATGCCTCCTGATGCTTTTAAGCATAGATCCCGGCCAGATTCTTTTGTAGTAGGATCAGTAGCTCAATAAGTATTCCTCAAGATGAGACACCTCAGAAAATTTCAAATTTTAAAATGACGATTATGGAGCCATTTCCAAAAATATGGGACAAATCATACCTCATTCGAAGCATCTTGTTATTCTTTAACTTTTTTATCATCAATGACCGTTATTCAAGCAATGCTGCGTTGATAAGAGGCCAAAACAGTGATAATTTATCGCCGGACTCTTGTCTGTCCAAATCTGAATGGTGCTCCCTTGGTTCCAGAAATGTGACGTCATCATTACAATGATATTTGGACACACAAGAGTCCGGATCTCTTGAAAAATATTCGCCGTATTAAAAGTCAAATAACTGTATCCATAGGTTATTTACTCGAACCAAAGAAGTAGAAATAGAAAGATGAAGATCTCAGCTATAAAATAAGTGGAAAATCTGTCATGGGGAAGCAGGTACCATTTTATATAAGGACATTTTTGAAAGGTGGTCATATTTTTTTGAAATTTTCCAATTTAGTGTCGTATCTTGTGAATTATTCTTTGAGCTTATGAGATCCTACTACAAAACGATCTGGCCAATATCTGTGCTTTTAAGTACCCCAATTTTTTACAGATTTTTAAACGGACCAAAACTCTCTAAATGCGCATTTATGCTCTTTTCTCTCGAGAACGACTGTCTCATTTTCACGATAACTTTTATTTAGTACTTTTAACATATATTAAGCTCTATTTTTCCCCATCAAGGTATGATGTAAATGACATGCTATTTACATCTTGTGAGTTTCAATGACGCGCGTTTGATTTTATAAAAAATGCCAAACTTTGTGATAAAGAATTTCATCAGCTATTGCCCCGAACCGGTCCGTCTTCTCGCTGCAAGCAGATTGCCCCGAACCGGTCCGTCTTCTCGCTGCAAGCAGGATGAAATTCTTTGTCGAAAAGTTTGGCATTTTTTATAAAATCAAACGCGAGTCATTGAAACTCACAAGATGTAAATAGCATGTCATTTACATCATACCTTGATGGGGAAAAATAGATCCAAAATGGCCGCCTTAACATTTACCAAGAATGCCGAAAAACTAATCAGTTCTAAACTTCCATAGGTAAAAACATCCCTGAGAATTTCAAATGAATCCCTCCAACGGTTTGGCTGGAAACCTGTAGACAAACCTTGACAGACAAGATTTTAGGACGGAAAATCCAAAATGGCCGCCTTAACATTTACCCAGAATGCCAAAAACTAATCAGTTCTAAACTTTCATAGGTAGAAACATCCCTGAGAATTTCAAATGAATCCCTCAAACGGTTTGGCTGGAAACCTGTAGACAAGCCTTGATAGACAAGATTTTAGGACGGAAAATCCAAAATGGCCGTCTTAACATTTATCCAGAATGTCGAAAAACTAATCAGTTCTAAACTTTCATAGGTAGAAACATCCCTGAGAATTTCAAATGAATCCCTCAAACGGTTTGGCTGGAAACCTGTAGACAAGCCTTGACAGACAAGATTTTAGGACAGAAAATCCAAAATGGCCGCCTTAACATTTACCCAGAATGCCGAAAAACTAATCAGCTCTAAACTTTCATAGCTTGAAACATCCCTGAGAATTCCAAATGAATCCCTCAAACGGTTTGGCTGGAAACCTGTAGACAATATTATTCGGGACGCCCGCCCGCCCAACCGCCCGGCAAACTGATTACAATATAGCACCTTAGGGTGCGATAAAAAGCAAAAAACTTATAAAAATGAACCTCTCAAAGATTAAGCCTTAACAACCTGGATCCTACATTTTTAATTACAACGCTCCGTAAAGATGGCTGAACATCAGCATAACATAATTCCAATATTGCATGACCACGTAATAGGCTATACTAGCGAAAGAAAAACGTATTGCTAAAATTTCCAGTTTGAAATGTTGATCGCACAAATATCGACAAAGGTTGCCAAGCTTATGGAGGGGAGTGTACTTTCTGTCGGCCATTCTGAAGTCAAATGCTTAGGCTAGTCCTTAAACATTAAACATTACGAAAATTAAAACTCTTAACATCTTTTCCTTTAATATTAACTAACTTCATTCTATATCTAATATATCTATAAATAATAAGTTTTTGGTGTGGTTGAAGTGGTGTTTTTAATGACATTTACGTCTGAAGAGTAAATGGCCTGATATGCTAGCATATACAGTACTTTGAATTGCCTTATCTCAACCAACTTTTCAACTTCAACTCGTTTGGCATTTTAGTCTACATGTTCAGACCAATAGACAAATAAACTGAGAACTCGTCACCGATGCACAGACTCTATTTTCAGTCACTACAGTATAGGCTGGCACTATGTAAGTATCTAATTATTGTTCCTAATCAAAATTGTAAACAATATGTGAAGTATTATAATGACTTTAGTATGAATCTAATCCCAGTGTCTTGTGTGGTTTCGGATTGTGATGATGGTTATTCGATGGCCGGGGGAAGGAGTTGTAGCCACTGCTTCTTTACATGCGTCAGTTAGTTTGGGATGTTGGGGGTCATTTTTAATAAAAGATATGATTGTTGCTATCCATTTTTTAACCACAGTGTTAACTTGTCCACACTTTTTGCTGTGTTTTCTTCCCTTTTTGGCACTTGTGGTTATTTAGGATTGAACCAAAGGATAGAACGAAGGAAGGGCGATTACTAGACATACACTCCCCTCCATAAGTTTGGCAACCTTTTTCCCCCATTGAACTACGTGTTAAAGCCTCTTTAACTTTTTTATTTACTTAACCTGCGATGAGAATACTTACACTATTGATGGAAACGTAATTTGACTTTATTTCCAATACCTCCAAATTTTCTCAATTTTTTCCTCAATTACAATAGGTCGAAAATTGATGATAAATTTGATGAAATTTTGAAAATCGACATTCCCATGTTTACCAATGGGAAATGGTTGGTTTGCCGCAAGTTATATGACAGAATATCCATCCATCCGAGTCCTTGCAAAAATACGAGTTAGGCAGGCAATTGAATTTGCTAAAATTTAACAAAAAATTAATATGTTTCTTCAGGTTCAACAAAGTTATAGGGCTTTAAAGTCAAAATTGTTTTTCAAAAAACTTCTCCCATTGAAATAACACAGGAGGCGAAAAATTATTTTCAAAAATGACTTTGAAGCGCTGTAACTTTAATATTCATCAAATAAACTAAACACTTAGTGTTCAAAAAAGTTAGACAATTCAGTTTTCTATATAGAAATATTTTTTGCTGAATCTTTTACTGAAAAGATATCCTGATCATGATTTCTGATTTGCCCCGAACCCTCTATTTCCCATTGGATTACATGGGAATGACGATTTTCAAAAATTCATCAAATTTACCATCAATTTTCGACCTATTGTAATTGAGGAAAAAATTGAGAAAATTTGGAGGTATTGGAAATAAAGTCAAGTTACGTTTTCATCAATATCATAAGTTATTTTATCGCCGGTTAAGTAAATAAAAATTCAAACGTAAAGAGGCTTTAACACGTAGTTCAATGGGGGAAAAAGGTTGCCAAACTTATGGAGGGGAGTGTATAGAAGTCACTCTTTAAATCTAGATGATCAACTATCGGGAGATAGTTTTTTCTACTTTGGAAAGATTTCCGTCATAAAAGAGTTAAAATGTTTTTGTCTTTAAGCGAGAAGTTACATCTACAGGCAAGTCATTAAAGTACCATTGAAGTTAGGGTCACACAAATTAGTGGTGAAATGGATAGAAACCTTGATATATAAAATAATATAGTGTGCATTTCATAAATATTTTGCAGGTCTAAGATGATGAGAGCGATATATCTGACACAAGCAGAAGGAAAACTTGAGCTGATGCAGTGTGAAGCTCCTAAAGCTGTTAAACCAACAGATGTACTCTTGAAGATCCCTTGTGCCGGAATTTGTGGGTCTGACCTCCACTTTATTAAGAATGAGTTCAAGGTCAAAGATAAGGTCATTCTTGGGCATGAGTTTGCTGGGACAGTGGTCCAAGTTGGCGATGGTGTAACTAATGTCAAAGTTGGAGATCGAGTTGCTTCAAATGTAGGGGGACATTGCCACAAGTGCCGCTACTGTCATCGGGGTAAGGCAAACCTATGTCCAACGGGAGGCGTTATGAATGCAAATGGAATCTTTCGGGATGGCGCATGGGCCGACTTTTGTCTTGTGGAAAGCTCACAGTTGTTCAAGTTGTCAGATGAGATTACGTTTCAAACTGCCTGTTTGATGGAACCGATGTCGTGTATCCTCAACAGTTTCTCGATCTTAAGCCCTCTGGTCGATTCTGCGTTTATTCTGGTTGCAGGCAGTGGCATCATCGGATTGTTACAAGCGTCTATGTTGCATTACAAAGGATTCCGTAATATCACAATAACTGAACCAAGTGCGGGTCGTCGAGATATAGCCATTAACCTTAACCTTAGCGGCGTGAAGGTTGCACAGCCAAGTGACATCATTGGCCAGTTCAAAGATGTGGATACCGCACTCAACGGCTTCGACATGATTATCGACTGCACAGGAAATCCAGAAGCGATAGAGGAATACTACCCATTGCTGAGCCGCGGCGCAACATATATTGTGTTTGGAATATGCCCCTCGGGATCAAAAACCACAATTGATCCACACGAAATTATCACTAAAGAGACAAAGATCATGGGCACTTTTGGAGAGCACAATAACTATATCGATGCCGTGGCACTGGTTCAAAACATGGCTGCCGATGGTAAACTTGATATTGGAAAGTTGGGTGTGAAAATGTATCCCTTGGAAAATTACGAAACTGCTCTTGCAGATTTGGAGAGAGGAGTTATCGCCAAAGCCATGTTGACATTATAGTTCTTATATGACATTATGAAGGAACAAATACCTAGCTACACGTATTCTCTGTATTGCCTGTTATGCCGAGTAGATCAAATTTAAAAAGTAATCGAATAAAAATCTTAAATCAAAGGATTGAATTCCAAGGACTCAATGAATTAATTGTCAATGCTCATCCATCATGTCGATGATTATTTGCAAAAATAGAACTGTTTGTGCACCGCTGTTATTTGGGGCGGTCCCTGTAATCCTTTTTTCAATTTCAATTTTATTTATTATACCATCACCCAAATAAAGGGTATTAGGCAAGTTATGAAAAAATATGAAAAATAGAAACATAATGTACAAGGCCTAACTTTTGTATATTTCAGATAGTTATGTTTAATGTGCAGCAAAGCTGTGGCCTTTTGTAATTTAGGAAGTTTCAACCATGTTAAATTTTTCGAAAATAATACGGCAGAGAAACTTCATGGCACAGGATCAAAGTACAAAGAACGCGTTCACTTGTACATATCAATTGAAGGTAACTGCCGTCACCGTATTCAAAATGGCGGACGAAAATTGTCGATTTCGAAATTTTTAGTTTTCATCGAATTAAACCACTTTAGATTTGACACAATGCTTTGATATTTCAACTAGATCAGGATTATATAACGCGGAACATCCGGAGTGTGATAATTTGTTCACATATCGTGCGTAGGCGCCACAATCAAGCGATTTCTTTCACCGCTAAGGGTAGGTTACTGGGATTTGGGTTTTGTGGTGATGCGGTATAACGTTATGAAAGTTTATAATGGAGAAATAAGATGTCCTAGTTCAGAAAGCAAATCATGCTTTACAGTGATGGTTCACATTATCTTATTCCCAAAATCAATTACTCATCAACATCGTTATTTCAATTCATTCCCACATAACTAGGCAAAGGTAAAAGGTGTTTCCGATTATAACCAATACGAACACAGTATTTCATATACTGTAGCTGCAACTCATTATATAAACAATCACCGCATCCAAGGTCATTCTTTGAATGGTTGTCAAGGAAGAAAATAGTGTGCAATTTGAGACTCGTGCTTTTGAAAAGCGACCTTCTCGGTCATTCCACATTGCTCTGAGTCCAGGGATTAATTCCTTTAATTGAAGACACGCACTTGTTTCAGCATACAATTGGCTCAAATCGAATTTTACACTCCCATTTAAAAGAGTTGACACCCCATAGTCAATTCAGACGATATTTTAAATATTGATGTATCTTGCCATTTTAATAGTGCATGTACCTTTTTCTGAAACATTCCTCCGGTTAATTTTGACTCTAAATTGAAATAGCTATGGGAGAATAATATGGGATAAGTGGCGTGACAATATATTCATTCAATGATAGAATACCTGTTAAATAGTAATGGTATTATTGTACAATAGCCAGAGCAATATCAGGTACTGTATATAACAGCATTACGGCAAGGGATAATTATGTATTTTGGTTCAGATTTGATATCTGGATGTCATCCCACGATTAATTTGATATATATACAAACAGCTAGTAGATATTATTGATATCCGTGTGATATTTTTCAGAAACCGTTTATCTGCAACCGTATATCCGTGTGATAAACAAATCCGAATTACGCACAAGATAATGTTGGGAACACAGGTCAGATAATCTATTCTGTTGAACGTGAAACAGTTAAGGTTCTAGTATAGATCGCTTGAGAAATGTGAGGAGAGCATATAGCAAACTGATTCTCATCGTGGTGTAAACCCTATATCAGATCATTTCTCCCGATATCATTTTATTGCATCGTAGATATCAAATGTCAGCACTCACTCGCTTCGCTCACTGAACTCATCGATAAAATTATATAAGTCAAAATAATTTGATATTTTGTACATATGTAATTGTAAATCAGAAGATTTTATCCCATGATACTACTGCTTCCCGGTGAATAATACCCGGGAATGGAACCCCCGGGAATATATTTTATATTGGAAAAATCGCATTGTTCCGCCCAATTCTACTAACGATACAAAGTTAGAAATAGAGAGATTTTGAAACGTAAGAGAGTTATGAATAACATGGGATGAAAGAACATATTTTCGATGAAACTTTTTGCAAGGGTCAAATTGTCAAAGCATCAATTTCACTGAGGTATTTTTTAAATGCGATTTGCGATATTTTGTAAAGTTCATTCTTGATCCTAGGAAGGAGAACAGCCAGATATGACGCAGGCATCGCTTGTTTACAGATTGTTTCCAATGATGAATAACTGTGTAAAAGCAAATGTAGTTGCGTCTAACTCTAACCATATTGGTTTCATTGAGATCGCCTCTGTATCGTTTTCATCCAAATGCTATAACCTTTTTCATTCTTTAGTTCATCTTCCAATATTCTCTGATATGCTTTCACTTTAAAAACGTTCGATGTTTACTATTGGAAATTGCCGATGCATCGATGTGCGATTATGACACATCGCGACAAAACTATCTTTAACATGACTTTCCAAGGTGTGGTCAAGCAAAATAGCTACAATTGTCTTCCTTGTTGTTCTACAAAACGTGCACATTAGCAGTGAATCTTTTTGGCCCGAAACGAGAGCAATATTACAGACTTGATACAGTTACCGCATCATCTTGAAAACCAACAAGACCGTTTCCGTATCATACATTTCCAGTAACCTTCCCTTAAGCGGTGGAGGATATCGTTGAAATGTGGCACCCATGCACGACATATGTACAAATGATCATACTCCAGAGTTTCCAAGTCATACAAGCCTGATTTTGTTCAAATATAAAAGCATTATGTCAAATATAAAGATACGACGTCAGATACTGTACATCGCGGCATTTTACTGCATTTTTACATGCGTACTTACTTTTAAAACCGCAATATCTCGTAAGCAAAATCATATTTTTCTACAATTTTTCGTCATCAGTTGAACACGTATGTCCATGAAATATTTTGCCTATCAGAATTCCAAATAACTGATTTGGGACTTTTTAAATGAGAATCACGCAAGCCGTACTATGCGACTTTCTATGCTAAAACCGGGTGTCGACTGTAACATTTTGAAGAAAAGTGATTTTAATTTTAAACGAAAAATGAAGATAACTTTTTCATTTCCCAACGGATCTTTCTCAAATTTTCACAATATTTAAATTCACCATTTTGGAAAAGACAAACAGATTCTGTGTGATGACGTCATAATATAACAATGCTAACTTAACGCTTATATTTATGCAAAAAAAGTGTCGACAGGCAGAATTTCGTACCAACAAGATATATATTTCGATCAATTAAACATTAAATCGCTTGAAAGGTGAAATATTCTTTTTTGATTCCCGAAAGGCATATCATATTCTATATTTTTATCAAAAAACTATATCATTTCGATTAAAATTCAGTCTGTAAGAAGTATAAATTGAAAGAAATATGAAGTGAAGCCATGTGAAAAATTCACAAAATTACGTTTCATTTTTTGAGTTCAAATATTTCTAATTAAGGGATAAACATTCAAAACTTTCCAATGTTTCAACATGTTCTTTTAAATATACCCCTTACTACATACAATTGATTTCATTAAATTTGAACCAGTATATATTGAGATAGACATCGTTTTATCACCGCAACCCCAAGTGAAGCCTTTACAAAATAAGACGTTACGCCGTTAGCGTATTATATGTTCTCCTTTATTATTCATTGCTTTAAATAAATAAAACTAAATATTCGAGTTAAAATAAATTACAAATAATACATTTAACAATCCTTAATATCTTCCCGTCTGTGTTTATCAGTTGAATATGACAAGGGGCATTGTGAAAGAGTCTAGAAAGACGGTGCGACAACGAGAGCGCAGGGCCGAAAAGCGCGACAAAGAAGAAAACGGGTAGGGTTTGAAATGTCTACTTTCTGGTGATTCTAATTCTGCATATCGTGACACAACCTTTTTGAATATAGAATTGTATTGAAGCGCACATTAATCTGAACAAAACTTGAAGTTTTTAAGAAGATTCCACGAATATTAAAACGTTTGCAATTACTTGGAGGAGCATTGCGCATATTTATCGCGTAAATCTTTGCATTTTGTCGGTAAAATGAACAATTACACTGTTACGCCGTGATGTACAGTATCTGACGTCGAATCAAAGTGGTTTAATTCTATGAATACTAAAAATCTCGAAATCGACAATTTTCGCCCGTCATCTTGAATGCGAAGGTGACGGCAGTTACCTTCGCTTGATATCCACCAGTGGCGTTGCGTTGCTTTTCTTTTAGACAGAGATTAAGAGAATCGAAGTAAGGAACTTTTTAAACGTATACATTCATAAAATCTATTTCAGAAATGTATTTGCATTAAAAGTTGGGCATAGTTCATAATGATGTGTTAACAAAGCTGCAGCTGAAGTATGAATACTAGGGTAGTGTACACAATGACCTAATAAATTACCCTTGTTTACCAGTCTTTCATTTGACTCAGTGGAGGTTATCTCAACATATTACACCTTCAATACATGAACCGACCTTTACCGTCAGAAATATAAGAATAACCTTTCGGTGAATAAACAGACTTTAAGACGACACTATGTAAGTATTTTAACTATTGTTCGTCTTCGAAACTAAACAATATTTATAATATAAAAATATCATTCAGCACTATGTCGTCTTGATAAATTTCAAATTGAAATTTGACACGAAGCTTGGACCAAAATTTGGCCTACTTGCAATCAAGACATGTACACACAGACGTATGATCTATTAACCCGTCTTGATAAGGATTTTTTTAGAGATTATAAGTTATTGAATGATTTGAAGTGCAATACAGGATATATTCTGTTCGAGAAATTTTTTCTATGGAACGAGACGAACAATACAGAATATCGAGACAGAATATAACATATCCTGTATTGCACTTCAAATCATTCTATAACGTTATAACGTTAACGTTTTTATCGTGTGATCTTGGGCCAATACATTTTACTTAGGCGATAATCTCTAGGAAATATTCTGTATTCTCTGTATTGCTCCTGAGAATTGCTCCTTTAAAGATGCATTATACCATAGGTTTCTCGCCCAGACAATCAATGATATGTCTTGTGATTGCTTATATAATATCTGACATACCATGGATATATCTTGAGAATAACTTATGGGTATATTATTGCCGAAATATTGAAATAATCAACAAACAACCAACCTCCAGAATTAAACTCAATCGATTCCTCAGCTAGCGAGAGGAATCCCCGTTGAGTCACACAAGCGCCCAAACGCGCCTTGAACCAAGCAGCCAATCAGGGTCATGATAAACAAATTCAACGATCAATCATACAACCGGGGGATTTTCCCGGTATATTTAAACTTCAGATTGAATTAATTTCCGTGGAAATAATTAGATCGGTCAGCACAATCGCAAAATTAACACTGAAAACGGGGGATTTGAGACTTCTTTTTTGGTAAGTAGATGGGTGAATATGTGGTAAAGCTCAATATGCAAAAAGGTCCTATGGTATAGAGCCTCTTTAACATTCGGGACCGCTTTACCCTAATACATAGACAGTACAAGAAATCCCTCTGATGCTAAAGGGTCACCTTACAGTGTATTCATATTTTGCAGGTCTAAGATGATGAGAGCGATATATCTGACACAAGCAGAAGGGAAACTTGAGCTAGTACAATGTGAAGCTCCTAAAGCTGTTAAACCAACAGATGTCCTCTTGAAGATCCCTTGTGCTGGAATTTGTGGGTCTGACCTCCACTTCATTAAGAATGATATGAAGGTCAAAGAAAAGGTCATCCTTGGGCATGAGTTTGGTGGAACAGTGGTCCAAGTTGGCAACAGCGTAACTAATGTCAAAGTTGGTGATCGAGTTGCCTGTAATCCATTAGGATGCCATTGTCATCATTGTCGCTTCTGCCATGGGGGAAAGCCAAATCTGTGTCCAAAAGGAGGCATTGCGTATGCAAATGGGGTCTTCCGCGATGGTGCCTGGGCCGACTTTTGTCTTGTGGACAGCACACAGTTGTTCAGGTTGTCTGATGAGGCTACGTTTCAAACTGCTTGTTTGATGGAGCCGATGGCATGCATCCTGAACAGTTTCTCGATCTTAAGCATTTTGGTCGATTCTGCGTCTATTCTGGTTGCAGGTAGTGGCATCATCGGATTGTTACAAGCGTCTTTGTTACATTACAGAGGATTCCGTAATATCACAATAACTGAACCAAGTGCGGGTCGTCGAGATATTGCTATAAACCTTAAGCTGAATGGTGTGAAGGTTGCACAGCCAAGTGACATCATTGGCCAGTTCAAAGATGTGGATACCGCACTCAACGGCTTCGACCTGATCTTTGACTGCACGGGAAATGCAGAAGCGATAGAGGAATACTACCCATTGCTGAGCCGCGGCGCAACATATCTTGTGTTTGGAATATGCCCCTCGGGATCAAAAACCACAATAGATCCACACGAATTGTTTGCTAAGGAGACAAAGATCATGGGCGTTTGTGGTGAGCGCAATACCTACATCGATGCCGTGGCACTAATTCAAAACATGGCTGCTGATGGGAAACTCGATTTAGAAAAGTTGGGTGTGAAAATGTTTCCCTTCGAAAATTATGAAACAGCACTTTCAGAATTGGAAAGAGGAATTATTTCCAAAGCCATATTGACATTATAAGTCCGGGTTATAACTATAATGAGCGATATCTCTGAAGAGACAGTACATACCGAACGGCAGCCGTAGCATCCCAAATCGAGAGAAATATGCAGCACAAAATATAGGGATATGCGATATGATGTAGATTTTGTAGATTGAATTTAGTGAAGCTACGACCACAGTACACCCTGTAGGGTAAATGTGAATGAGGCTTTACCATTTGACCTGCATAAGCACTTTGCTTGTTATTCGCAATAATACTATTTATAGATTCTTACTCAACTATGAAATTAATCAGCTTGTCGCTTTTAGTAGTTTCACTAGAATCTAAAAGTCACCTTGGAAGGGTTGTTGGTAATATAATGCATTGCAGTAATATGAAATAGCAGCCTAGCTATACATGAATAATGAATCATGTAAAAACATACAAACACTAGATGTATTCATTTATCTCTTTGTCTTATCTTATACTTTTTGTCATCTACATGTACAGTGTACATACAATTTTAATCAAAGAATGACCTTCTTTGTAAGGTAAGCACCCTAAGTACTATAACCACCTTTATAATATTTCAAATATAATTGTGTTTTTTTATGAAAGGTGACTAGTTGCTGGTACTAAGTAAATGCCACATCTCTGAATACAATTTTTGTTTGCCAATGCATAAACAGTGCAGAACACTGGGGCACATTCTCAATTTCATTCAATCCCATCAAATCTATTCATCAGATGGATGACTGGTGGGTTTGTTCATATCTAGCACAAATGTGTAAATAAAAATAATAAAATTTTATTCATGAACTATCCAAATATCCCTAAATCCAGTATCTTTATTGTAAGCACTATTTGCTGATATTGTTCTGAAGTCCATTTAGTATGACTGGATGCAGATAGAGGGCTCTGCTCTTCAAGTGTCTCGTGACTGCTACTCTGTTGGCTGGAATAACATGAGCAATTTATTTACACATGTATGCCTTGTATAAATTGACTTTCAGCAAAATGTTTTAAAGGAGTATGCTGTGTATAAATGACTCTTGTGGTAACGAGAGATTTGTTGATGAATATCTATCTATGAGTCAGACACTGAAAACTTGAACATAAAATATGTAGGCACAGTGCACAATACATTCCAAAAATCATTCAATGATGCATAGTTTTCAAAAATCCTCAAGAATCTTTGTGCAAGGAAAAACAATTTAATCAAATGTAATCAATTCTGTCTGTTAATTGATACACATGTATATTCTGTTGCTCCTGCTGAGAAAGAATGCTCCTAGTCAGCATTCATAAAGAAAATGTTGAATATATTTCAATTTTTCAAGAATAGGCAAGAAAGTTTCTAATTTTTAACAAATTTTGAATTAAAAATTGAATTACAAATATTTTATTGAATTAATTAAAAATTCCACTTTTCCAAAGTACAGTGTATATTAAATACTCATACACCATATAAGGATCCTACCTACCTGATTTGAATGGGATCATTTAAAGTGACCAATAGATCAGTACTGTGTTGAGGAATCCTGAACAGGCCCATGTGAATGTCAATGATATTTGCTGCATTTTCACCTTCTTTAAATTTTGATACTTTTTGTTTTCCCTTTAAGTACCATGCTTTAGAACAACTGGAAGGAAAACATTTAATGATGATTGTATGTAGAATGTAGATATACAAATATGTGTATGTACAGTAAAAACCTCTCTTAGTGAACCCCTCTCTCTAGTGAACACCTGTCTCTAATGGACACCTGTTCCTCCTCACATACTCTACTGACTTCTGTATTAATTACCCTCTCTGTAGTGAACGCCTACCAACACTGGACATCTTTTCTCAGCAAAAATGGTCAATATTAACAGGTTTTACCTTATCTCACACATTAACTTAAATTCATGTTTTAATGATAAACATTTGTAGGTAGCGATCTGAGGCACTTCGATCAGGGTGTTGTCGGGACAATTTCTCTTGTGACTTAGGTTATGTATTTAGATCTATCTCAACAGATTTTACTGGTCTTATGCGCCGCAAATGGTGCGAAAGATGTTAAAATTGCATTTTCGACCCTAAAATTCAGATTTCTTGGGGGTACATTATTATTTAGCTATAAAACAAAAACTAAACAACCAATGCTTCTTTCTTTTGGTGTTTCTGTTAAGAGTAATCATACTTGAAATGCATATGTAAAAAAATTGAAGAATTTTAACTTTATTTAAAAACAGCAACATTTTTTCACCCTAAAATCATAGAATTTAGGTGGGTTGAGAGACATTGATTGGAATTGATTTTTTAATTTCTCAATCAATCTCAGGTTAATATTAATGGAACTTTCCTAAAAGTAGCACCAACATGTCCCCAACACATTACCATAAAGAAAAAACTCAAACTCTAACATGTTTTTTGCCTATATGGGTCAATTTACCTCTCCCCTCTTTCCCTTATAAAAGGGGTGTGGCCATTAATACATGTGGATTTAAACAGTAGCATGATGTCACATTAAATGAATACATGTACATATCATGTATTTTATCAAATATATTACCATAAAATATTTTCACTTAGAGTCCATTTCACTGCTTCAGTTCGTCAGTAGAACGGCAAAAATAAGAAATTGGGCGACCATTGTGCAATAATATATGGAAAAGTATATTCATAATGTACATGAATGACATTTGTATATCTTGGATTGCTTCTAGTTTGGCTTATAAAGTGTGTGGCCTCTTATATTTGGATGTTTCTCTGCCATGTTATTTTCAATAAGATTAACATGGCCGAAATTCTTCAAATTACAAGACGGCACAGGCTTATTGCACAAAAAACTAAAAAATCTGAAATATACAAATGTCATTCATGTACATTATGAATATACTTTTCCATATATTATTGCACAATAGTCTCCCAATTTCTTATTTTTGCCGTTCTACTGACGAAATGAAGCAGTGAAATGGACTCTAGGTGTATACATATAGTACATACCTGTGAATTATTTATAATACAATATTTTTTCTATGTAGGCTTGAGATATAAGAATATTAAAAATCTGAAGTTGAATATTATCTAATACACAGTTCACGACTCAGTCATAATATTAATTTTACTCATTGTATGAATTCCTGTCATCACAAATGTAGTTTTTATTCACCAGAATATATTTGATCCATAAAGCTTTGTATTTCATAAACTTCCTCTTCATTTTGATCTTCTAAAGTATCATCTTATACGATAACATCTACCAGGTCCTCGGGTAGAATTTTATCTGGATTTGACACCCATTGAAATCCAAATGGCCATCTTTCATCCTCCATCCATGTGACACAGGGGAGGGAATTGATGGGGAGGGGATGTTGGCAAGTTTCCATATGTGTGCTTGATAACTGGCCCTTGCCAGATGCTGCTGTAATGAATCTTTACATGGGGGTAGGAGGCTTATTGTTAGTGCCTTCATAGCTTGTTATCACACTTGGGGCAGATTTTGGTTGAAATTTGTTCTTGAATAAGGTATATCTCAGCTCATTTATATTTGAACACTTTTTGTTTCCATACATCTGGCAAGTAAACTTCTCAGCACATTTAGCAGTTTGATCACTAATGACCCCTCCAATGGTGCCGAAACCTTTTTGAAATTCTCATAAGTAATTTTAGGGGGGGGGACACTTTCTCCCTTCTCACAAAGGCACTGAAGGAATCACATCCAGTAAATGAATGGAAGGTTGGTAAAGCATTACAAATTTACAAATGTCTGAACTGAGCGCATTTCCTACTTCCTTTACATTAAAGGGGCAACAAGGGACTGTAGAGAGAAAATTCAATTTTTTTTCTTTTTTCTGAGCTATCAGGTCAATATTTGGCTTAACATCTTCTTTGACATATCTATTTTCTTAAAATGTACGGATAAACTCTCAATTTAGAAGTGTAAATTCAGTTCAAAGCTTCTATAAAGGGAGTCCCACTTATAGATTTTTAAGATTCACCACGTTTCAAGAGGAATATCAGCTGAAATAATGTTCATCAAGGGGGTTTCTTTGTAGATAATAAAAATATATGTTACTCTTGATGTACCCTGTGTGCAGAGTCTAGTTAAACTACACTCTGCCTAGTAGAGACCATATTACAGTTTAGTAGCCCCGCCCCACAACGGGTACTGGTGACAGTTTGGGTAATAAATCACTTTTGACCTACGCGCTGCCCTTTCTTCCACCAATCAGCGAGCTTGAAGAAACATACGTCAAATGCGTTCTAATTAAATATACGCATGTCATTGGTCAATTCCGGGCTCAACGATGACGTCAGAAGGAATGACCATATATAGAACGTCGGTCAAATTTGGCCGACGAACACTGATTGGCGCGGTGAGTTCACAGGTTTATTTTAGTTTGAAAGAGTGAAGACAAAGCTCTCTTTTAAGAGGCGAAGTCAAACGAATGCAAAGGGTACTCTTGATGAAATATCCAAACTTAAATATATTTTGACACTGGTCGATGATCGTTGAATTACCCCCCTGCACTAATTGTTGCACCTTTAATAAGTCATATGTGGTCTGCACTACCAGTGTCAAAAATTAATGGAGTTTGAATAAGATTGGAAAGTGCACAAGAAGTACAAAAACATCGCTATCTGGGGATCTCACAACTATAGTTTTTTCTGTATTTTCAGGTTCATTTCATGTTAATTGCATGGGGTATAATTATTGTATCTGCCTCTTTGTGGGAAGATCCCAGGCTTGATTCAACTCTATGTGTAACAGTAGTTCTATCACTGGTGCACTGTACAGATCTCACCACATGAATCTGTCTTTCTTTGAGTTTAGGGGCATTTTTATCTTTTTCCATTCTTCAAGGATCAACTGACTCAGCTGCATTTCATTCTCATCATTTAAGAGGAATTCCTTCCAATTGTTAGGAATTCTGGTATTAGGTCCTTTTATTATTAGCTTTTTGGAGACAAGCCTGCGTATTCTTTCTGGTTCTTTAATTGAATCTTTCTTATAGGAAGCATCTGAAGGATCCTCTCTGCCAGTAATCCAAATGTTTTGGGTCGCTCAGGAAGTATATGGAACAATGCATTGCCATCATAAACTATAATTGTTTTTTCTGCTTTGGGTCCATGTAATATTATATGTTTCCAGCTCATGTAATAATTTTGACTTTTCTGTTTTAACCAAGAGTCCATCAGGTGTTCCAAGAGCCCAGGGTATTAGACTCAGGGGGTATTCCAATATTCGCTTTAGACTGATACTATGCTGCTCTGATAACATGACTAACTGGCCAAATGTATTGCGCTCAGCTCTAATCTCAATCAGTCTGTTTCCAGAGCTTTTCACCTTTTTGACTTCAGCATTGAATTCAGATGTTTTCAGTTTCATTCTTTTATGGAGTCATGAAAACTTTTTCCCTTCTGCACAAATTGGTCTTGAATAAATTGCTTAAAGGCTTGTGTGCCCTTGGATGCTGCATTTAAGAGATAATCTGCTAAATTAGAGGGTGTTGGCATTCCAGATGATATGCAGTATAAATGATCATTGTCCTCAATTTGGAATGGATTGAGAAAGCCATCAATTGAATCAATCAAATTAGTTAATAATAGAACATCAGACAGTAATAAGCCTTGAATAGCTTACTATTCTCCCTTATTGTTTTGCTACATGTTCCCTGCAAATAATAGATAGCAATTTATAATTGCAATTAGATAATCAGTTTATTAATTAAAGTTAAATATAAAGGTGTTTTGTATAAAGTAAAACCTGTGTACAGTGAACATCTATAGAGCCACAAAAAAGATTTCAATACAGAAAGACAATTTGTATTGGAATCAAGGTATGTGCTGAAAATAGGGTGTTCATTTTACACAGGTGTTCACTAGAGAAAGGTGTTCACTAACCCAGGTCCCACTGTATTAGGCTTATGTCATTTCAAAGACATTCACTAGCTACAAGTAAAACAAGGCATTAACATGACAAAATGTCACCACCTAGTTGAAACAAGATAAAAAATACCTTTTTGACCTTGAGGAGGTCACTAAAGGTCAGATCCATTTTGACCTTTAGAATGTCATTTAATGATCAAATCTATATTCTTAAATCTTAGAAGGTCATTGAAGGTCAAATCTTAAGTCAGATTTGAACTTCTGATAACTTATAGATGATTTTGAAAAATTGGTTAATTTGAAGCAAATTGAAAAAAGACTTTTTCTGACCTTGAAAAGGTCATTGAAGGTCAAATCTTAAATATAAAGTCAGATTTGAACATCTGAAAACATGTAGATGATTTTGAAAACAATTGAAGTCAGTCTATACAGTATTTGTTAATTATTTGAAATTGTAAGAATTTGTTACAGACACCAATTGCCAAGCTCCAACCACAAACCGCCGACCACTGACCACTGTCAGAAATGAACAGAGACCATAACAATATGTCACCACTTTTTGTTGGTGACATAAAAATGATAACATGATGTGAACCATCCTCCTAAGCAGGTGTCCAGAATCCGTACCTCCTTCTTCCCCCTGCGATAACCAATTTGGACGCGCCTGATTTAACTGAATCACGTGATCTAATTATGCACAATGACTTATACATGATTTCTGTCGCAGTGTTGCGACAGCCAATCAGATTGCGAGTTCTTAATCTGGAAAATGGTAACTGCTTATTGCTGGGGGTAAAAAGAAAGAATATGTTCTGGATTTTGAAGCCCTGTGATCGGAGGATGGATATGAACATGAAGTATTTATTTTTAGATGAACATGCCAATATGGCCACGCCCTTCTAAAAAGGGATAGAGGGGAGAGGTAAATTGACCCATATAGGCAAAAAACATGTTAGAGTTTGAGTTTTTTCTTTATGGTAATGTGTTGGGGACATGTTGGTGCTACTTTTAGGAAAGTTCCATTAATATTAAACTGAGATTGATTGAGAAATTAAAAAATCAATTCCAATCAATGTCTCTCAACCCCCCTAAATTCTATGATTTTAGGGTGAAAAAATGTTGCTGTTTTTAAATAAAGTTAAAATTCTTCAATTTTTTTACATATGCATTTCAAGTATGATTACTCTTAACAGAAACACCAAAAGAAAGAAGCATTGGTTGTTTAGTTTTTGTTTTATAGCTAAATAATAATGTACCCCCAAGAAATCTGAATTTTAGGGTCGAAAATGCAATTTTAACATCTTTCGCACCATTTGCGGCGCATAAGACCAGTAAAATCTGTTGAGATAGACCTAAATACATAACCTAAGTCACAAGAGAAATTGTCCCGACAACACCCTGATCGAAGTGCCTCAGATCGCTACCTATTGATGTATATATATGAATTTACCCCTTCTCATGATTACCTGAGCCTTCAACCCCCTCCATCATTGAAATCAGTTTGGCAAAAATGCATTAATCATGTTCAACTAAAATAGCATGAAGAACATGATTTTGATTTATGTTCTGTAATCATCCTCAATATAAATATATTTTATTTCTGTCCATCTGAGCTATGGTAGCAGTAAAGCCCAAAAGACTTGTTTGCGTTTTCTCCCTGCTTTTCATCAACATCACATGCTAAAATATACTGTTTTATTGAAGAACAAATCCTTGTTCAATTTTTTCATTCTAATTTTGTCTAAGCAATATTAAATTAAAAATTAAACCAAATGCTTCAATGTTGTAATTGTTGTCCAAACTAAAGAAAATAGCACAAGAAAAATGTGTGCTCTCTGATCAGAGTCAGATCAGATAAAGAATCAGAACAAATAATTGACTTCATCCTATTTACATTCTTTACATGTACATACTGTGTCAGCGCCACTTTGTCCAAAGGAATGGTCTCAGTCACTTCAACTTCTGAGTTACCAATAGATGTTTCATTATTATTGGAGACTTCTTCAAAATGTGTCCTAAAATACATTTTTCATGTACACTTTTCAGAACATCAAGATGCATTTTTAATGGGTCATGATTTGAATGTGTCTAAATGGAAAAATATGAAAATTGTGTGATAAATAACTTGATCGATGTGATCTGAAAAAATGAGTGATTAATGATCGGAATTACAGAGCATTCACAAAAAAGCTGGGAAATCACTGGGAATTACTATCATACTATTCATAGCCCACTAACTATTCAGCCAAAGTGTATAATATGAAATGCATGTACCTCAATGCTTGTTCATCTTGTTCTGCTACATACTCCAAGATCTCTATGATGATGCTCTGGTCTGAGCTTGGATGAACGAAAACTTCTTGATTGTCTGGCACAGTTCGCATTTGGCTGGAATGAGTAAAATATTTGTCGCAAAGCTCCATATGCTGAGATGGAATGCTATACAGTGTACTATATGTGTCAAGACAATAATTAACTCTAACATCTACAGTTAACCATTAGGACTTACATTTTGTCCAGTTTCAAGATATATCATGTGATCTATCTGAAATTTGGATAAAGAGTTTAGTTGCACCTTTTAATAATTCATACCTGATATCTATAACATCAGAGGGAAGGTAGGCTGAAAGGTATCCACCAAAGAGAGGCTTCTCCATCATTCCAGTTCCATCGGCCATCTGTTTTGTAGAGCAGATAGATAATTTAATAGATACATTCAAACTGTAAATGTAAAGATGTTCATTGTTACATATTAAAAGTTCTCTACACTTACATTGTACATACATCTGAGCAACTAGATGTACAATACATGCACTCTCACCTTGTTTGAACTCTCCAAAAGTCATTTTTGCACAAATCAAGTTGCATTCATTTAATTTTAAACAATGTCAATTGATTCAAGAATGAGTACGGATTATATTGTTACACTTTCAAAAAATTAATTTGGTTAGCCTATTAGACAAAAAATATTTTAATGTTACGACATGGACTTCCATGGTTACTTGTACGTAAATCTTTCACTTTGTCTGCCCCACCATGAGCTTTCAAGAGAGCCCATGTCCCAATTGACACTGTTTTTAACACTGTCAAACAAACTTCGGAAATTAAAAAAAGCAAAGACCTGCTTCAAAAAGGGACATTTGGTGATCCTTTATTTGGGAAGATTGCAATAACCGAGGCTAGATAAAGATATAGTGATTGGAAATAAACAGATAACAAATACATGTATGAAGATTTTCTGTGACTGGAATATTTTTCTAAGATCAATGGGCTTGATTGCTTATTTTTTAGGTCGTATTAGCCCAAAGCCCAATTAAAATTGACTGAAAAATAAGAGCAAAGACCTCAGTGCAGTATCATTATTGATGTCATATGGAAAAATACATCTAAATTTATACATACAACTTGGACTGCTTGTGATTTTGGCTAATAAAATTGTAACCTCTTGTATTTTGTTGCTTCTCTTTTTCTAGTCCTTTTTCATTCCATGGAATGAGTGGAAAAATAGTTCCAATAAAAATGGTGAAAGGCAATCTGTGCAAGGTTTGTTATTTAATTGGTTTGGTTTTTTTGAAAAACAAAAATAGGTGAGCTCAATTATTTCATTATTTTAAAGCAAACTGTATCTTATTCAAGTCTCTAGCCAAATTACTTGGCTAGACATCATTGCAAAGTTTTCCTTTACACAGATTTAATTGAAATAATATTCAAAATATCGTCCATGAATTGAAACTGAATCAGACCGTTCATGCGATATTGCATGAATTCATCTCAATTTAGAGCAACAGCTCCAAGGAAATGGACAACAACGATGAAAACTGGACAAAAATGTTGTTAAGGTCTAACATTATAACTGGCTGTAAATCCAAAAGATTTAAAGGTTCAATAAAGACCATAGAAGAAATTTGGAAATCATTTTACCTTTCCCGAGCTATTAGTGCAACGTTTGGCCTAATGTCTTCTTCGCCATACCTATTTTCTTAAAATGTATGCACTTGTCGACGAATACCACCATTCAGTCTTGCAAATAGACTTCTAAATAAGCAATTGAAAGGATGGACGTCCTGCATTTTGTTTTTTGAAACATTTCTGAATCTCCACCATTTAAATTCTTATTGCAGCTGAGATTAGGTAAGACCACATGTAAGCATGTTTATAGTATAACCGCGGTTGTCTGATATAACCGTATGCATGGTACACGATATGACCGCCATTGACAGTCTATTCCTGGCGACTCTTGCAATTGAAAATTAAAACACCTCAAATCTGCCAATATTCAAGGTCTTCTTGACATGCGCATGGTATATGGGAAACAGAATGTTGGATAGAACGTTAGGTGGAAACGGGGTTGGAATCCAATGACAACATCACCGGGAAATCATTAAAAGGTACGTGAACATTTTCATTCTGTCGATGTCGCAGAAGATTCCCGGGGATTTAGGATGCCAGTGATTGTGAATATGGGCAGAAATTACATGTAGGTACGTTCAGGGGTTTTCTTTGTAGCTAATGAAAATAGATGTTAGCCTTGATGAAATATCCAAAATTCGATATATTTTGACACCAGGACCATGATCGTTGGATACGACTCTGCACTATTTATACAACCTTTAGGACAGAGAAAATAGAACACTGAACACACTGAGGTAAGAATTTATTACATATGCGACAGAATGTATTTTTCATAGCTATAGTAATTCTTTATGTTCCCCACTGTAGCTTTAGACCAAATTCTCAAGACTCGTTCTATAGATACAGTTGGGGACAAAAATAAATGACAGGTCGATTTTCGATCACCATTTCCTAATTATGGTGGTCTGAAAGCCCATAATTTTCAATATTGTCTAGATATATATCCCTTAAAATTTGTATATTTTACATTTTGTATAATCTCATCCACTGATGTATGGCCTCTTGTAAATTCTCTTATTTTTAACATGGGAAATCCTCACTTCAGCAAATCCACCTGTCATTTATTTATGTCCCCAACTGTACATGTAGACTACAGGTTTATCGCTAATTTATCTGAAATATACAAATGTACTGTAGGCAAAAAGATATAAAATTATTTTTCCATATTTACTGCACCGTGGTCTTTTATCTTAGATTTTATAGACGGTATAAGACTAATCTAAGACGGAGAGGAAAAAGCCAAGGCGGGCGATAATATGTGAATTCACACAAATAAGTCATTGCTGCTATTTTCAACGATTTTTCATTTAAATGAATTAAACCAAAGGTGTAGATTACTATTAACTATCTATTATTTGAATTATGTACATATCTACGTGACATAAATGTAAATATTAAGCAAATAAATACAAAAACTTACTTTTTCCTTGAATCGTACAACCAAGACGGTGTTAATGCTATCACGAAATGTTTCGCCTGTTGACGCCATCAGTTGGAGAGAAAGTACCTTGCCCCGCCTATTACATCAATATACCTGATGGCAAGAGATGTTTGTCGTGGGACAGATATGCATCCCCACCCCTCAACAACTGAAAAATGATTTTATGGCTCAGTGAAAACTTAGGCTACTGAAGTTATCTATCTAATCGGTTTGGGCTAATAGGCCAACTACGATACTTTAATTCAGAAGAAAAAAATTTAAAAAATAATCATTCGAACATGTTTCTCTCAAACTCGCTGAAATATGACACAAAGTTTGATTTGCTTTAATATTGAACCAAGGAAAAGATAACATTTGAAGTTCAGATTTATTAGACATGCATGCACATGAAACAAAGTGCATGTTTAATTACTGTTAATTTAAAAGATGTCGACACTTCTATAAAAATGAATGTATCGATGTGATACTATAAGTTATTGAATGATTTGAAGTGCAATACAGGATATATTAGCTTGAGAAATTCAGTATTGGAACGAGACGAATCGAGTGCCAATACAGAATATCGAGACAGAATATATCCTGTATTGCACTTCAAATCATTCAATAACATTTTTATCGTGTGATCCTCTGTATTGATACTGAGATTGTCTCCTCCGTACCAATATTTTCTGTATTGCGACGGAGATGATCAAACGGGGACAATCTCAGTAGCAATACAGATTGGTACAGCACAAGAACTGGCCATTCAGAGGGCTTCATTTTATAGATCATACATGTACGATAAAAACAACTTTGCCATCTTTCAATGACATCATGACGACATTGATAAAAACTTGATATATAAAGTTTGACAGAATGAAAATATTTTTTGATAATTTAGTAAGCTTTGATGTGGTCCATTTCTGCTCTTGTTGGTATCCAATGAAAGATAAGGTTCTTATCAATACATTGGACATACTATGAAATTCAAATGTAAGTCTTTATTTTGCCCAAAAACGTTGAAAAATAAAAATGCATTTTTTCATTTTTTGGTAATATTGTCTTGCGTTGCGTCAAATTATCCTTTTCGAAAGCATTAAAAGCCCAATATGTTTGCAGTTAAAAGAATGCATGTTTTATATTTACATGTACCTGTTGAATGTGAACTGCATGCATACCGGTACCGTTATTTGATTCGGTAGTCAACCCGATTGTAGTATACAGGGCGTATAAAAAAGCAACAAGTAGTTATCGCGTAAAATCACAAAACTAGTTATGACTACATCAATTTCATTTAATGTACCATAAAGCCATGTCTCTCCTCTTTGCAATGATGTCATTCATTCACAAGTGGTAATGGTTGGGTGAGAAATCCTTCCATTTGCACAGTGGGTCAAAATCGGCTCTGCACCAAGTTTTAGATATTGAAAAAATCAGTGCAAGGGCTAAGTGCCAATGGAAGTTCCCCTGACTTGAATTGTTGTGACACTTTCTTTTGGAGCTATCTCAGGAGCATCTGTGCTTACAATTCCTCCTCCAGATATTGCAAAACCTCTAGAAAGATTTGCCCATGGGCTGTTTTTCTTTACTTTAACCCACACATGATTCAGGGCTGAACCATGCATGACGTGGACAGATGAGCGCATCTTTATGTGCAAGGAAGTGGTGGCAATTTGGAGGGGTATAGGATGTATTCTTGAAAGAGTATGAGTACGAACACTTTTCTGTCTATCCCATACCTGTCACACCTTCTTCCAATAGCCCCTATGCCCCTTGTGTTGACTTTTGCAATGTTTTAAACTTGGGTCCGAGCTGAATTTTGCCCCACTTTGCAAAATTAATGATTATTCGGCCAGCCATGACTCCCTGTGAATGAATGATATTCCATTGCAAAGCGGAGTAACTTGGATTTTTGGTACATTGAATTAAAAGGATGCAGTCAGCATTGGTTTTATGTTTTCGTCCAATATTGCATCGGGCTCCGTACACTGACAATGTTAATAACTTGGCCCGAAACTAATTTTGGCCCACTTTGCAAATGGAATGATTACTCGCCCAACCATGACCAAATATTAATGAATAATATGTCATTGTAAAGAGGAGACACGTGGCTTTATGGTGCATTGAATGAAATCAATGCTGTTATCACTGGTTTTGTGCTTTTCCAAGATAACAATCTGTTGCGTTTTTTTGATACGCATTGTACAAGATGTCTTGGCAACAGACAGAGTAAAGTTAAAGACAAATCTTCGAAGGATCTTTCAGACAATTTATTTCAACTTTAAAAATCACACAACATTACGTGAAACTGCTACATCATGTAAGGCAGAAATGGGTAGATGCCCGCTGCTTATAAAATATTGTATAAATTCTTAATTTTTGGATCCACTTATAAACAGTCACCAATGCAATATTGACTGGGCCCGGCCCGGCCCGGCTGCAGGCCTGTATTATTAATATTTTGTGGTCTTATTATTTAGTCCAGACTTAGTCCAAAATCCAGATACAGTCGTCACCGGGTTTAGACACTCCAGTAAATTTTCCGTTCCTGATGGCCAAATATTTCTTGCCATATGCAGCAAATAGGACGACGCTACGCTCCCCTGTCGAGCACGTCTCATCAGCTATTATATTCCACTCTTCGGCCCCATAATGCTGACCCTTTGTGTAGATATAGTCACCATTGGGGTCATAGCCTGTAACCATAAGACATAATTATCAAAATAGTGTTATACGACACATATACAGGGTGGGCCAAAAAACGCCACTTTTTTCAAAATGCTATAACTTTTTTAATTTTTGATACAAAATCATAATTTGCATACCAAATGAAACTTGAAGTTGTTATCTAGCCATGGATCATGAATTATACACTTTTACTTGAATAAAACATGTCATCAGCGTCTCAGTTAAACATGTGGTGTGCCATGACAAATAAGCATAATTTGCAAAATGTTCCTGAACTGATACGGCCTGATGACAGCCAATCTAATAGGTCTGATGCAAACCCCAGTGAGTATAGGGTATGGGAATGTCTCCAGGAGATTGTATTAAGGCACCCAATCTAAAAAATTGCTCAACTAAAGCCGGAAATTAGGATAGGTTGAAAAAACTTAGCTAACATTTCATTGATACTGCTATATCAGCAAGGCGACTAAAACTAGAATCGATCATCAAATAGGGTGGCAGGCCAATTGAACTCCTCTTTTAGATCAAATATAATCCACGCTGAAGGACTTGTTACATGATATTATTGCTAAGAACCCCTGGCCCTATATAACTGCAAAGTTTGGGGCATGTAGGTTGGAAAATAAAAAAGTTGTAGTGTCTTGAAAAAAGTGGCGTTTTTTGGCCAACCCTGTACATACAGGGTGTCTCAAAAAAATGTACCCAAAAGTATATCAAGAGCACAGATCAACCAATCAATATTTTCAGACATTTTTTGCATGGTCATGTAGCCAAAATATGAAAGTTTTCTCCCCAATACACCATTTTTATTTCAGTCTTGTCTTTTTGATGCTTTAACCCTTTACCTTTTACACCACAAAATCGATGTAACCTCATATTTCGATCTGTATCTTTACTGCTACATTGTTCATTACATTTGATAATAATTCCGGTGAAATGTTTTGGATTTCTCTTTGGATGTTGCCTTTAAGTTATTCTAGGTCTTTTTGCTTGGAATGAGCATTAAAACACTCCTTAAAATAGCCACAGAGAAAGATGTTTGAGGATGACGATGGCAGAAGAAACATAGATAATCAGGTCAATTATCGGCAAATGATTCAGGAGTTACCTTCCAGAGATAGGCAGGCTAGCCTGGAGACCAAATGATTTTTAAATGAAAACACAGTGGTCTCATATTGATACACATAACAAAAGCTACACTAGAATCCCAATCAATGCAGTTTCTTGAACCTCTGACCTCTCTGTATAAGGGGGCTATAAGACATTGTGAGGGCCTCACTATTCACCATATTTGACGGCCCATACTTTTTTCTCTGAGGCTATTTGAAGGACCATTTTCATGCTAAACCCAAGCTAAGAGACCTAGAACAACATAAGACCAGCATCCAAACAGAAATCAAAACATTCCACCAGAAATATCAAATGTGATGAACAATGTAGTAGTAAGGATGCAGACTGTCATCGAAATATGACTTTACATTTAATATGTGTTGTAAAAGGTAATGGGTTAAAGTATCAAAAAGGCAAAACTGAATTAAAAACTGTGTATAGGGGAAAAAACTTTCATCTTTTATCTACAAGACCATGCAAAAAATGTCTGAAAATATTGATTGGTTTGTCTATGGTGTTGATATACTTTTGGGTACATTTTTTTGAGACACCCTATATATTTATTGGAGATTTACGCATTCTAATAACTACTACAATACTATACCCCCGAGATGATATCACAACTAATAAATACTTGAATGGGTTTTTGCATAATAAATCGTTTTATTAAATTCATTACAATTATAGTATCAAAATGTTTGATTTTGTGATTCAGTCATTTGCATTAAATTAAATGCTTGCCATATTTTCTATTAGGGTCATGATGACAACATCATTGCTTAATTGTATGGGTGGGATGAAATAAAAAGACTTGTTCATGATGTGAGAAGAGGATAGAACTTGTAGAACTGAGTGTTTGAAAAATGAATTTATACATGAAATCCCCTAAAAATGCATTTAATGAACCCCGGGTAATGAACATTCGACCACCAAGAAAAGTTGCACGGGTCGTGCATAAACCTTTTTCATCCGTCCAATGTTTCGATCAAGGCTACAGTTTCAAATTAGTAATCTTAGACAAATGAAAATGATGAATACAATTCAAACTTACCAAGGTATCCATTGGAGTGGAAGTTCTTGTAGAAGTAGACTTCTGATCCCTTCTTAGACTCCTCCACCCAGTAGCTTGTATCCTTAGGCGTGTCTGTTGTTACAAGATTGCTCCTGTTGCCACTGGCTGGATGGAACTTCACTTCACCTGTGATGTAAAGTAGAAACATTGTTTTAGTTCAATTGTGTACGTCTCCATCAAGAATTAGGCAATCTAGATATCCTCAAAAATTCTAGAGGCAGCAAAGCAAATTTTTGTTCGCAGCATTCATTAGGCATATATTTTCAAACCAGTCCAAAGATCTTATTTAATTGTTTGGATTTTTAATTTTAAACTCTTCTGAATCTCAAATGCTCGATAATTTTCAGATTATTTTGATCGGATATTTCAAGTTTTTTCCGGATATTACCTTGGTATACAATAGAAACATTGGCATTGCATATTGCTACTCTCAAATACCAAGTATTTTCCCTTATATCATATATTGAATATATAACATCATGCATATCAAATTATCTAATATTTAATTTACATTTTTTAATTTTTTCAGTTTGTACCTGATTCTGCAAGGTATTTTCCCGACAGCTTATGTCTAAACGCTCTGCCAGGCTTTTTCTCTACCGTTACTTTGGGAGCTGCCTTGATAGCTGGTTCTTGAGGAGGAGGGATCATTTTGATGTTGTCCCCCACTTGGTGCATTATCTCTTTGATAAGAGAATCAATTCGTTTGGCCATATTAGTTTCTTCTCTGAAACAAGATTATATATTCACATATTTGTAAAAATGGCTTATACATGTATTGTCACATTACCTAGCCATAGCAATAAAAAGATATATTATAAAAGAGTGAAGCTCTAATTTGCAACAAAACTTCCATTTTGCAAGATCTAAGCCCTTTGCACAAGAGAAGCATGGTACATTACAATATAAATGGTTCGGGCCCGGAGCCAGGATTTTTCAATTGGGGTTCGACTTTTAGTGTTTAGTGTGCGTGTGCGCGACGCCCACCTCCCGTTTCACTATGCTTTGATTTTGCCTCTAAAGGTATATGAAGTTGCCTAAAAAAGCTTAGACTCTAGTTAAACAAATATTGTATTTTTATAGGGTTAGTTATCTTTTCAAACCATAAAACTAACCCTATAAAAATATGACTAACGGAGGCCAAATAATAATTTATGATATCACCGTACCTGAAATCTATCCAAAGAAGACCGGCAGTGATGATACCTAGCCACTGAGTGGCCTTGAAGCCCCGTTGAGTCATGCATGGGATGATAGTCTTGTCAAGAGAATCTGTGTAGTTAAGTTCCTTCTTGCAATTCTTGGATTCCTGAAAGTCAAATATAAGTTACAAACTTTAAGGTCTAAAGTCTTTTTGTAGTGCCTATGTTCAGTAGAAATTGATACCTTACGTAAGGAAATTATTTTGGTTGACCTCGACCTACTGTGGAGTGATCATTACGAATGGTCATATCATTGTTCTCCATAGCATTGATACAAAATTTATAAAAGCAACAATAATTTCGAACATGCCGCATGGCAAACTCTTACTTGCTATCTATTAATTGTGTTCTTAATTATGTTATGTTTTAATAATGTTGATACGTGTTATTAATACTTCGAGCGGTACGTACATGTAGACACTTACCTGATATTTTGGAGACATGAAGCAGATTACAGCTATTGCATTGTCAACACCATGAGCCATGCTGAAAATATAAATAAAACATTTACACAGACCCTATGTTTAATTTCGCAATTTTGTCTTCTTTTTCAGAAAAGGAATAAAAGTGGCCATTATCATGTTTTTCTTATTCTTAATATCAATCACATTTTCTGCTCGGACATATACGGAGACCAGTGCTCATTTGGTTGTTTTGTATGATTTTGTCGTTGTAGTCTCTTGGATACTAAAATTGTGTTTCATATGTACATGTACTAGTATGTAAAATGTAGTTAATTGTTGGATTTACACTAGAGCCTTAGGACGTCTTGGCTAAAACGTTTTAGCGTTAAAACGTTTTACAAATGTAATGTAAATCCAGATTTACTCAAGAGCTATCGGCTAAGAGCGCTTAGCTAAAACGTTTTAGGACCCTAATCATAGCCAAGACGTCTTAACGTTAAAACGTTTTACAAGCGAGTGTAAATCCATCGGTTTTAGCTAAAAGCTCTTAACCCGTTTTTTGCAATGCGCCGAACGAAACATTTGAAACTTTCCATTTACATATGTCGCATGGTCCTTTCTTTTGTCTTTTCCCTTGTTCCTATTATCATCCCAAAATTATTGTGAAGAACTTATTTGCCTGGCGATCTGTCATTATCCTAATTTGTACATAAAATCTTCCTGCTCTCTTTCCTGCTTTTAACAATGCTGGCTTTAGGACATTTTTTGTGAAACCGATGCATTCTTTAGCACAATGTATATAGAAGCGGGAAAGGAATACATATATCGACTGAACCGTCCTTCAACCAGTACTGAACTGCTTTTTTCATTTTACATGTATACCTACATATCTCTAAGACGTTTTAGAAAAACAGGTGTAAACTCAATCATATTTCGTAAGACTTTTTGAAAATGGTGGTGTAAACTCAACATAATTTTTCTAAAACGTTTAATAGCCAAGACGTCTTGGAATGTCGCGTGTAGTGTAAATAGGGCTAATATACATTACATGTACATACACAACATATAAATAACTTGGTACAATAGGGCATTTTTATGGCCTCATATGTATAGAACATCATACCTATCATTTATGTTTCCGCTCATACCACCTTCCTTTATGTCCATCCAAGCAGGGATTCCATTGGCCATTAGTCCATTAAATACCTGCTCTACCATCTTCTGCTTGTCCCACTGGTAGGACAACATCACGTGCGTCATTTTCACCAGGGAACTAAAATAGGTTAAATATTTGACATGTGTAAAGTAAAGACTATGGTACATAGACTAGTTTTGAATTTTAGAAAAACATAAATCACAAAGAAATGCGTGACCTTCGCGACCATGACCATGGCCATCAAATTATATATATTAATTGTGTTATACTTACTTAGTAGGCTACTGTATTGCACATAACATGTAATGTCACATAATTATATAATTACATAATTGATTATTCAGACGTTTAAATTAACATTCATTGAAATTTCAACAAATACTAACTGCACTCGCTCTCCCCAAATTGTCTGGTGTTTTATCCAGGACTGTATGCGTAAGCCTCTATTTGCTCTGAATATCGAACGTCAAAGATATCGTATATTTCAAAATTTGGAAATGTAATATATAATATATACGTAAATATTTTACCTTGGAACGTATCACATTATACGTGAGCAACAGAGATGTTTTCCTCGAAACCCTTTGGCTCTTCGTAAAAAGAATGCTGGACTGTCTCCGATGGTATGAGAATGTCCTGTTTTGTATGGTCACTATTGTATGTGCCTTTTCCACAATATAGTAACTCTATGATGCTTAATAGAATACTACATGCGAGGCATAAATATATAAGGTTCCACCAATAATCAATATAAGCCTACATAGTACAGGTACACACAGTGTTAAACCTATAACAAAGGGTTGCAGTTATTCAGAGTTCTTATATTATTATATAGACTTAGACTAGTGTAGTCTAAATAAATACGGTAGTACCAAATCAATACAGCTAAAAGGTTAGTTAAATTACATTCGGAAAGGAATAAATATTTTTAAACAAAATGAAAAAACAGCCATAGTGTTTCCTGTTGACCATTGCGAATTATTTATTATTTGTGTTTATGGATTACGGCGACGGCTTTCTTAATAGATGTTGACTCTTTGAATTGCCTGTGGACATCGAGACTGGATTTCGTTTAGATCTATCCCACATCATTTGAGACTGAATACTCTTTTATGAGTACTGGTATCTACACCTATTTTTGATGTTATGAATTGGCTTTCAATTTGTTCTTCAACATAATGTAAAATAATGTCTTCGGTATGAATGAAATGTCCCTTGGTATTCTATTCCTGGGTTGTGATATTGGTTCTCGATTGGAGGGGAGGGGTATATTACACAGTATTTATCTTTTACACGTTGGATCATGGTTTTGGGATATATACCGGTCTCTTTTCAGTTGACATGTCTATATACAGTTTGCTTTTCTTGCTAGATTTTTTCACAGTTTTTGGTCCTTTGGCATTTGTGCTTAGATATTGAAATGCATATATTTGTTGATTACAGTCCTGTACTGCTCTGTTTTTGTTGACTTGTTTTCATTGACTAAGCTGTAGCAACAGTGACTGCAAGTGTTCGGGTGACATCTTTCAATTCAATAGAAAAACAAAAAATATGGGATTGTTTTTCTCTTGCTACTTTTTGGATTACCTTTCTGTCAGGTGTTCTTACACACTTTTTAATTCACTTTTGCATGAAACAACAATTCGAGTATAAGAAATAAAAGAATATTAAACTAACACAGATTTATAATGGAAGTCCATGTGTATTATAAAAACAATACTCAATAACATACACGTTTGTATTTAAATCATTACATCTCATCAACAATTAAACAATAAAAACACATCAATTTCGCCTTCAGCTTTTCAAAATTCTCATCTTTAACAAAACACGAATTTTATATACATGTGTACAGTAGGAAATTATCATAAGCGATATACATGATCCTGGAATGAACATTCTTTCCTATCAGTTATTTTATTTTCCAAAAGAAGTATTCAAGTTCAGAAATACTTTGAGTATGATATTTTTGTTTATTAAATTATGTTTTGAACACATTTTCAGTAATTCCAGTGTACATAGTTTCAATCTAATATGTTTGAAAACGATCCCGTGTTGTTCGGAGAAAAACCAAAATATCAATCTACTTTTACTTTTTTAGAATTACAATACAATAAGCATTTTCTATGGTATTTCATCAATGCCAGCATTGATGAGTTATCAAAAAAGGAAAAATATACTCTAGCATATCTATCAATGTATAGCCAGGAGACAAAGTACTTTATGTGAAAAGTCTGAATTTCGGATACAAAGTTAGGTTTTGACAGAATAACGTTTATTTCAATAAAGATAAGGCCCTGGAGTCATTATGAATGACTGAAATATCCATGCAATAAAAGCAATCACATGTCTTTATACCTCCTATATAATAATATGTTTATCCCATATATAAAATACAAAATTATATTTTACCAAGTGTGGAATAACATGCTTATTTTAGACTTCTCAGTTCAGATTATTGGTACCAGTAGTGCTACTGGTTCAACTTTACAATTGGTGCTAAATGTACATTTATAGAAACGTATAGACCACACATTGAGTATGAAGAGAAAAGTGAGGTATGTATCACAAGTTATTGACATTATACACATGATATTGAAACAATAGTTCTGTTCAAAACTGTAAAATATGAACTTTATAAACACGAATGCATAGCTTTTGTTAATGTTTCAATGAAATCTGAACTCAGTTTGACTTCATCCAACTTGCTTGAACTGATGAAATAATAGGATTTGAGACAGTATTTTGGAACTATTTGCAAATAAGGAATACAATTTTACATTGTATCATTCAAGTTCATGTATATTATATTCTGTATACATTTTGAACATGGCATACGATAGGTACATGCATATCTTGCATTTAGATATGTGACTGAGGTTACATATGATAGCCAGTATATACACAATATTTATGAACCAAAATTCAAAACTCCATGCTCTAAGGTCTATCATCTGAGTTCCGAGGGCTGACTGAAAAGTCGATTTTTACTACTGTATTCAATTTCAACCATCTACTTTCATAGTTCCTTTGGTATTTGCATTCTAAAACATTGACAAATTGGCCCGGAAAATTGGGATAACAGAATCATTATATTCTTCATTCACATATGTTATGTCTAATGACTAAACATTATGAATGAAGTTCATTTAATGAAATAATGCGAACACAAACAATTTAATGATGACTTGATGTAGACACGTGTTAGCAACAAGATTTGATGATGACAAAATTAAGCCTGCAACGTTTGCACCATATTTACTACTATTTACACCTCTTATATGTTCACCATATCTCAGTCCATAATATACATCTTACATTTGACACCAGATGCCACTAAAGTCCAGCTGCAAATCCTTTGCTGAATTTTCATGTTGTTGGCATCATACATTGCACACCAAGGCAAAAAGTGAACATCCTCTGTGCACTTTTGGCCTGTCTTTATTATTATCTACTCAGTGCATAGTACATCACAATGCACATATAGTTTGATGCCAAAGGCAGTGCAAAGTAGTGATGTTACACCAAAACAATGCACATTTTGTCGCCTGTGGCAGTTCATATATATCAGTACATCAAAATGTACCACTGGTTGCCTTTCTATTCAAGGCAGTGCATAGATTACACATTGTCTCCCTGTTTTGAGGTATAAGCTCATGGATATATGATGTCATAACCTTCGGTTATTGCTTCGATGACATCATCTTCTTAAATTCTGAAAGGGAATATTATGATTGTTAATTTATAGGAAAGAACATGTAATCATCTGAACCATATAATCATTCACTCATAATAGTTCTAATGTTGCCCTTAGTTTTTTAGGAATGTTGGAAAACAGATGCCTTTAAACATATCAAGTTGGGTTACTAGCTATAGCGTTTCTTTGACAATTAACATCACAGAATTAAGATTGATCATGAGCAAACCTTCATAATTTATTTTTCCATCGCCATCAAGATCAGCTTCTTGAATCATAGAATCAACATCTGCATCTGAAAGATCTTCACCTGGAAAATAAGCAACAAGTCCAGGAATTGGTGTCCAAAATATCATTTCACAAATAATTCCATGAGAATATATTTTGTAAATTGTGTTTTTATTACAGTATTATTATGTCACCTTGACAACCATTCAACGAATGGCACTGGTTGAGTTATTGGTTATAAAATGCAGTGCAGTTATATGAAATACTGTGTTTGGATTGGCTGGAATCGCACATTCACTGCCTAGCTATGTGTTAAATGGTGTTGAGACTCTAAGCCGATTCAGCTGAAGTACATGAAACTTTGTGCATGATGTTACGGTAGTTTCATCTTACTTTCCGTTTTACTTCATTTTACATGTACTTGAATGCATACTTATTGGTGTCCAAATTAGAATTTTATCCACTAAGTGGTCGTATTGCCATGATGAGCCCGGTCTTATAATTTAAGGCCAGGGTGCATGTTCGGAATTTTTCTGCATTCCTCAATTGAGCCACATGTTATTTTTCAAACAGAAATCACTCCTTCCTCACATTATCTACGTCTTTAAGTTTTGCACAGAGTACACTTATGTGCCTAAAAAAGACTAGTGAGAAGATTTGTCTTTTAAAATGTATAAAAAATGAGAAAATTCAGTGAAAAGATTTTCTGAAAATTTTCTGATTTTTTTCACTGAACTTTCTTGTTTTTTATACATTTTATCAAAACATTCTTCTTTACATTCTTTTCTAGGTACATCAGTGCACTCGTTACGCAAAAGTGAGAGATGTAGACATTGTGGGGAAGGAGTGAATCAAATTTGAAAAATAACATGTGACCCTATTGAGGGTTGCAGTAAAATTCCGAACATGCACCCTGACCTTAAACACAGAACTCAAAAAGTTTACAAGTAACTCCAACTCAGCCTGCCTACATTTACTTCCACCTTTAGTATCTTACTTTCACTTACCTAAATTTTTCATGGCATGTTTTAGTTCAGCTGCTGTGATAAAACCATCTCCATCTAAATCAAATACTTTGAAAGAGTCTCTCATCTCCCTCTCATTTTTAATATCAGTGTCGTCTTCCTGCCCTAGAGCAAGAGACATCCGCCTTCTAGTCATCATCGCCATGAAGTCGTGAAATGAAACTTTTCCTACCCCTGAAACACACGAATGAAAGGTTTGGTTAGAATGATTGTGAACATATATTCGCATAAACAACTAACGCTAGTATTACCAAAGCTCGTATGGCGCGTTTGATATGATGTGGTTAACTCTCGAACTTATTGAAGTATACTTATACCTGCTGGTGTCAACAATGACAAATCGAACAGTAAAAACTCTGCACGCAGAGTTATTAGCAGTGTTTTATTTCCTTCAAATTCAGTATTTAATATAAGAACTAACCAAACGACGAATAGTAGAATGTAAGACAATATATTCTACACTGTTAAATTCTACAGTCTACAGTAAACTGTAAAACTCTAAATTATATGGTTCAAGACTCTGTGGTCTATATGTTATTTTCTCTGGTGACGTATTTCCCTAGTTTCTTTTGGAAAGCATCCTTGTTGCATCTCGTGTTAGATGATCTAGAAGTGAATTCTTCGTACGATAAGTGAATACATGTGGAATTTTAATTTGATGCAATCCTCATTGGAGTCAAATGTTATTTACAGGAACGCACATCTCATTCTATATACGGTCTATACCTTCAAATTTTGCAATAAAACCGCACTAAATATGCCTAATAAGAGTGAAGGGACGAATGTTTTTATAAAATATCAAATATGAGATAAGTCAGTGAAACATTTTTTAGAATAAGTAATCATTAATCATCATTTACCAAAAGAAGCTAAGATGATGCAAGGTAAGTTTCTTAAATAATGGTTGTACCAAAGGTGCATGGATTTTCAGTAGCCTGTTCGCCGTTTTTCAAAGATTGTACTTTTTACCAAATAAAACACTCAATGTACACTGTTATTTGTTTACGTCCTGTCTGATAAGATGCCTACAGAATTCTGCAGCGCATATACCATCAACAGCTAGCTGAGCCTTGAAAACATGATCCTAGATCCAGGCATGGATGTTAGCCCTATCAGTGAATAAACAAATGATTTATCTGTCTAACAAACTTGTAAAACATAACTCATCAAACTAAAAGCCTCATGAACGTTTTTAAGCATATTTACCTCAAGACAATATTTGTACAATATAAATTTTCTTTACATGTTTGAAGTCGATCAATGACCTTCAACTCTCCACGTGGTTTATGAGTTATAATATCCACCATTAAATTAATTTGTTCTAAATATATCCCTTTAGTATATCGATTAAATGTCAAACTACATCTGTTGAACAAAGGTCAATGGAATAGCACATATGTATGAAAAAATAATTGCCACGTTTGTTATTAATATATATCAAAAGTTAGTATTTCATCTATTTATGTCTAAGGTCTACATTCCCTATTCACATATGTTTGTAGGTTAACTCTTACAGCCAAAAAAACACTAATCATTATAGGCTATATGCGTTTTATTTTTTATATGTGTTTTGCACGTTCGTGTTGCAGTTTTCTCCATGTTGTTTTAAATATATTAATCTAAATTACTGCTAAATATGTTTTAGTAAAGAATCTCATACTTACCAAATTGTTTTGTGCATGTGGTTCCAAGCTCAGTCTAACACACTTACAATACTTAACTATCTTAAAACGAGGTTACCTTACTCGACTTATCTAGATATGCCTTGGCCACCTTACAGTACTTATGACCTGTCCGAGTCGTTTATAAGACGACGTTATAATGTTAAGATACACTTATCTCCAGGGATCGATTATTCACACATTTTAACTATCGATCAAGACTTTATTCCAGCAGTTTCTTTATATTATATCAATGACGTACATGGTTTTTAATTGCAAGGTTTATAGTTTATTTTTTCTAAGTCTAAAGCGCACTCTTTGTAGCATCCGTTTTTTTTGTTTGTTTACCTATACACTGGATCTATGAGCATGAGGAGTAGCCTATTTAGGTTACATTGTAACTTACGACATCTATTCAAAGTGTAGGAATGGTTTATTATGGAAATGGTGTATCGGGGCTGCTCAATATCTATCTTATTGGCCACATTTATGAATAGAATAATCAAGAGATCAATATTTGACATTTTCCATTTAAAGTATAATCCTTTATTCTGACGCTCTCTTTACATCAAATGATGGAAACCTGTTATTAGTTTTTAGCTTGCAAGGTTTGTAACTACCTTTAGCTACAGCCCTATAGCTAAAGCCCTCTTTTGGTGGCACTTACATTGTTTTTCTCTTTCAATCTGGGTCCGTGTGCATGAGTTTAAATACAGAACCTTTTACATTAGCGTAAAGTTTATGACTTAACAAGCTAAAGAATGAAAGCTTATGGCTATTAATTATACACTGAACTAAAAACTAGGCTATTACCTCAATATTATATATGTATATTTGTACTTACTCTTTTTATCGTATTTTAATATCATCCTCTTGATCTGCTTTTGATTATATTTAATTCCTAAAGAGGTCATTACATCACTGAGTTCCTTGGCGTCTATGTAACCATCAGAGTCCTTGTCAAATACCTTGAATGCGTCTCGGTATTCTTGCAGTTTAGACGTTTGAGCAGCCTGCAATTACGAAAGTATCACATTCAGTTCATATGGTATACAATTTGAATATTACTGACTCTGTTATACGAGTAGTATATATGTGAAGGGTAATAGATTTGATAAACATTATTTGTGCCAAGGAAAAAGAATCGCATGCTCCAAATTTCGTTTATTGTGGCCCTTGTTTTTCAATGGTAAGTAATCCTTTGCATGTACACATAAACATCAATACTGTGCACACTCATGCAAATAATAAGACCTACTTTTTTAGTAGTTGTGAAATCCCCTGCCATTAATCTCTGGAATTCTTCAAAGTTGATCAGACCATCCCCGTCGAGGTCAGCCTCTTTTAGCATTAGCGCCGTATCTTCATCTGTTAGTACCACGCCCAGCTTTTTCATAGTGTATTGCAACTCTTTCTGATCTATGAAACCATTTCTGAAATATATTGATGTGATTATTACAGAACATAGTATGCCGTACTTGCTGTATGATTAATCACGTCCCCTGGTAGTGATATACCAAAAAATAATTTCCCACATCTTGTCATGGTTATGGTTAACGTCAGTCAGTGACATAGAATTGCCATGGAGAAGCGGATATGATAGTCAGGCTTACCCGATGTAAAATTCGGTGAACATGCCTTTCTCCCTGCCGATGAAAAAAAACATCGGCAGATTAAAGTTTCAAAATGAAATGCTTACCCATCTTTATCAAATATATTGAACGCTTTCAGTGCCTCCGAGTCCGCATCTGGTGGAGTGTGACTAAGCATTGACACATTGTGTTTGGCAAACCAGGTTTCCATCAACTCTTGGAATTCATTAAATTCTATTGTACCATTTCCTAAAGTAAATATTTATGTACTTTACACTTAAGCAATTAACTCTTAATCACATTAAACAATGTACAATACCGAATGATGCAATTTCTAGGATATTTCAAAAATATACAGCGCGTATAAAAAACGCAACAGGTTGTTATCTCGGAAAAACACAAAACCAGTGATAACAGCATTGATTTCATTCAATGTACCATAAAGCCATGTGTCTCATCTTTCTAATGGTATATCATTCGTTGATATTGGGTGATGGTTGGGCGAGTAATCATTCCTTGAGCAAAGTGGGCCAAAATCTCCTTAGGGCCAAGTTATAAACATCGCAAAAGTCAGTACACGGGGCCCAATGCAATATTGGCAGAAAACATAAAACCAATGATGACTGCATCCTTTTCATTCAATGTACCAAAACCTAAATTAATCCTTTTTACAATGGAATGCCATTCATTCACAGGGAGTCATGGTTGTCCGAATAATCATTATTTTGTAAAGTGGGGCAAACTTCAGCTTAGACCCAAGTTTTAAACATTGCAAAAGTCAGTGGATGGGGCATAGATGATATTGGAAAAAGGTATGGGATGTGAGACATAGACTGTAAAGTGTCTATACTCATACTTTTGCAAGAATACATCCTATACCCCTCTAAATGGCCACCACTTCTTAGCACGCAAAGATGCCCTCATCTCTCCATGCCATTGATGGCTCAGCTCTGAGTCATCTGTGGATTTAGGCAGAGAAAAGCAGCCCATAGACAATTCTTTCTCGAAGTTTTGCAATATCTAGTGAAGGAATGGTGAGCACAGATGCTCCTGAGATATCTCCAAAAGAAAAAGTCACAACAAATAAAGTCAGGAGAACTTCCATTGGCACTTAACTCTTGCACTGATTTTTGCAATTTCTGAAACTTGGTCCAGAGCCGATTTTGACCCACTGTGTAAATGGAAGGATTTCTCACCCAAACATGACAACATCAGGCCCGTAAGACACTTTTCTCCAAGGGGGGTGCGGTTTTTAATAAAGAGAAAATAAAATTGTCATTTTTTCCACGCAAATCAAATCGCGTTAGTCAGAGGGGGGGCAGTTACTCTACATATTAAGGCCACTCAGTCTATTTTGTAGTCATTTTATTGTTTTCATATTGTTTTAAGACTAAATATTGTATGGGCAATTTGGAGAAACATTGGAATAGGGAGGATGTGCTAAAAGGCAATAGAATCAATTTCAAGAAATTCTGATTTTTTAATCATTTTCCTCTTAGATGAGCGAGTGGGCAGCACATGAAAATTTTACTAATTCAAGATGCTGTCTGGTTAATTCAGAGCATTTTTAATGTGTTTGAGTAAATGAATGCTTTAGTTTTTTGGATGCAGTGTCAGAATTATTTATGATTTCATTATGCCACTTGGTGATTTCTGGGCACTTTTAAAGTGTTTAAAATCAACAAATGGAACTTCCAAACATTTCCAATTGTTTTGTGGGGGTGTGAGGAGTGCCCCCCCCCCCTTAGAAAATTTTACACTTCCGAGATGCTATTTGGTGCTTTCTGGGCAGTTTCAAAGTGTATGAGTCAATAAAAAATGTGTTTCAATTTTTTGGATGGGGGGGGTGTCAAAGAGGATAAAAGGGTGAGGTGGGGTGGGGGTGCCAGAGGGGGAGCAAGGGGTTTTCCCTCAGAAACATTGACCATTTCAAGGTGCTATTTGATGATGTCTGGGCACTTTAAAAGTGACTCTGACATAATACATGAAATTCATATTTTTTCAATTGTTTTGTTGGGGATGTGATGGGTGACCAACTCTCCTTGAAAATTGTACAATTTTAAGATGATATTCGGTGCTTTCTGGGCACTTTTAAAGTGTATGAGTGAACAAAAAAATGAACAACAATCACAATTGTTTCAAATTTTGGGGGTGTCACAGGGGGGGGGGGGGGGGGTGCCAAAGGGGAGGTAAGGTTGGGGTTCCAGAGGGGGGAGCAAGTGGTTGTCCCCCATATCTGTCCCCAGAAACATTGACCATATAGAGATGCTATTTGATGAAGTCTGGGCACCTAAAATGTGTCTGAGACAATACATGAAATAAATTATGAATTTTTGACAATTGTTTTGTTGGGGATGTGAGGGGTGGCCCACTTCCTTAGAAAATCTTAAAATTTAAGATGCTATTTGGTGCTTTCTGGACACTTTTAAAGTGCATGCATGAGTCAATAAAAAAGATTAAAGGGGGTGTCCAAGGGGGGGGTGTCCGAGGGGGAGGTGGTGTGAGGATGCCAGAGGGGGAGCAAGTGTTAGTCCCCCACGGCCAAGAAACATTGACTATATCAAGGAGCTATTTGAAGATGTCTGGGCACTTTAAAAGTGTCTGAGACAATACATAAAATAAATTCAGAACTTCTCAATTGCTTTGTGTGTGGGGGGGTGTGTGAAGGGTGGCCCACTCCCCCTAGAACATTTTACAATTTTAAGATGCTATTTGGTGTTTTCTGGACACTTTCAAAGTGTATGAGTCAACAAAAAAGAGAAGAAAAAAATCATAATTTTTTTCAATTTGTTTTTTTTTGGGGGGGGGGCGTCCAAGGGGGAAGTGGGGAGAGGATGCCAGAGGGGGAGCAAGTGTTAGTCCCCCAGAAACATTGACTATATCAAGGAGCTATTTGATGATGTCTGGGCACTTTAAAAGTGTCTGAGACAATACATAAAATAAATTCAGAACGTTTCAATTGTTTTGTGGGGGGGGGTGAAGGATGCCCCACTCTCCATAGAAAGTTTTACAATTTTAAGATGCTATTTGGTGCTTTCTGGGCACTTTCAAAGTGTATGAGTCAATGGAAAAAAATTTGAAAAAACAATTTTCCCCAAAAAATGGGGGTGTCAGAGGGGGGTGCGGTCGCACCCATCGCACCCCCCCCCCCCATCTGACGGCCATGAACATGTGAATGAATGACATATGATTGCAAAGAGGAGGGACGTGGCTTTATAGTACATTGAATGAAATTGATGTAGTCATCACTAGTTTTGTGATTTTACGAGATAACTGCTTGTTGCGTTTTTTATACGCCCTGTACAATACATTGATTCTGTTGATTACTTATTGTATTCACATGGAAAAGTAAAATAACGCTTTAAACTTAATCTAACCGGAATCAAACAATATTGATTCTATGATTAATTCATAGTATGTCAACAATATCAAGATCTTACCATCTTTATCAACGTTTCTCAACATTTGCTGAACCTTTTCAAATGAAGTATGTACACCTAATGACTTCATAACAGATTGCATCTCTATTGCAGTGATCCTACCATCTCCATCCTTATCAAACATGGAAAAAGCAACCTAAAATAAAACGTGATACATTTTCACAATATGGTAAATGTTCTTTATATGGGCCTATAAATAATATACGTTAATTGATTGTTATCGCAAAAACATCAAGATTAGATCAATGAATTTAATATGTGTATGTATGTTATAATATTTCAGGATATATGCAAGAACCATAATGCAAATGTGAATTTTACCTGTAATTCTGCTAGCTGTTGCGTGGTGAGGGCTGTAGTGGGTGTGAGTGGTTCTGACGGTCTGGGACTATGTTCTATCTCGGTGGGATTACTACTACCTATTCTACCATACATCATCTTGACAAAATCTACAACATGTAGAATTAAAGCATGTGTGAACGAAAAGTCATGGTCATGAAATAGTTAGATTAAAAAATAATAACCAACCTCATAATTTCAAGACAGGATAATCTTGAGTGTGATGTTTTCAACTCGAGTGGTAATATTAGAATTCGACGAGTAGTTACAGGCCCGTAGCCAGGATTTGCCAAGGGGGGGGGTCAGTTTTCAAAAATTTCCAGGGGGGTTCACATTTGACAATTTTGGCCCAAATATGGCTACAATCACCCGAGAACTGCTAAAAATGGTGAAAACTGCATGATTTACAGGCCTGAGTTAACTATGATGTGTTTTGAATTACAATGAACCCACTCGCACGGTACAAATAATAGTAAAGGTGTTGCAATTCTTTTCAATAAAAATATAAACTACACTATAAATCAGAAAATTACTGACAAAAATGGTAGATTCATTATACTGGATGTCCAAATAGATGAATCGAGATACTTGCTAATTAATATTTATGCCCCAACCCAAAATCATGATGCTGATCAAAAAGCCCTTGTAGATCAAATCGAACAGCTAATTGTCGACATGAACACCGAAAATATAATCTTCGGAGGCGACTTTAATTGTATTTTGAATCCAAAACTAGACAAAATGGGAGGTGTTAATGAAAGAACAAGTACGTACGCTACTAAAATTGAAACTTTCATGGATACTTTTGACCTCATTGACACTTTTAGAACTATCTACCCGAATCTTAAAAGATATACATGGAGACAAAAAAGACCATTTAGGCAATCGAGATTAGACTACTTTTTCACATCATCACACCTCCTAAATAAAAAAGAACATATTAACACTCTGCCAGGTATTTTATCCGATCACAGTTTACTTGAATTACGCTTAAAACAAAATACTGAAAAACGAGGCAGAGGCTTATGGAAATTTAACAATAGCCTACTTTCAGATCCAAATTATAATGTTAAAATAAAACAATGCATTAATGACTCTAAAATTAAACATGGAAATCTAAATGATAAAAGTATCTTATGGGAACTCATTAAATCCGATATCAGGTCATCAACCATATCTTACTCAATACATAAAGCAAAACTACGCAAGGAAAATATTTGTAAACTAAAAGCAAATCTCGAAACCTTAGAATTAGAATTAAATAATGACACCGTTACTGATGAAACTAAGGAAATGTATTTTACAACCAAATCAGATGTTGAGAATCTAAATAAAATCGAAACGAAGGCGGCTATACTCAGATCAAAATCAAAATGGTATGAAGAAGGCGAAAAAAATAGCAAATATTTCCTTTCCCTTGAACACAAAAATTCACTTAATAAAACCATAACTAGACTCCAAAAAGACGACGGTACTATAATTACTAATCCAAATCAAATTTTGGAGGAAGAAAAACGCTTTTACGAAAATCTTTATAGAGAAACCATAACCGATGATACTTTACACGTTGTACAAATGGATGATTTTATTGAAGATTTAAACTTGAAAAAACTTTCTAAATTTGAAAGAAACTCATGTGAGGGCGAACTTACCGAAAAGGAGTGCGCCGTTTCGTTAAAAAATATGCCAAATGATAAGACGCCTGGAAGCGACGGATTTACTACAAACTTTTATAAATTCTTCTGGATTGACATAAAAACCTTTGTTGTTAATAGCCTTAATTATGCTTTTCAAACCGGAGAAATGTCAATTTGTCAAAAACAAGGCGTTATAATCCTTATTCCTAAAAAAGATAAAATCAGAACGTTATTGAAAAACTGGCGCCCAATCAACCTCTTGAATACGGATTATAAAATTGGTACTAAAACAATAGCTAATAGAATTAGAAAAGTACTACCATCTATAATCGATTTTGACCAAACTGCTTACATTGAAGGAAGGTATATAGGAGAAAATATCAGATTAATCGAAGATATGATAAATTATACATCAAATGAGAACATTTCTGGTATCTTACTACAAATTGACTTCGAAAAAGCTTTTGATTCCATTAATTGGAAATGCATTGAAAAAGCATTGAATCTTTTTAATTTTGGTGAAACTTTGGTCAAATGGGTCAAAACTTTCTATAAAAATATACAATCGTGTGTATCAAATAATGGATTTCAATCAAATATGTTTTTCCCGGCAAGGGGAGTCCGCCAAGGCTGCCCCCTATCGGCTTACCTATTTATCATTGTAGCCGAACTTCTAGCAATATCGATCAGACAAAATAAAAACATAAAAGGTATACAGGCAAATAACACCGAAATCAAAATATCCATGTTCGCAGACGACACTACTCTATTCTTGGATTCTATAGACTCTTCAGAACGTGCACTAAATTGTTTAAACTCATTCTCACAAATCTCGGGGCTAAAACCAAATTTAACTAAAACTGAGGGAAGATGGCTAGGACCTTATAAAATCAATCCTCCTTTCAGACCGCCCGGAAGCCTTCTATCCAAATTACACATAAATAACGATAAATTATGTGCCTTGGGCATTTGGTTCAGTCAGGATCTAAATGAAAGAAATGCTTTAAATTTTTCCTCAAAAGTGAAAGCAATTGAGAACCTCTTTAAGATATGGACCTGAAGAAACCTAAGCCTTATAGGAAAAAACGTCATAATAAAAGCTCTTGCAATATCAAAATTAATGTATCTAGCATCCACCATTATTGTTCCTAACCACATCATTGAACAAGTTCAACAACTTATTAATTCATTTTTATGGAATGGAAAGCCACCTCTGATAAGTAATTCTACTACGATAGGAGAAATAGAAAACGGGGGAATCAAATCCGTTCTTTTTGACGCACAGATTAAAGCATTACAAATTCAATGGGTGAAACGTCTGTATAATAAAAACGAGTCTAAATGGAAACATTTTTTCTATAAAGAATTCCCAAATCTCGAATCTAAAGAAATCTTTCATGCAAAGTTCAAAGAGCATACTTTTAACAACTTACCTGCTTTTTATCTCTCGATGATGAAAACCTGGAGCTTAATTCACAATGCCGAACCTTATGACAAGTCCACCGTTATGAATGAATCAATTTGGAACAATAAATGGTTAACAATTAACAATGAAAGTGTCAACTATCCTGATTGGAAAGCTCGAAACATATTTAAAGTAAAAGATTTAATAAATGAAAATGGAGATTTTCTAGGATACGAAGAATTCACCCTAAAATATGATATCTTGACACCCTTCGTAACATACTACGGCATAATACACGCAATTCCACGCTCGTGGAAAACTCTCTTAAAAAACGAAAATGATAATATCAATACACTAGGAGTTGATGACTTACAAATCAAAAATTCAATTATAAATATCAAACATATTAGTACCAAAAGAATATATTGGCACATCGTACAAAACAAATTTAAGGAACCCGTAGGAAAACGATATTTCAATGAAAAATTTGACCTGACAGAACAAGAGTGGAAATCTATTTTTAGACTACCTTTTCAAGTTGCGCGAGAGCCAAAGATCCAAAGTTTCCAATACAAACTACTACTTAACCTCACCCCTTGTAACTTATTTCTGTTCAACAGAAAAATTAAAGAGTCCTATCTATGTGATAAATGCAATCGTGGTGCAGTAGAAGACACCCAACACTTCTATATAGAATGCGCGACAGTCGCGAACTTTTGGAATGAAATATCTGTCCTATTTGACAATATACTTTTGAGAGACCGGGATATATTATTAGGAAAAATAGGCAACCGTGACGATCGCGATACAATTCTAAATTATTGTTTGCTATACGCGAAAAACTACATTCACAACTCCAAAATTGGAAACTACGACATTAGTGTGAACGGTTTTAAAAATACTTTAAGAAACAAAATTAAAGATGAATTAAAAATATCTACAGAAAACAAAAACCGGCAACTTTTTATCGGGAAATGGAACTCAATACTGAATAAATTAGACATACCATTTTAATTACAACAATGTATCGTTGCACAAACCTGTATTTTATTATTTTATTATTTTTGCTGTCTGTACTGTGTATCTTTATTGCTTTTTATTCGAAATGAGATCATGTAACTGTTATGTGCCTTAACTCTATATTATCATATTGTCTTTACTATCACCAATGTATGCACATGTATGTAAATTTATAGTGTGAGAAATAAATAATGAATATTAAAAAAAAAAATAAAATAAAAAAAAATAAAAAATACAATGAACCCACATTAATATTTCAACTTGAAGAATTACCTTCATAAAAGATCCGTCCATCTTTTACCCCTGTTTCCTTCATCATGGCGTGGACATCAGAATCTGTGAGCTGGAGGCCAATCTCTTGCATTGTACTCTTCAGTTCTTTAGCGTCTACATAACCATTGGAATCTTTGTCGAAAGCCTGCAAAATATTTTCAAAACATTTATTGATAATGGTTCAACATTATTCACATTGAGCTAGTAATGCATTACTGTTTTCTGGCCAATCAGAACATAACTTAATTATGCTATATCAGACAACATAGTTAATCAGGAGAAACTGAGTTGAAAGAAACCACTAGTCTTACTATGCAAACTGTAAATAGCATCATTAATGATACGCCAGAGGTTGATAGCATCATGCTCCTGCATCTTTAGGCTAAATGTTTAAGTTGGACACCTTTGAAAAATAACTTACCCTTCATTGAATGAATACTTGGGTTATGATTGATAATTTAGATTGATTCTTTCATCTTATTGTATGAACATTTAGCTGATGTTATTGTTTTCATTGTTAACTAACGTCTCTAACTTGTTAATTTTGTCGACGCCTACGTGGTCACACAGGTCACCTCGGGGCTAAGGTCTCTGCGTCATGAGCAAATTGATGTTGATAAAAATGCATTAAGTCATAATGAAGACAGATGCAACAGCTGCCCTCATATGACAAAGAACACTTAAGAAAATGGAATACAATGCTAAATTCTTGCCAGGACTAATACAAACTTTACGTTATAATAATAACAACGATGTGTTGTTGTTGTATTGCAATCAGGAATCCATGGAGTTTCCGTGACATTTCTTATAACATTTTGTCAGTGTGATAATCTTATTACCTTACACCACTGATCTATCCATAATTGTACTCGAGAGTCAATGGTATTCAATCATAAATAAATACCTTAAAAACTGCCCTCATTTCAGAGTCGTCTGAACCTCGTTTTTCCTGTCCTTTATAAGCATCCTTCCTTTCTAATATGTCTACGAATTCGCCGAAGTCGATGAGACCATTCCCTTAAATCATAGTCATGCTATTATCAAAAATTATATATGCGCACTGGTCTAATAAATAAGTGTCAGTTTAGAAAATAAATATATATTTCTATGACTTGACATATTTTTCTGACATATGATTTGTATTTTGTGTATGTTGTCTTTCTGTCAACAATATCCTTGTTTATTCCATAATACTGCTGTTTTCTCAGGGAAATATGAAGGAATAAAAATCGTATTGAATCGTATTACATGAAAAAATCGTATTGTCCCCGGGAAGAAAATCGTATTGGAGCGTATTACATGAAAAAATCGTATTGTCCCCGGGAAAAAAATCGTATTGGAAAATATTAACCTATTTTTGGTTTTCCTGTTATTTTTAACCTTAGCTAATTGATAAAAGCATTTTCAAAATGTGACATTTTAGAGGAATGTATTATGGAATAAATAGGTTATTTCTGGTCGGGATTGAATATGGGTTTCATTCCTCGGAAAATATGATATTGACCTTGGGAAATATATATATATATATATATATTATAGGAATATCCTATGGTTTTGAAAAAATATCATTTATATCAATGAGTGGATATTGATATCTTCATGAGTGAGCGCAGCGAATGAGTGAAGATATTTGTATCCATGAGTGGATATAATTGATATTTTTGAAAAACCATAGGATTGTCCGTTTATCCCATGGGAAATCATCATCAGCGAAAAAAGTTGAAAAATATAATTTGAGAAAAAATTTGAAAAAATAATTTTAAAAAATTGTGAAAAAATGTTGACAATTTTTTTTGAAATTTTGAAATTTTTTTAAAATATTTTTGAAAAAATTAAAAAATGTAAAAATAATTCTTTTTGAAAAAATTCGAAACCATCGAATATCACTTTTCAAACCATCGAATATCACTTTTTAAGACGTGATATTCGATAGTTTAAAAATGATATTCGATGGTTTGTGAATTTTTTGCTAAAATATGATATCTTGATCCACAAATCAACTATATCTTTGTGTGATATTCGACCTATATCCTTGTAACCATGGGATAAATTATTATTTTGTGCGGCTATAGCTAGTAAGTGAATTTTTTTCTTACCATCAGTGTCAACTTTATTAAACATTTTCTTGAGCATATCTTCACTTGGGGCTTGTCCCAATGATTGCATGACAGACTGTAGTTCCTTCACACATATATCCATCCCCATCCTTGTCAAACAAGGCAAATGATACTTTAAATTCTGTAAAAACACATGGTAGTTTATTCATGATAATAGGTCTGCATATTTATTAACAGCTTTGGTCTTGGTCAAAGAAATTGTATAAGATATTAGACACAAAACAAGAAATATGGGAGATTTCAACACGTTTTAACCTGCACAATATCTAAAATGAGACATTTATATTCTACGATAAGGTAATGTCATTATCAAGCCATGTAACAGGTGTATTGTTCATGGGAAGCTATTAAGATAGTATAATAAAAAGATTAAATGTGACTGTACATCACTATAAACGTTAAATATTTACAAAGAAGAATATACTCTTGAAGAGTTTAACAGTTTCCTGCAACAGTAACAAAAGTATCAATGATGTATGTGATATAATGTGAATTAAGTCACATGTTATATTCTTCTGAAATGATATCCCTTCCCGTTCTCAACCTCATACAACCATCAAAATCCATCAATTTTAAGAGTGTAGTGTTCGTTTTCATTTTACATCAGAGGCAGGCCACCTTCAAATCATTGACACGTAAGGTTTTTGATGAACTTTGTCAGTGACCAACAAAAAAAGGCAATACATGGGACTGCTAATGATAATGAGAGAAGTTATCACTTATATTCACATGGAGATTTACCTGTGACTTGTTCCTTGGAAAATTGTACTGAGGGTTTGGTACCAGTCGGGAGTTTACCGTACATCATCTTTACAAAATCTGAAATTACATTCACAAATTGCTATCTGGTTTTTACTGGCAAAAGCTATTGTAGCACATTAAAATCATTGATTAATAAAAATATTTCTTGATTTTGAACGTTTTTGTTGTTTTGGCACTGATCTTTTACATTTACAATGTTAATATCAGTTAATCTGAAACCATATGCTAAGGGCTGATATGAAAAAGTCACTCCACCTTGGTGGGAATCGAACCCACAACCTCCTGATTACATGTCAGGTGCTCTAAAATATTGCTTTAAACACACGAATACGTAAAAACAGCGATGATTAATTAAGTTGAGAATGCAATTTTAAACAATCTAAGGAGACAGTGTAAAATAATTAAGATTTTTATGAACAATCGAAATTATCCTTTTTGCCTCAATTACTAACTATAATATTCTTTCAAAACAAAATAAATGTGTTGCATAAATCAATTATGTAATTTCGTCATTCCTAATTCCCCGTGTTAAATACATTTACATTATGTTATAATGTATTTGATTTCTTGGTCAACGAATGTTCGATTAGTCCAGTGGGAAGTTATGATATGGATGAATCAATATAGGCAAGCAAGTGGGATATCGTAGGTGGCCTATTGCTACTTTATATACGCATCTTGTGTTCGAAGATTAATGCCAGCATTGGTCACATGGGCCCTGGGGGTGGGGTATACTATATGTAGAACATGATTTATCTAGTCCTATCGGTTGGTCTATGATGAATTAGCAGAATCAAGAGGAGTTTATTTCCGAAAGTGAAATCAACAGAGAAAGGAATTCCAAATATACAATATAATAAAATATATTGATGGTACATTTTCTTCATAAATATGGCACTTTGACTCATGTTAACGAAGTTACATGTACCTTTGCACAAATCAATATACGAAAAGTTATATTTTGTTTGCCTAGAATTATAACAGGTGACTGATGGGATGAAATGGTTATTATTATGCAATTTTTAACTCATTTTCTCAAATATCACCAGACGAGAAAGTATATTCTGCCCTTTGGCTTGCACTATAGTAATTAAAGGGTGACGCATATCGTTTAGCAAATCGAACGCTCGTTTCTGGTGTTGCTCACCGTTTAGTATAAAAGGCCCGATCCCGGAATAATACTCAAGGGTTCACAGGCTCGAGGTCGTTGTGTCAACACCTCTAACTGTTATATAGCATAAGTATATTATAGATCGTCACATATTTATAAAACGGTGATTTTTATTTGACAAATCAATTCCACATTTATGGGTGAAGTTTCAGGATCTTCTATTTGTGTACAATAAGGAAAAATTGACATCTAAATTTCCCCATAACGTAATAGCACACAGCTTGGTATATGAAATAACCTACAAATGAAACAAAGCAGTTCTAATACAAGGATTTATATTGGCTGTTGTACATATTCTTTGAACGCAATCACTCTATGGATAATGTTTTCAAAATCATTATAAACGGATTACTTTATCTCAAAGACAATTTCAATAAACTGGATTTTACAGAACTCCCCTGATTTCTTAAAAATGGACTGATCCAGTCGAATCGCCTGGAGCCGCCTTATTGTTTTTATACGGGATGCTTATCGGAACCCTTTAAAGACCTGAGTGCTTGAAATCTAACCGACATAAAGCACAGACAAGTGTTGAGTTGAACTAACCTTCATAGTAAATTCTTTTTGATTTCCCTACGCCCGCTTCTTTCATCATGGAATCCACATCTTTATTACTTAGTTTCACTCCTAAATCATCCATGGTCGATTTCAGTTCATCACAGTCGATGTACCCATTATTATCCCGATCAAATACCCTGTAATGGAAATATGTATTGACCATTAAAAAATGTCTAGCTCACCCAAGGGAGTGTTCAGTAAATTTATCACCAGAGAGAAGATTTAAAATACCTACTTAACCTAGGAACACAGTAACATTTCATAAGTAAAATTTTGCGCTTTATTAGATGTTTCACTTAAAATTGTTCATAACCGGACAATAACAAGTTCTGCAACATCATCCACCAGATGTCTTGCTTTATTTAATGGTGCTTTTATAGCTTACTCGAACATTATAGAGCACTATCATACATTCGTGTCTCCTTTATATGATGCTATGAAGTACTTGAATACCACAGTATATGATGTTATTCTAAGATCTCAACTGTTTGTTGCTGAAACGTCTGATATCATATCGTTACTACCCCTATGTATTAAACACACATTCCACACACACCAGAATCTCATTTACCATTGTAAATTTAATGTTAGGCAACAATTATTGTACCATGATCAGAGCAACCAATATTTATTGTTCAATGCTCTATGGGTTACTGGAGTGGCCCTTCCGATATCATGTCATTTTATATAGCTGTGGATAACTTGTCAATGAAGGTTTCTGTATCTCGTATATAGAATTTAGGCATAAATGAAGTCCTTTGAAGAAGGATGATATCTATACTTATACAGCTTATAATTATATACTTCTGGTGCTTATAATTATCATAGCTGAGTCTCTAAAACTCTGGATATCATGATCATCTAGCATGCGATTTTTGTTAGATAATGCAAAGAGCTACACGAACATTACTAATTTGTTATGGATTTGGGTTCCTTGAACATTACTTAATATCGAGAAATGATACATTTTATTGGCCTGCGTGGTGCTTATGATAGCTTATAACTAGATATATTAGGAGATATTACACATTTATCTCTTTCATTCTATGTAATATTGTTTGATGACTTAAAATCAATAGAATGATAATATTCCTAGATAGCATGTACTTACTTAAATGCTTGTCTCATTTCTGCGTCCTCACACTGGACTTTCATTTTGTCTTCTAACATTGTCAGGAATTCTTTGAAATCAATTCGCCCATTTCCTGAAATAATTCATATAAAAAAACAATTAAAAGCAACCTTGAAACCATGGGCTACAACAGTAACTGATACATTAACTATTTTATTCCTTACTTTTGCAACCAGGACACTTTTCAGAATAAATCTATCACTATTTTCTGTTGCAAAATGACCACATATTGGACAAGCAGACATCACTTATTAAAAAACATAAGTAAGAGAAATGGAACTGAAATGCGTTGGGTAAAAGGAAGTTAATAGAAAAAGACACAAAAACTAACCAACTGTGGCAGAAAATATGAATCCAAGTTTTCTAGAGGTTTCTAGAGGCGACCTTCAAAGAACAAACGCATAATAAGCATGTAATCTGCAAAATATATCGGTCGATAAGGCCTTGTAAAATGAGAGGATCTGTGTATATGAAAATCACCAAAAATCATAAAACAAGCAAAAACTTGAACACCCGCAAATATATTTATGATAAATTCATGAGACCCCTAGACAAACAACAACGAAGAAACAAAGCCATTCTGATTTATCAGAGGCACCGTAGAGACTCTGGATCACACAATGAATCAAAGCTAATACGTTAAACGTTTGTTTCGAACCATCGAGAAAGGGAATATCAAAGACAAACAAATTCCACAATAAATTCTGATTTGGAGGATTGAACCACTTGGTTGAACAATCTCAAATTATTTTGTGACAAATGATCAGCTACTCTCTGTGATTAAGTAAGTAGCTAGTTCTTCACTGCCTACGTGAATTTCCATCCAATATATCAAATGTGGAACAGCATCGTCGCGTGATCGTCTTCAATAAAGCAATATAGATTTTACCGAAATAGATCTAGTATTCAGTAATTGTCAGCTTGATGTAGACCAATGATGAAGATGAGTCACAAAATTAAACTCGAGAATTCGTGTCTTTATAGTTCGTATCTGTATATTCCCAAGCTTCATTGAATGCTGTGATGAAATTGCAGTTTTCTCGACTAAGAATACCATCACAGTAGCAGTTGCATGAAGTGACGGGAATATGATGAACAACATCAACTATCCATCGATTACGATGCCACTTCAGCATTACGTGGTTAATCTTTCAATTAAATGTGACCTTATACCGACTCTAGATTTAATCATTCAGTTTTACACAAATCGCTTCACGGATCTTCGGGAAGAAGATGGATTATGCTTCAGAATGATATATCGCGTAAACGACTTGCTGGACGAGAGGGCTATTTATGGGCTAACCATCTAGAATTAATTTAAGAGATTGCCGTGGAGTCCTCACATTATTATTTTGTTTGGAGATATATCCATATAATACGACGAATAAATATGGCCGTTCAGAATCAGAATGGGCTATCAGAAGGGGAAAGATCTAATTATTTGCAAAATGTTTGAAACACGGGTGAGTGCAAAATGACTCCTTTCAATTTATAGCTGAAAGCATACAATATTTCGGGAAAATTAGATGAAATCACACATGTTTACGATTCATATAAACGACATCCCAAGATGAAAATCATTTCATATGAATCCAAAGTTTTTGAAACACAAATGAACAAGTTATCTCTGATTTATGATTCTATAACATCTTTGGACCCCAATACGCCAACAACAAATTGAAGGCAATGCCCTACCAATAATTCGTCTTTTGGGATACAATTTTACTTCATATCACTTAAGACACACACCCCGGAGACTACTTTCTTCATCCATAGTTAACCCAGATATTGATCAGAATTCTACTTGCTTTGGGGATTTTATAATATAATATTCGATTAGAAGCAAAAAAATCTAATAATTTGTCTACTTACGATCTAAGTCTACTTTAGCAAATATTTCATCTAATTCTTTGTCTGTAACGCTCTGATGGAATGCTGTCATCACAACCTGGAAAAGAAAAGCGTTTTACATTTAGGGCGTGTGTATCGGGTATCGTTTAATGCTTTAAAGAGTGATAATTAGAGATTTTCATGATTTAAGCGTCGGACTCTATTATTTTGTAAAAAACAACATGAATGGATTATAGATTCCTTAAACCACCAAATGGATGTTGAGGCTTTATGCAAAATTGATAAATGCTTGCTTGCGAGTGTAAGATCAGGTAATACAACCGTATGTGTCAATTATAATATTGAATCTTTCAACGAGGTAAGATAGGAAATGGGGGATGATAAAAGTCTCGTCTTTCCATCCACCCTCTAGCCCTTATTAACACTTTTCGAATTACACATCCTGAAATTGTTCGTATAACTTATTGTCATTACATCCGGAAATTGACTAATTTTTTTACTTTCGCCATATTTGTTAAGACAAGCACCTTACATAGCTATTTGATCTTGATCATTTACCAGAAATACAGTGTAGGTTGGATCGGACTTATAAGCAGTCTCCATTTCACATTTTAAGCGGTTTGTTGAGAACGGTACTTTGATTTGATTAATATACAAGTATAGTAATGCAAGTAAAAACTGGAGCTGGATCATTTTTGAACGCAATGAAACAGAGCAATGGTTTTGTTGCATCCTTGGCTACTTCTTTGCACGTCATGAGCCCCTGACTTAGTCAAATTTGTTACTTTTTAACTCGAATAGTAATTCTTAAAGTTGAAAATTAACGTATTCACATGTGTTCATTCACATACACCCAATGCCACAAATAGAATGCACTTCATGGGGTTATGGTAATTCATACATTGATAGGTGCCCATTGATACGGAATCGACCATTGAATTATAGTTTTCGTATTATAAAACATTGTTAATTATGAAAACTCCCTCAAAAATAGTGGGACTGAGGAGGGATACTTTGATATCGTTCTATGAGTCAGACAGACACTTGTGTTGGTCTTGACATTTCAAGAACCACACCACAGTCAAATGTAATAAGGTTAGGGTGGATCCATGGGATAATGATTCACCCTTAAGTAATGTGATATGGATTATTGTGTTCCATGTACTTACACTTGTAATTATTGCGTTAATTTTGCTTTCAATAATATTGTCAGATGTGTGTATAAAGCCAATCATTAATATTAACCAGAACAAATTAATTGTAGTACCATATGCTTAAGTGTGTGCACTTGAGCAAGACTGACGTAGGCAATCAAGTTTATAGCTCACATACTTTTAAGTTGGATCTAATCATCTAATGTCTGCAATCTATTTCAACTTAAAAGCGCATGCTGGTGAATGCTGATCTCGACATGCCTACACTTTGTGATGCCACTCAGTAACAAAACATTCTCAAGAGGATTCTAGAACCTTACGGTTATTCTAAAATAGTAACTGATGCAAAAATAACTGGATTATGCAAGTAAACAGAACAGAACCAGTCCGTTGCTGCTACCAGTGATTAATTATATACATAAGTACACGAAACACACACCTTGACTATTATGTTTACAAAATCTACCATGTAAAAATGAAGACAAAACAATGACAAGAAGGAAAACCAACACACAATATCAACCCAGGCATCCAATCCACAGAACAAAAACAATATAACACGTCATCTGGAATATTATCGATCTTATAGAATTAAAGGAGAAAATCGTTTCATATATATATACATGTAACGTGCTATAGTATATCATTATCAATCTATTTTTCATTATTTATTATAGGAAACCTTGGGTGTTTGAAGGGAGAGGAGGGAGAAAAGAGTGACACTTACCTTTAGTTCATCTTTAGTAATTGTCCCATCCTTGTCCTTATCCAGGAGATTGAAGGCGATTCTTAAATCTGAAATCAGAGCACACAATTTAAAATCTCCATCAAAGTTCTTCGGGTGCTTGTCCTTCAATTTCAAGAGGATCACCTCCTTGGCTGTTGCCTGTTTCCGTTTTGAAGTCCCAGATGGAGATGTCGATGATTTCTTTTGATGGGTTTTCGTTGACGTCTTTTTCAAAATAGAAGCCATACTTGCTAATGTTGCAGGTTAATGTTTTATCTTCTCTGTAAAGAGCTACGGCTGTAGCTTGGCAAGTGTTTGTTTAATAATATATTGCTACGCTGCAGAGTTGTATTACATCCAACTGTAACAATTAATTAATCAGTTCACTGTTAATTTTATTGTTTGGTATTTACCCACTTACTGTATAAAACGATATATATCCAGCTAAAATATACTACTATAGACTACATTATGCATTTCAACAGATGTATCTGATTCAGCCATTTAGTTTCTAAATAAGAAATCAATGCCCTGTTGAATACGTTTATCCAACATGCTACTGTACAGTACTTTAACTGGTGTGTATGGTCCATGAATGATTTAAACAAATGAAGCTATATTGAGTTCGCGCATTGTCGGCTCATCAAGTTCAATAGATGTAATCCACATATCGATCTGACAGCAGAGTCTGGGTGATTTACTAATCCTCAGTCTATCCACAGTATGGTCAAATTCAATCCGATCCAGTTAACGTAAAGCCTTTAACTGTGAGATACAATCCAATAAACTAAAGATATCCTTTATCAACCGTGACATCAATTACGATATCTAAGAAATCGTCTATATTCTAATATCCTCTATTTCCTCTAGTCGTTACATTGGCAATTAGGACGACCTCTCGGAAAATGTCAGCCTTCCTGGCCGTGTTATGTTTTCCTGTAGCGCCGGTACAATATTTTCCGTCTAGATCTTAAGATTTAACTTTTGTTTTCATTCAACATTTTAATGACTTAAAACGAAATAACAATTCGAAATCTCAGCATAACAAGCTTGATATACTGTATAACACTAGGTATTCACGTGCATGATTGTACTTAGTTGACAAATTATATTTGTATCGAGATGGCCACTGACATAAAAAAAATTGAACGTCTTCTAGGAAACGAAGAGCAGAAAAAATATGGGGGCGTTGGTAAGGGATATTAATATCAGGCCTATTAATTAATAAAATGGGTGAAGATAACTTTGCTCAAGAAGTGTGGAGATGGAGAAAGATGAAGAATACAGTTGTCTTATGTATCATTCATTAGGAGACAGTATTGAACAAATGGTAATGCTCCTAGGGAGGATGTTGCAGATTGTGTGTAGGTGGGCTCTAGGGAAGCACAAATGTTCTTCTACAACATAAGACCTGAATCCCATCACATAATTGGTACTGTACTTGTTTATGAGGAGACAATAACGTAAGAAAAGTGGATTTAGTAGATGTTGCTCTCTATTACCACTATGACCACAAGGAATGGCAAAACACAGAAATGACTTGTTGTTTAGAAACAACAATAAGGCAAAGGAAAATAATACATTTTTAACATTACCCTCGTATTTATTTCAAATACATAATACATTAAGTTCATAACAGAATGCATATTGATCTCTGATTCTATATTTATATCTTGTCAGTAATTTATTTGACGTTGATCTTATTAATCACATTTTGAGGATTTAATAAAATATTAAGAGACGCATTGTTCCTCAAATACTTTGTAATACTAAACATTGAATACATCTTCTCCAGTCTAATAATTTACTGATTTTGTTTTCAACCCAACTGTGGAAAGTTCGCCTTACAATTTTTCTTTTTTCTTGGTTGTGTGAGTTGATAAATTATGCTTCAAGATTCTTTACATACTTCTGGCTGTACATAACAGTCCTATATGCATAATGTAGATATCTCAGAAAAAAATGGAACGGTATTACCTGGGGAAATTTCAAAATTAGTTCTTGACGTTTCCAGACCAATTTAGTGGAGCATACCTCATAAACGTTCTTATGTCATACCGTTACAATTTCAGCAACAGCATTGACCTTTAAATATAAAACGTTTCTATCAATTTAAGCTAGAAACATAATTTACTACCTATAAAGTATGACATCAGAGATTTAGCCAATCTACCCCTGTTTTATCGGTTCACCAAAAGGGATCAGGGTTTATCGGAAAGTATCCCTCAAGATCGGTCCTTCGCTGCTTTATAGTAACTCATGTAATACAATGCAATGAATACTTTTGATCAGAAAGGTCCATCGTCATGGTGTCTCAGACATGAGATATTATGAACACACAAGTGCCAACCGGAAAATACCAAAGCGTACTAGAAAAATGACACACTAAAAAGTGCAACGGGTCATAGTAAGGAAAATAAACACCAATATTATCCCCATCTAACATGTAAAGAAACAATAAATTATATCCCCTCACCTACCATCCAGGAAATTATCACAATTGGTCCAGGGGTATTTCACTTCTTTCCTGAGTTTAGCATAAATGATGTCCTTTGGAGAAGGATGAGACCACAAAGCCTTTGGACATTTTATTCATACTGAAGACCATTACAATTCATGTTGAAGAAGAAATACAAATGGGGTAGATTTGGTGATCAGAGAGCCCACATTTTGGCTATTTCGAGATGTTTTATCTAATCAGCTTTGATTTTATCTGACCGAGTGTTAAATAAACTTGTGGAGAATCAGAGATTATATCATGTTTTATCGGGAGCATGTTTCCAGTGAAACAGGAAGCTGTGGTGTCTAAATAGGTCAAACTATCTTAAGTTTCTGATGCCCTCACTATTCATTAAACCAACTCGTGATAATTTCAAGTGACACGAAAACACTTTTAATTCGGTAAAACTCAAAAAGTCAAAGTGCTAAATTAAATTGCGCATCGATTTTCTCTCGGCACATAATATATCACAGCATTCCAGCAAAGGAAGCATCCCGTCCAAAGAGAGCCAGACGCAACTCCACTAATTATGTTAGGAAGCGGTAGTTCGCAATCAGAGGAAATCCATTGCTGTTGATGTATGATAGGGAGGATCACAAGCTCATGTGTTGGCAAAGTGTAAATCATTTTCCAAGGAAAGGGATGAACAAAAGACATCAACTAGGGAATCAGATCTGACATTATCAGAATATCTCACATCCTGTGTTCTTATCCAACATTTCCCGTCTAGTCAAGCAACATTGTTATTCCCATAAATAAGGTCTAACAGGATTTATTTGTTAATCATAGGCTTACACTAATTAAATTGCAGTTTAAACCTTGTTGAACAACTAAGCATGTATGCTTCCCAAGGGACTAATGTATCTCTCTCGCTGTTAGGCTCATACATATCCACATCTTAGATCTCATTTTGGATGTTATCGTATATCCTTTTTAATTCGGGATTTGGAGTAGATAGTTTGACGATTTCATCCTTCTTTTCCCTTCTTTTTCTTTCTTCTTCCCTTTTGTAGCCATGCCCAAGTCGGTCTTTTTTACTTATCTTGATTTCTATTAGATAATTCAAAATCAGATAAGTACAAAAATACCGACTTGGGCAAGGCTACCATTTTGCTATATCATATCATTATACAGGGCGTTCAGTAAGTAAAGCTAATTTTGCTCTCAAACTTTTATTTTTTGTCATTTATCTTTCAAATTTTCAGTGAAGAAGCATTTGACATTTTTCTAACTACCCTGAAAAATTAAATAAGATATGATGAATAATAGCAAAACAATGGTTGTCATAGTAACGTGAATACGGGTTCTGCGGAGCAATTACTTACTTTAATAAAAATGTTATAATGCAATGAAATTGATTAAGATTAATGCTGCATATGTCTTTGTTTGCTATGGCTGAAAGTCACGACAAACATAGCAACAACATACACAAATATGATACCATGGCAACAGTAGTCTATGACATCACAGACAGATGATACAACAGATGGAATGATCCAGAATGATCCATCAGACACTGCTCCATGACATCATCAAAATCATGGCTGCCAGGATTGCCAATGGAAGCAAAATGAACAATGAAATGAAACAAGATAATGCGCCATCGCATAGGTCGCAAATGGTGCAGGATACTATCCAGAAAACGCTGGAGATGGAGGTTCAAGGCCAGTCAGCGTATTCTCCTGACAAGGCACCCTGCGATTTTGGGGTATTTTCATGTTTGAAAAATGATCTGCGTGGTAAGATCCACGCAAATATCCATGAGCTTCAGAATGCCGTTCAACGTTCGCTGACAAAGAACTTTCCAGATGGCTTCCACAGGATATATCAGAAGTGGATAGAACGACATCAGCTGTGTGTGAAACCTAAGGGGAACTACTTTGAACATGATATAGAATGTTAACTTGAAAGTAGAAATGTGGAGTAGCCACAGAACTATGGTTGAAATATAGACAGGACAGAAACTAACGTTAACAAAATCTACTATGCTGTGAACTTATAAAATTGCTCCGCAGAACCCGTATTCACGTTACTATGACAACCACCATTTTACTGTTATTCATTATATCTTGATCTTTTTTTCAGGATAGTTAGAAAAGTGTCTGATGCTTCTCCACTGAAAATTTGAACGATGATAGACAAGAAATAGAAGTTTGAGAGCAAAATTAGCTTTACTTACTGAACGCCCTGTACATCAATCAGATATAAGAGGAACCTAATTGTGTACCGATGGAAGAAAGAATATTGTTCCCCAGGACGTGTTCATCTTCGGCCTCATTACCGGGCATTGTTTTTTATTGTTTGTATCTCTCGTGCACCCTAACCCCCAAGCATCAAGGACACAGGGGGCCCAGAGGCTTAGTGCAGGGTATTCCTGCATGGTATATATGTACATGTTCATACCTACTGAGGTTCTAGGTACATAGACGTGTCGAAAAAAGCTCGCGCACGCATTGTTACACATTTTGTGGCGTAATCCAAAGGATCCTCGCTTTTAACATGATAGAATGTGACGTTTTTGAGAAAAATGTACACACATGAAAATCCTTTCGTCCTCCACATTTACCTCTATATCTCAAAACATTTAAGACGAATAACTCTGATATCATATATATATTGTTAATGGGCTAGGAGCATCACAAAACACGAATCAATTGATATTTTAGGTGAAATAAATATACCTGTTGCTGTGCTTGAAAATAGGCGAATGGCGTAAATTAGCCCTATTTTAATGAATTTTGAAAACCTTTCGTCCTCCACCTTTCCATATACAACAGAAAACACATACTTTTGTGAACAAAATCAACTATTTATTAATAAACTAGAGTTTAGGAGCAAAATAATCATGTATGATTTATTAAAAATTGATCTCGTATTTTTTGTTTAATGTACACCTGAAAAGTTGAAGGTACCAAAAAATGAGCAAAAAAGGTCGCTGTCAACAGATTCTATTTTTCAGACTCTATGACGTCACAATATGGGACGCTTACTAAAATTCATCCTTTGAAATAAAACTTCCATCTACCTTTATCAAGACGAAAAATAATAGTATAATAGTCATATATTGTTTGAGTTATGAGCGTTTAAAGACGAAAAATAATTCAAAATGTAACGTGTCAACATGGGATATTTGCCAGATGTTTGGTAAAAAACTCTTTTTTAAAAACGAACGCACAAAAATGTGAACGGAGTGTAGTTGATCTAAAATCTTCATCAAAACAGCTTTAAAATGATATATAACTTTAATTAGAATATTATCTTATAATCCGGGGAATCAAAGTTACATTCACGCGATACCCTTAAAAACAAATGCGCCACCTTTTTGCGACACGTCATAACGAGCGGGAATATATACTGTATCTAGCCAAGGCCCGGGGCGGGATGGGTACACGCTGTATCTATCCCGGTCCGGCTCCTGAAATTTTTTTCACAATTTTTTCAAAATTTTTCCCCTTTTTTCCAAAAAGATTTTTCACATTTTTTTTCAAAATTTTTTTTTCACATTTTTTTCAAATATTTTTTTCAATTTTTCAAAATATGAGTTATATGAATTTGAAAATCTCAGAAACTTAAAAAAAACACTTTATAACACCAAGAAAATGCGTATCTTAAGTATATTTTTGAATTTTGGAACTTTATAAGGTATATGACATACCTAGAACATCAGTAGGTATGAAATACATCTGTTATGTACGGTCGGTTTTGGATATAGGGTTTATCCCTCGGGAAATATAGAGATTATCCTATATGAGGTTCAGGATATTGGGATTATCCCGAGGCTAATCTAATATATTTGCCCGAGGGCCGCAGGTCCCGAGGGAAAATATATTATATTGGCCAAGGGATAATCCCAATATCCTGAACCGACTATAGGATAATATGTTTATCCCATACCAATCTTGGTCATCTGGTTCACATTGTTCAATTTTGGAAATATTTTAGAATATTCATGTCCAGTTTTGTTTTCTTGGCCGTGGGCGGATTTTCCTGTTCTCTCAAATATTCCCACATTTATTTTCTCGAATTTTTGATTGATTAAGTGGATGCTCCTTCCCTTTTTTAAACCATCAAACAGATCCCGATTGTCTGTGTTTTTCTCCATTGTCGTTTACAGTGATTACGCGAACGTTACAAATTATGAACAAATATGCGAGCGGCGATTATGACGTAGCGGGCAGATATAGTATATCTGCCCGCTCGGAGCGGGACGTAAAGCTATATCTACCCGCTGATGAAAATATAAGATTTTACAAACCGGCTTTATGTACCTATAACGCGTCCAAGTATGGGATAAATAGAGATTATCCTATATGAGGCTCAGGATATTGGGATTATCCCGAGGCAAATAAAATATATCTGCCCGAGGGCCGCAGGTCCCGAGGGAAAATATATTATATTGGCCAAGGGATAATCCCAATATCCTGAACCGACTATAGGATAATATGTTTATCCCATACCAATCTTGGTCATCTGGTTCACATTGTTCAATCGTGGAAATATTTTAGAATATCCATGTCCAGTTTTGTTTCCTTGGCCATGGGCGGACTTTCCTGTTCTCTCAAATATTCCCACATTTATCACTGGCGGATCTGGGGGGGGGGCCCAGGGGCCCGGGCCCCCCCCCTTGGGTGGGCCCAGAAAAAAAAAATTGTGCCCAAAAAATATTGTTAGCCAAAAAAGGCTTTAGGGCCCCAAAAAGTAGGCCTTTTAGGTCTTAAATTGGCCTTCTAAGGCCTTGTTTTTTAATTTTAGGCCAAATTTTGAAGAAAATGGGCCTCAAAATTTCAAAATTTGGGCCCACTTTTGGGTTTTTGGGGCCCAAAATTTTGGACGTTTTTTTCTCAGACCACAAGTTTGGGCCCCCCCCCCCCTTGTTGGTTCCCAGATCCGCCCCTGTTTATTTTCTCGACTTTTTTGATTGATTAAGTGGATGCTCCTTCCCTTTTTTAAACCATCAAACAGATCCCGATAGTCTGTGTTTTCTCCATTGTCGTTTACAGTCATTACGCGAACGTTACAAATTATGAACAAATATGCGAGCGGCGATTATGACGTAGCGGGCAGATATACTATATCTGCCCGCTCGGAGCGGGACGTAAAGCTATATCTGCCCGCTGATGAATATATAAGATTTTACAAACCGGCTTTATGTACCTGTAACACGTCCAAGTATGGGATAAATGTGTATATCCCTCGGTCCCTGCGGTCCCTCGGGATATACACATATTTCCCTTGGGATAAAACCTGTATCCAAAACCTCCCAGTACATAACCCTTATGTATTTAAAGATACGGGAAGAGTATATAGAGTGCTGCTATCCACGGATTATTTCCGAACAAAAGTGCAAATAATGTAATAAATTGAATTCAACAATCAATTAAGCAGAATCCGAGTTGGACATGCCCTGTCAATCAACCACAAAAGCATGGATAATGAATGGATAACGGTTTGATCTAATACAAGAGTCAGATGCACGATACTGTCGATCTTTACTATTGAACTGAATAGTACTGATTTGAGAGAGACATCTTTATATCATTATGGTAGTATAAAGCATAAAAAGGCTCACCTGCAACTTGTTCCGGGGAAAACTTTCCATTCTGAAAATCAGAAAGACCACAATTTGTAAAATCTGTATAAACGTTAACTTGATTATAATCAACTATAAGCACTATTTAATCAGGCTCTAGCATGTCACATAGCCTATACATATGTGATCCATGACAGTTTTGAGTTTATACTTGTGTTAATGAAGAGAATAGAAGGGATAGAGAGAAGGAGTTGGGTGAATTTCGAAAAAATGTGTCACATGTTACCATTTCAAAACATTTTTGCTCCCAGGCTCAACACTCAACATTCCATGGTAAGCCTATTTCAAAAGACCCAAACGACTTTGGAAATTCTGCATCATTCATCTTTTATATTTGATTAATTAAATATCTCTCGTCTCACATTTTTGTAAGGGAATTATTGGCAGGATTTTTTTAATATGGCTTGCGACGATTTACACTCTCTCTCTCCCTTCTAAATGTTTTAAAGCATGTAATATTTGTTCTTTCAGGTGCACAGTACAATATATTACAAAACACCCTTCGTGACTACCATTAAATCTGAGAACATATCATATTTGTTGATATTATGACATAACAAAGTGATTGTGACTATCAGGGGCGTAGTCAGGAATGAGGCAGGCAAAGTAATTTGAATAGAACATTTGTCCACTCTTCGGACGTGTTTTAAGTGAACTGTGAACATAAAGTTTTGTACAATAGATTCACTATAACTTAAAAGTTTGCCACGTCCATTTAAATGACTCGCCTGTCTTACGACAATGGCTATGCCCTTGGTAAGTTCTGATAAATATTTAATTCATAAGTCTATAGACAATGTCAAATTAGTGTTTATACCTTAAACCAGTCTTTATCGAGTGATCTGGTACATGCAAACAGTGCAAAAAGGTATTGTCGTTAAAAGCAAAACACATACATGTATAGTCAAATGTTGTTTAGCATAATAATAGCCATGCACCTACTATATCATAAAAATGGCTTTATATATGTTAGAAACAGCATTATGTTATGTTTTATGTTAGTTAAAAACAAGACTATAATCATGTCACACATACGTTTCATTTATCATCATAATTACATTTTAGTCGACAGAGCAATACTGATTGGTATCACTAAGGGAAACTGAAGTCGTTAGTAATCAATCAACAATGGATACACAAGAGCTGGGAAAAGCAGGCAATACCTTGGAGGTACTTACATAATTAATATCAGTGTAAGAATATGCCTATAAAGTTGGTAAAAGCGTTATGTGTATTCCCCAAACTATATATAGATGTCAGTTCAGTTTATGCACCTGCGAAGTGCGGCATATAAAATGCATAAAAAATGCTTAAAATTACATCTCTGTTATTTTTGTATTTGTTAAAATGGGTTTATGATAGGGTTTTATTTGAAAGTCTGAAAAGATTCTCACGTTATTGCATGGGTAGTCTGCACGATGATAGTTAGCATTAGTATAGTTTATCAGCAGTCTAACACGTATATCAATGATAAAAGATGTTCATCGAATGATGCCTTAAAAAGGGTTGTGTACTCGTCAATCAATGGTAAAAATGTTCATCGAATAGTTTCTGTAAAAGGCTTATGTACACGTCAATCAATGGTAAAATGTTCATCGAATAGTGCTTACACGTCAATCAATGGTAAAAATGTCCACCGTATAGTGCCTATATAAGGGTTCTGTACACGTCAATCAATGGTAAAAATGTTCATAGAATAGTACCTACATAAAGTTCTTGCAAAAGTGCTCTAAAATTTTTGTATCTCAGTCAATCTGGCTGTAATTTTTACTGAGTATACCTACACTATTTATACATTGAGATCCTTAGTTATAATCAATAGGTCCTTGAGGGAAAAAATGTATGGTTCCTATAGTCACATGCGTAGGGGGTAGTTTTGTTTGAATGTTAAAATGTTTTTAACTTGTCCTATTTACTTTAAATACAGTATCTCAAGAGTGTAATGTGTTCAAAATAGTGTCCACCATGGTCTATACACCTCTGGTGTCTTACTTACCATTCCTCAAACAGATGAAGGAACTCATATGGAAGATTATTTGCGATTTATCTTTGTATGGATGGCTTTCATCAACATCATCTGATCCTCATTGGATTTCATTCTTCTTCTAGCATTGTCCTTAACATTTGTTCTAGCATCAGTAGATGTCTTAGTCTGTTTTGTAAATGGTTCTTTTGGTCATAGCCTCCTTCCCAAACACTTTATGAATGTCTTCAAGTGTTTGTTTTCTTGAATTTCCCAGTAAACCATAAATCCCAATGCTACTGAATATTTTAAATTGCAAATCATCATCTTTTGCTGATTTTGCAGCCATTTTCACAAAAATAAAATTGACGCCGCCTTTCAAATGTATAAATAGTGTAGGTATACTGGGTAAAAATTTCAGCCAGATTGATTGAGAAATAAAAAAATTAGAGTACTTTTGCAAGAACTTTATGAACGCCCTGTATATAAGGGCTACGTACACATCAATCAATGGCAAAAAATGTTCATCGATTAGTTTTTATATAAAGGCTATGCACACGCCTATATAAGGTTTCTGAACACGACAATCAATGGTAAAAATGTTCTTAGAATAGTGCCTATATGAGGGCTGTGTATATGTACACATCAATCGATGGCAAAAAAATGCATAGTGCCTATTTAAGGATTCTTTACTTTTCATAGAGTAGTGCCTATATAAGGGTTATGTACACGTCAATCAGTGGTAAAAATGCCATATAAGGTTTATGTACACGTCAATCAATGGTACAAAAGGTGTATAAAAAGCCTTCCAAGAAGGCTCTGATGTGTATTCTACACTTTAAGTTTGCGAAAAAATCTTTAATTCCTTTTAAAATATTTTTTTAACTTTTTGAAAAGGTGAAAACAGTCCACGCTTATTTAAAGTATGAGAATTAAAATTTGAAAAATCATTTTTAGATAATTTGGAGCAGGGTCGGCAATAGCGAGATAGAAATATCCACCCCGTTTGCTTTATGCACTGATTATATCCCGTTATATGGTCCATGCCTGTATCTACCAAGAATATCAGAAGGCATGGAATACTAGAATGTATGATACTATGGTACAGACTACAAATTACATGTGTACATGTATATGCCGGATTTACAATGACTTTAAATTGTTAATTGAGCGCTAAACTACGATATTTTTTCGAAGATATGCAGCGGTATGCAGTTGCGTAACATAATTTGACATTTTTGTTCCAAAGCCGTGTTTCATTAATACTGCTGCAATGTTATGAATAAATCTTATTATATCATTAGCCGCCTGTCTAAATGCTTCATAACTTCAAATTATCCTTAATAATAACCGATGCCAAATGTACTCATGGGTATTGATGAAATCGTTTCCTGAATTCAAAACTCTAACATGTCATCTTATAAATGGTATATGTCTCTGGAATTACATTATGCTTAATTGGAATCTATGAAAATAAATGAAGTGTCCTTGGCAAGAACATGTAAAAAACATCATTAAAGGCTAAGCTATACAGCAAAAACATGGGAATTGAAGCTTTTTAGATAGATTTACAAGTCATATATATATTGTGCCCTTGTAATAACAGTACGTTTAATGCAATATTTGAAACACAATAGTGAATAACGTTTTTACAGAAAGAGGCTTTCGGAGTTCATTCATAGGTGGCACTTCTGTATGACTTGTTCCATACTATTAGTGGGTTTGGTCAAATCTGGTGATGTGCTGTGAAAAGGGGTTAAGTAAGTTAAGTAAGAGGGATTACCCAAAGGATTGGAAGATCGTCACTCTGAGAGAGAATATTCTGTGATAAAATAGCATTTTTCATTAGTAAGAAATGTTGGTTGTCATTTACTATAAATCTCCTCATCACTCGAAGTGTGTTAAAACTAATCAGGGGCTGTGGTGATTTGCAGCCTGGTTTCTCGGGGAAAATTCAAATATATTCACAAGGGAAGGTATAATCAAAGTAAATTATTGCACAGATAAATAAAGAACATTTTCCAGAGGTAATGCATTGAACAAAGTAAATGGTGTTCCTGCAACTGGATAGCAAGACATCTTGTCCTCAGAGAATGCCTACATATCAAAATATCTAGTACAGTAAATAAAAGTTGATTTTTCATATAGTTCTGTTTTATATATAAATATATACATATATACAATATGTATTTTATTTTTATATATCGTTATATTTTCTTACCTCGGTATAGTCTAGTGAATGCGAAAATCGTCTGGACATCATCTGTACGAACTCTGCAAGAAAATAAAAAATATATATGTATAAGTATATATGAGTTTCAAACATATACAAAAATGTTCCCTAAAAATACGAGATCAACGTGGTTCCATCAATATACTTTGATACTTTCTCTTTTAATGACGCTTTAATGGCAAATTGCTCACCTAACAAGCACATGGCGACCTCTAAAAAGATGCTCTCTTTAATCTAAAGACAATTTATGCACTATTGTCATTATCCATTATTTTCCAAACTTCAGACTTTTAAAACTGTGAAAGGTTTGTATGAAGGTCATTTGAAGGACCAGGTTGTAGAAATTCTGATTTCCTTAACTTTGTTGTATTTTAACAATGGGTGTCAAAAGTTTTGCACGTTAATATTTTCAATTGATCTATTGAATTCATTGATACTATATGTATGTACATGTATATTTTCACCGAGTGAAAGTTTATGTGTGATAGGTGTAATACCAGGCTGTTGTATTTCATATCAATTTGATCAGGGGATTACATTATTCATTTGCAATTTAGTTCACTTGAAGTTTTTTAATTAATTACATGTGTACATATTATACAATACAATACAAAATAAAATTCACACATGTTGCAAATTGTGCCTTTAACTTGTAAATAGTAAGCCGCAAGACGCGACTGGCAATATTGGTATAAGAAAAAGAGAAAGGTATTTTCCAAAGGAAACAAAATGCATATCCATATTTTGTGGATGAACAGAAATGACGACATAAATGATAACTGGAAGGGTTTCCCTCTCTCTGATGTTGTTTATCTTATCCGAAACAGATAATCCTCTTCCGCGTACTTAGGCTCTCTCATCCTGACTATTATTGCACAAATAGCTCTATTTTCACCTATATAATCTTATCCTAGCCCCTTGCATCTGACTATGTGTACATTTATACCACCAAGTGCAAACGAATTAGAGCAATGGTGATATGTTAAATGAGAGAGATGAGAGGTCGAGATTGTATACCATCAAGGAATGTAGTTGTTAAAGCTAACAAAACATCAGTTAAACATATTCCTCCTCGACCTAATGAACCGTGATTTATCAGAACTACTCAGATGGTTACCCTTTCTAATAGTTTGATTTCGCACGTCATATACACTCTTTGAATAAAATATTATCCTTGAAACATAATCCAGCTTCCAGATCAGACTTGCAATTATATTCAAATAGCCTCAAAAGGTCATAGCAATCACTTCGTCATTAAATGTATCATTAGCATCGATATTATCTACTCAACCCAGAGGGTATTAACTGACAGTAGCCTCAATCGTTGCTCAGGGTATTGATGGTATATGAACACAGGAATTGCTTCTTACATGAAGTGGATCGTTGTTGGTTTTCTCTTTTATAACGTTCTACTTACATTAGCTCTTCCAGAATAAAAGAATAAATCAAATGAATAAGAAGACGAGTGGAATAGCTCAAACTATGAAAGCACAAAGCCCAATATATATCGGAAAAACACAATCAAATTATGTAGACGTATCCCATCACACGACACGTCCAGATTCAAATCAGAAATGCCAGTGTCCACACACGTAGATTACATTCTGATACTCATCCCATCTTTCTGTTTTTCAACAAGACAGGAACTAACAGAAGGCCATAATTTCCCAGGATGCGTAGATTGGGATATCAGAATAATTCGCAACAAGAAGATAATAAGATCCGATGATATCCTTTTTTATTTCGAGACCTAGTAATCAATATGTAAATGACAATAATCCTTCGCAAACACCCTGGTGATTGATGGTGACTGAGGGACGATAGTGATTCTATTTGAGAACATCTTAGGCACTGATCTGAAGGGATAACACTGAACAAATGTGAATCAATCTACTGCAAATACGCATATAGGAGACCTTGACATTGAATACTATGATGGGTTCCTGAATACAACACTGACTTACTTCTGCAAATACATTATTATGATATAAATAATATACCAACATAGAAACATTTACCCCAAAACTATAGTAGTCTAATATATCAGAGTGACGCCATGTGTACGTTTATCTGAATAGCTTTCAATCACTATTAATAAATAAAACAGGGATTTTGACATGGAAATATATTTATACTCCGGTGAAAGAAAGAGCCTTTCAGATTGTTAGTATGTCCACATTTACAGTTTATTAACATTGTACAAAAAGCTATAACGGTGTATTTGATTAACGTTATTGCCTATTAAAGAGAAATTCCAACTCCAGTCACGCTCATTCTTATATAGATGATAGATAAAGCGTTCACCACAACTGCATCAAGGGAAACAACTGTCGAGCAAAGGATGGGAACGTGAATGTGATAGTAAATGCGCTGATGGGCACGCTTCGGTTTACCAATTATACAAATTAAATCATACATCTACTCTTTCCACTCTAAAATCTAATAATCATGGCAGTACCCTTCTTTTCATTATTATTTCACTTTTCAGATTCACTTTCAGAGGTCGTTCGTTTTTTCCTAAACTAATGTTAGGTTTGATCGGTTTGGTTGATTTTGGGGATAGCATATTTCTAAATAGCTTATTAAGCCAATTTTGCTTGTATCACCAATCAGAGATATTTTCCACGAAATCGAATTCCCTCCACTAAAACAAACATTATGAAAATATAAATGGCAAGATGTCGCAATAAAGGACCCCTAGTCTGTCTAATCTGTTCAGATGGTAAGAACATTTTCGGAAATAGATGAAAGTGTGCATAGTTCGGATCGTGGAAATTGATTGTTTTTACCGAATCACAAGCTGCAATGATAAGACAACTTAACGGATGATCTACTGCAATTAGGTAAATATTTCCCCTGCTGATGTGTGGTATGGTCGCTGCCTCCTGATTAGAAACAGAGTTCATCTCGCTTTATCTAAATATTGCGGCCGAACCTTAGCCAGTTAGCATGGACATCCTTCTTCAAAGGACTTCATTTATGCTTAAATTCACTTAAATATACTTGTAAAATACCCTTGCAGCAAGGATGAGCATGGATGTATCCAATATAATCTAAGGAGTGGTGTGGATAGTTTACATTTCTTGTAAACAAATGAGTGTGTATAATGATACATATTGATAGCTCGATGATACATCATTTGTCAATCACACTGATATCGGAACAAGCACAAGCTGTTTATTTAGAAAATATTACAGCGATGCCCAGTAAAGGTCGGTTTCCGATTCGATATCCACACCTCTTGGAATGTTTACGGAAGAAGCACGAATATTCAAATGCAACACCATCAAATATGATTCTATATTCAAGCTGTCAGATATCTATATATAACCCCCTGAAGCTGAGTGTCTTGCTCGATAAGTAACATTCTGACAGATGTTCTTTAAACCAATCTAGTTCCCATTAGTTAGGAACCGTGGAGTGGGATACCTGGGAGATTCGGAAAACTGAAGTAGCTAATTGGACGTGCCAGTCAAACCATGTTCATAGCAGAGCTTATAGCAATATTTCGTCCAACAAAATATTCTTCGAACAATACCTACCCAAAATGCCGATTTAAAAAAATGCCATTCCATAAAAACATATCTAGTAAATCCATAAAAATAGTTACACAATGAGGATTATAGTAGACTACTATGTGGTTATTATAACAGCACCTCGATAAAATCATTCTGATTCATCAGAGTTGCTCTTTATCAAATGCTCACTGTGAGAGACAAGACAAAAAATATAGCACCCCCGTAGATACATTGTATGTGCTCTTTTCCGGACTCCGGGAGATAGCACAGAGGTTGTGGAACCCACGAAGGGATTTCCCAAGAACATGCAAGAATGATGAGCTAATCATGTTTCGCTTTAGCAGTGTCTCGGTGGCTCTGACAGACTAAATTATTCACGCTCAAGCTCTAATGACAATTGCAAACACTAATCACAAGGGTCGTGCTAATTCCCTATGAAGGTCAACACGGTTTCGGTACTGCTAAGACAAAGGTTTAGGGCAACAATGCAGTTCAATTGCCATTTGCAATCGTTTGACAGACTTATAGCTCAGTGACCAGTTCAATTAACAATGATTAATGTACCATTAAAATAAACAATAATATATGACCTGTTGATACTATTTAGCTATCAATAACTTTGATTTTAGCCCGGGGGGTTCACTCGAAATAATTTGGATAGGTATGTGCAGTACGGTCAATGTTGGCTTTGAGCATAAAAATGGAAATTGAAAATTGTCTTTTTAAGTAGAAATTCAGTTTTTCTACAGAAAATTGTATTAAACTCGTTAAATCAGTTGCTGAGGCCTGGAACAAATCACTAGAAAAGTTGATTTATTAGTCTCAGAGTAATTAAACATGGAAACCTTCAATCTTGAGAGAAAATTGACATGGAAAAATGCTCAAAAAGGGGGTCTTTGGGGCGGCACATCTAACATTTGGTGCATAGTCATATGAATAGAGTGCTAAGGAACCTACACGTAGTTCTGGGCTGAATGGTTAATCTTGCATTGCCTCCGCTTCCAACACCGACTCCATTTTCTCTCTTACAAATAGTGGGGAATATAGACTTTATGAAATGCGCTTTCGATATTTAAAACTAAAGAGCAGTTGTCCTCAAGATTAAGCTCAGTTGGAAACAATGATATCTTCCAAAAACTGGCAAAAACCAGGCCCCTTTATATTTACTTGATCATTGTCCAGATTCATATACTAGTACATTCAGCTTTGGCCAAAACATGTTTACTTTTCCTGGGATTACGTACCTTAGTTATGCTTCTTAATCCGCAAATAACGACTTTAATGCCATCGTACTATTGCAATTGCTTACCGGTGGATAACACCATGGGAAATAATTGATAATTGACCCTTAAAATCGTATTCACCTGGTCGTCTCCGTACGGAAATCGTAAAATTCACTTTGTCGTCTCGCATATTCTACTTGGCCTTTTTCGTTCAATGCACTCGCTATAGCGAAAAGAAATTAGCTATCCCGAGCCTGAGAATTTTGTCATTTGAACATAACTTCAATTCAAATAAAAACA